TCGAACACTTGCCTGTTCTTGAAAAATATCCACGCTACCGCCAGAGTTTGCATTAATGGATGCAACAGCCAAAAGTGGCTGAAGACGGTGCCATCTGATGTGGGTGTGGGGTCCACAGGACTCAAGTGCTTCTATTCGATGATCAATGTAGACCGCCATAGTCAGATGCCTATGAGACAAAGTATTTATTGTATAATCAGCTGAAGAGTGAGAGACAAATATGAGACTGAAAGGCAAATTATAGGTTTAAACATAAACTGAACAAATAAAACATGAATTTTCTTTGCACATGGAAGGAATTAATCCCACCCATTATTTAGCTCTTAATATATATTTTTTTCTTTCTCTATCCTCCCACCAGGAGCGGAAGGGAAAATGCACAGAGGGCAAATTCTTGCTGTCCACCATTTACATGCAGGTTAAGAGTGCTCCAAGTGAAATGTGGGAGAAATGAAGCCTCTGGGCAAGCAAATTATACAAATCATGATCCATCGTAAGAGTGCTGTTCCTGTTCAAAGCTGTTCTGAATCATCTGCGGTGAGTGGCCATATCAAATCCAATCAATTAAATTAAATGTTGCAGTTATTTGCATTTGAAAGGCGAGGAGGTGGAAAGCAGACATTTACATTGCCAGCTATATCATTAAAAAAAAAAAAAACCTAAAATCTCCTATCAGTCAACTCCCCAGTCTAGCCTATAGCCCCAAGATTTCCTGAAGGTATCTTGTCCAAATAATAACTACCATAGATTTGATTTGTTTAAGGAGATTCTCTGTCATCCAGGTCATGGTTGTCCCAAAGGTGCTTTTCCACGAGGCAACTGGACTTCCTTGTTTTCCTTTGAAGAGCTTTCGCTTCTCATCCAAGAAGCTCCTGGAGAGCTGAAGAAGCTCCTTGGATGAGAAGCGAAACGTCTTCAAAGAAAAACAAGAAAATCCAGTTGCCTCGTGGAAAAAGCATCTTAGATCTGATCTGCATTTATTCCAAATTAATGGTGACGGGCAACTAAAAATCACAGACAAGCACACCTAGCAAATTTATTTACTTATTTTTATTACATGTTTGTGCTTGCACGTCTCTCTTATATGGAGGATAACACAAACTAGGAAATGAAACCAACACAAACATTGCACAGGCTCGGCCCCACATCTGGATCTGCACCTTTAGGCAGTGGTTTCTCAACCTTGGCTACTTGAAGACGGGTGGACTTCAACTCCCAGAATTCCCCAGCAAGCCTTGCAGGCTGAGGGACTCTGGGAGTTGAAGTCCGCTTCCATCCACCAGCTGCCACGGTGAAGAAACCGCTGCTTTAAAACCTGGCGAAGGGCCCCAGGAGGGTTGATGGGGATGGGGGGGAGGAGGGAGGGGGAATTAAAACAAGATTAATTAATTAGCTCTCACTTGTGATTTCCTCCCCACCCCCTCCCCCGCCAAAATCGAGGATCTCCTGTATGGCAGGTAAGCCCAGCTCGACTCCTTCGTGGAGGCGATCGCGACCGCGTGACGATAACGCGGCTGTGGGGGAGGGTCGCCCTGGCTTCTCCCTGGGATGTTTTCCCGACGTGGCAGCCCAGGGATCTCCTGGTGGCCTCCCACCCACGCTTCCACAATAGCCACGCTTTCCCTCCGGGAGGGGCCCAGGCCCTTAGGAGCGCCAGCTGGGCCGAAGGGCTTCCTTTTCGCCCCCCTCCCCCCCGCTCGGAAGCAGCGAAGCGGATCCCCCAGCCACCCACGACTTCGTCGCCTTACCTGCTCGCGGCCCGGCCCGGCCCCGATCGAGGCCTGCTGGGCCGATTCAAGGAGAGGCTTCGCGTTGCCCTTGGCAACGGCGAGCGCCCCGCCACGGACATACCCGAAGGGGAAGCGAAGAGAGCCGAAGGGGAGGCTGGGCGGACCTTGCCGAGCGCTTTCGCGCATCGCTTGTTGGAAAGCGGTGGAAAGAGGCGCTCTTTGGTCTGCAACGCTATTTTTTTTCTCTCCTCTCTTCCCCCCCCCCATTTTGGACTCCTCTCTTCCCCCCCCATTTTGGACACACACACACCCCCCGTGTTGCTGTATCTTTTGTTCTCAAAAAGCCAAGACGATTCAGTCTTGGCTTGTTTGAGAACCAATCTGGATAGATGGTCGTCTTTCTGTGCTGAAATGTCCCTCTCTGCTGGCGGCATTTTATTGACAAAGAAATGAATATTTACAAATGTTTGTAAATATTGCAAATGTTTACAAATAAATAAATCCCCTCCTGAATATATAGTTCCTCTTTCGAGGATAACGGAGAGCCTGTGGTCTCGTTGATGTCATTCGTTTTTTAGAATTAACCGTAGCTTGCATGGACTGAAGTTTGCTTTAATTGCGAACAGATAGGCATCGCGGGTAAAACACAAATCAGACCGCAACCTTTTAAATCGCTCCCCCTCTTTCGGCATTGGTCCCCTGCCTTGCCCGTCCAATAGAAACCAGCCAATTGATGCTCCCAAAAGTGAACTAGTCCCCTCCCCTTTCTGAATCCCCGGCTATCCCTTCCTCGGAGCCAATCGCTCCTGCCTCCACCACTTCCGGCCCCGCTCGGCTGCCCTTCCAATCTTCTCTCTTCCCCCCTCCCCTCCTTTTTCCTCATCCCGCCTCTCTTCGCGCGCTGGGCTGTGCCGTGTCATCTGTCGCGCGCGGCGCTCCGATTGGCCACCTTTGCCTCCGCGGCCTCGGGCTCCACCTCCCCGCCTCGCTACGCTGACCAATGAAAATATTTGTTTGGGAGTGGGGGGAAAAAAAATCCTCTTTCTCCCCACTCCGCCCACCCTTTTGCTTCCGCCTGTCTTTTTCTTTCTTTCTTTCTCCCCGCCCCCTTGGAGGCGTGGCCTGCCGAGCTGTCTGCTGGGCCTGCCGGGCTCGCGCGCCGGGCTCCCTCAGATCTCTCTGCGCGAGTAGCGGCGGCGGCGGCAACGAGGAAGCGGAAGCGAGCGCGGAGCTCGCGAGCCAGGCGGCGGCGGGCGTTGCAAGGCGCCCCTTTGCCGAGGAGTTGCGGAGCGGAGAAGCCGCCAGGGCGCCGAACGGCCTGCGCGCTGCCGGGATCGCTTGCCCTGCTGCCGCCGCCGCCGCCGCAGCTACCGGAGGCTTCCCATGCATCAGGTAGGACCAGGCCCGGTGGCTCGGATACTCGGTAGGGGTGTCTCCTCGCCGACCCAGCCCGGTCTGTAAAGCCACGCTGGGTTGCAGCCCCGCCAAGGGCTTGCAATGCAAATCGGCCCCGGGGAATTGACTTGGCGTGATCTCGCTTTGCAAGGGTGGATGTCCCGCCGGCGGGGCGCAGAGTTTTGTGGGGAACAACCCCCCCTCCCGAGGCTGGGCTTCCTAGGAGAGGAACGGTAGAGGCGAGGCAGCTTGCGCGGTGGTCGGCTTGCAGCGAGGCAGCGAAGGAGGGGCGTTCGGGTTAGGAAAGCAAAAAAAAAGGGGGAAGGTGTCATCGGAGGGGTGGGAATAATCGAGCCGTGGCGGGAGTAAATATTGACCGACGTAGTAATAATGTCGCTGAGCAGAGGTGTCGGTGCAATGGGAAATAATGAGTGGGGAGGGATGGAAATCGGGCAGTCCTGTGAAAATGGGAGTGGGAGTGTATTATGCAGTTGGGCATGTTGAAACGGGCCAGTAGCCCCCAGTCTATTGACAATACCACTTTCCCATCTGAGATCTCCTCTCTTTGCTTGATCAAATTAAACAGAACATACTGATTATTTCAGAATATCTTTGATATCTTATGACTCTCTGCTTCTGTGTAACTGGGCAGCCAGTCCTGCATAAACGTTGATTATCATGCTAGATAGTTTTCCTGCGGCCATTTTTAAAACTATTCAAGGCAGAACTGTCTATCTCCCCCCCCCCATGAATAAAATGTACTCCAAGAATGTATATTTAAGTGTACAAAAATGTACACTTAAAAGCTTTGCCTTCTAATGCCCTTTGGTGTTAAGTTCCAGTGAAGTTAAGGAGCTTCCATCTTGGTATCCAATTTTGAAAATGGGCATAAAATAGAATGTTCTGTATTCAAGTGCTCTTAAGTGAAGCTTATGCACTGTTTTCTTTGGAGATGCTGAATCTTTTGACTAAAAGCAACTTTCTCTGACTTGTTATGTTGGTGACTAGCCCTTCGTTGATGGATATTGAGTTGCAATTTCTAATCTTAAGATATCCTTATGTGTATTTAGTGCTAAATAAGGACCACTTAATTCTCAATATACCCTGAAGAATGCTTAATTTTTCAGAGTATATTTCCAAAACGCCTTGATATTTCTATGAACTGTGATAGATGTTAAAAGATACTTTGCTTTGCATCTTTTCCAAGGTTATTCTCTGCATGCATTTTTTTTTTAAAAAAGAGGGATGGTTTATGTAGTTAATACCACTTTGCAGGCTTCCAGCCTAGGTGGTTAGTTTTTTGTGTATGGTTTTTTTTTTTTTGAAAAACAATAACCCAGTCAAAAAAAATATATGTGACTATCAAGTCTGGATTACCCCTTTGATGAAAACCTGGCAAGCGAATAGCCCCTGCTTTGTAAAGATGGCACAAGGAACCCTGGAATCCAAACATTGGGCAGCCATTTAGGGAAGGGGGAGGGAGGGAAAGTGTTATATCCACCTCCCCTGAAAATAAAAAAAAATCTGAACTTTAACCCACCCTAAGTTGCCCAGCCCCCCTTTTAAGCCCTCCCCAACCCCCCCAATCAATAAAGCTTCTCTCCAGCTTTTCAATGCAAGAACAAGTAAGTTCACTAAAGGGGTGAGGTGGGAGGCAGACGCAGTGATCGGGCGGGGACCGGCCCTCCTAGGCGGGTGTGCCTTCTGCACCCCCCCCCAGACCCACCCCCAAACCTCCCCCCCTCCACGCTTTTGTCCGAGCCTTCGCCTCCCTCCTTTGCAAAAAAGGCGCGTGCCTTTCCCTCCCCCCCCCGCAAGTGCGCGCCCGGAAAGGGGAGCTTGCTCTTTAGAAAGGTAGTGGTGGTGCAAAAAAGAGAGAGAAGAGTTGGAAATCTTTGCACTCCCCCAGTCCGGGAGAGAGAGAAGGGAGACACACACACAGAGAGACACACTCACAAACACACACTCACACCCAGAGGCACAGGCAGGCGCACACCCTCGCTCGCAAGGAGAGGAGGAGAAACCGCCGCTGCCGCCGCTGCTGCTGGGTTGCTGCAGCGAGGAACATGAGTGCCCCCCCTTCGGGAGCTCGCCTCGCCTCGGCTCCATGGTGAGGAGAAGGAAGAGCCCCCCCGGCCCGGCAGACCCGCACCATGGGTAGGACGGGGCGGCGGGGGTCGCTCGGGGGGGCCCCCAGCCGCGCGCTCCGGCCCGGCCGCCTCTCCTTTCTCCTCCTCCTCCTCTGCCTGCCTTGCCCAGCCACTTTCCCGACTTGGGCCGCTTCCCGGGCTCCGGCGAGGTCCCGGGGCCGCCCAGCCGTGCGGGGTGGGGTCCCCTCGAGCCCGGCCGAGGGTCCCCGGGGCCCCCTTCTCCCCCCAGCCGCCCGAGGGCCGTGCGGTCGGGTCGGGACGAGAAGGGGGATCGAGTGGCAAACAACGGCGGCCATGTTGAGCGGAATGTCTGCGGCGAAACTTCTCCCCGCCGGGGGGAGAAAGGCGGGCGGGGGGCGGCCGGGCTGGGCCCGGGGAGAGCCCGGCGATGGGGGGCCACCCCCGCGGGGCGGGGGGAAGCCCCGACGAGCCGGCCCGGGGCTTGTTTTGGGCCACCAGCCTCATCCTCCTCTTCTTCCTCCTCTTCCTCTCCTTTTTCCTCCTGCCAGGATGACAGTCAAGCTGGGCGACCACAGCAGCGGCGGAGCCCCCGAGGAAAGCCTGAGGAAGCTGGGCAAGCGAGGAGCTGCCGGCGAGGAAGAGGGGTGCCCCGAAGGAGCAGGAGGAGGATGTGGAGGAGAGGGGGCAAAGAAAGGCCAGGAGCAGGGGACCCCTGGGGGAGAGACGACGAACGGGGGTCCCTCCTCGGGAGTCCCACCGGCGTCGCCCCCGGCTGCCGCCTCCTCCTCCTCCTCGGGCCCACCGGCTGCGCCTGGCCACGACCAGCATCACTTCCTCAGGTCCAGTGTCCGGCCGCAGAGCAAGAGGCTGAAGAAGGACCCCCAGGCCTCCTGTGGGGCGGGGGTCAGTGGAACGGGCAGCAGCAGCAGCGGCGGTGGGGGCGGCGTTGCCCCCACGGGGAAAGGAAAAGGTGGGTGACACAGGCAGACCACCCTCCTTCACGCCAGACCATCACCCCTCGCAGTGGACAGTTAATCCAGAAAGAATCGGGGTGAAGCCACGCTTGGGAGTGGACCCCGAGTGTGTATTATGGGGGTGCAGGTGATTCGAAGCATCATTTGTCAGGGCTGGGCTCATTTTCTTGCACCCCGAATTGATCTGGGGATGGGGGCGGCAGATCCACCCAGAAGACTTGGATTCAAAATGGGAAAGCATTTATATTGGGAAGGTTGCTTGACTACGCTATTGGCTACTGCTGCTTGAAATTTTTTTAGTGGTTTTGTTTTTTATCTTCTTTCCATACTCAAGGTTTAGGTTTTCCCCACTCTCTGGTCTGCATGGGTCAAGAATTTAATTTATTGATGACTCTGATAATCAGTCTTGATCATCTTAGAAGCAGCCTCCTTTAAAAGCCTCAGTCTGATCTTTTTGATTGCTGCATGATGGTTGAGTTTTAGCAGCTAGCGTTCCTGGGCACGGTCTGGTTCTTAGTCAACAAATAAGTTGCGATGTTTTCTTGTCCATGTTATTTTTGATGCTTTTTGAGTCGTGTAAAAAAAGGCCATTTGAATGGATCCGATGTCTCCAGACTAGGAATCTCTTGATCCGTTCTGCATTGTCTTTAACTGATGGATTGTATAAATTTCTGAACTAGAATCAACTGAGTTAGTGGTTTTTTTTGGTAATCACCAATATTAGCATTTGATTAGAGTGCAATTCTAACATGTTTCTATGGATTTAATTATTCCGGCTTTGTTTTATTAACCAGTTGCATTTATGGAAATGGAGATCCTTAAGACTTTCTTAAAACTTTCTTAAAAAATATTTTTCCTGATGAACTAGTATATTGGGTGGGAGAAATAAATAACTATATAGATGTCATTAGAGATGGTTTGTTTAAGACAACCTTTCCCAACTTTGCACTTTTTTTATAAATCAAAATTACAGAATCTTTTAATATTTCTTGGCAAGACTGCAGAGAATGTTGATGCCACATTAGATTTGACATCCATCTTTTTTGAAGAACTGTGCTTCAAAATGCTGTGACTTGTGGAGTTTTGTCCTCAAAACTGGATTGGGTGAATCCATCCAGTTGTCAGTTATTTAGTGAAGGACAAATATATCATATTTTAACATGATACATTAAACCTATCAAAGCCCTGTATAATTCAGCATTGTTTCAGCAAAGAAATACTTTGTTGGTTTACCTTTTTTTAACCCCTTGCATTACTATAAACATTTGTACCCACACTCACATGACGTAAACATGTATTTAGTGAAAGTGAAATAAACATCACAAAGTACACTTTGCATTAGCAGTTTATAGGAAGTGTTACTTCCTTATACCGATCTGTCTTTTTGGAATGCAATATTTCATTTAGATGTACATTTTGATAACCTGAGATTGACATATAGTTATTAATTTCAAAAGAAGCATTTGTCATATTCAGTATCCTAGATTGATCTAGTTCTTATAGTTAGAGAAAGATGTTTCTGACTACATGGACATGGAATTCAGTTCCCAGAATTCCTCAGCCAGCATGCCTCTTCACAGAGAATTGTGGGAACAGAATCTTAAGTGAAAAACACAGGTATAGACTAATGCAGATATTTTTTTCCAGAGTGCTGGATGGAAAATTTCCATTTGCTACATAATCCTAATAACCACAGCCTAAATTTTGAGTTTTCTGCAAACAAAGTCTGTACTGCACAATTAAATTCCATAAATTTCTGCAGAACTCATCTTGGAATGAATGGAAATTTTACCATACTGTGGAGTCCTCAGTACTCTCTGAACTTGGTTATTTTCTTGCAGACATTTCATTACCCAACTAGGTAACATCATCAGTGCTAGGACCGTCTTCTACCATAACACGGCTGCGTGTTAACGCAGCCTTTCTTTCAGCGGGCTTAAGAGCATGGCTAGGAATGTATGAAGTTGGAGCTTGTTTCTCATCCTTCAGATAAATGTAGTGAAGGGGGGGGGAAAGTCTTACTTTTCTCAACAGAACAACATGCTTCAGCAGTTGCAAGAACAGGCATGAAAGTGCTAATATTTCCACATGCCTTTGATGTGTGAGTCTGTTAATGAAGTACACTACTTTAATCATGAATTTTAGCTGTAGACAAACTGAGACAGTGACCAGTATTTAACAGTGAAACACATCTGGTGAAATGTAGGAGGTATGGGAAAATAGATAAATGGAGGCATGGCCTTTTGATCTCATTTCAGGCCTTCAGAACAATGTAGTATCCTTCTGAAGAAGTTGAACTATAATTTGGGAGACCTGATGACTGTCCCTGTTTGACCTTGGAGAGATCAGCAGGGACTTGGAGCCAGTCAAACCCTGTCAATCTTCTTCACAGGTGTGCTGTGGAATAAAAGTAAAATCCCACATACGCCACTTTCCACTGCCAGAAAAATGGAAGGAAATGAATGCAATAAATATGCCATTTCCATTAGTTCTGTAACTTGTAGACAGCTGAATATTGGATCAGAAATCTTTCAAGTGAAGCTAATGATAGTAAGTTTACCCTGGACCTGGGTGGGTGAGATAATGGAACAGATCATTTCCAACATCCTACTTCTCTGTAAAATTTCAGTGGTAATCTTTTCTTGCATGCTAGTTAACTGGAATAATCCTGGTTTAAGCGCTTTGTTATTGTAAAGGATATGTTCCCTCTGCTTATTTTTGAGGGGTAAAAGAGGGAAATTACTTCCCAAAATACATTGGAGATCCTACTCCTACCGTACCTGCTAGTCCTTGACATTAACGAGAAGGGTTCTGGAGGCCAAGTAGGGATGGAGATGCTACTTGGCAATTCAGCATGATTCATACAGGATAAGTTGCAGAAATGTTAATTTCTTGCCCCAATATTTCTAGTGGTATTTGAGCCAAGGTCTAACATAGACTAGAGTTCCTAGATACATTTTTAATTTTTCTGGTATATCTTTTTAAGGACATTCCTATATCTGCAAAGACTGTTTCAAGGCTTTACTGCAGGGGTGTCAAACTGCTGGCCCACGGGCCGGATGCATCATGCCGAAACCGCGCCCACCCCATTGCCGGCAATGGGGAAAAAGTCGCAACACGTCACGTGATGTTGCGAGTTTGACACCCCTGCTTTACAGTAATAACTTTCAGTTGTTTAAATTTCTTGGTGATGGCAGAGTTGCTAAAAGACTTGTTATTCCTTTTTATAGACATGTGAACTCCCAATTTACTAAGGTTTTATATATGGCATGGTTATCCTCATTATTACCTTGGCATTGCTCCATTTCTAGGTGATTGTGCCAGCGCAGCATTCATACTTACAGTTAACTGAACCATGACTTGCTTAACCCAGCATCTGGAATTTTCGCATCCTATCCAGGTAGAACTCAACCACATTGGCTAAATCCATGTATCATTGTTTAATACAGGACAGGAAGCCTGAGGCAAGATATCTACATATTTGTAAGGCACTTTGGGAAAAAGATGGGCTAATTTGAGGCTCATTGTATTTGGGCCACAGGAAGGGTCTGTCTATCTCAATAGACAGGTAGTTGATTCTGGATTGAGCATTGTCTGTCCAATTTTAGGTATGTTTATTCAGAAATTCTTGTTTGGGTTCACCCACCATACTAAGCCACCTTGTGGTTTGCTTGACTTGGGTTTAGTTTTTTGTGTGAACATGTCTGGTTTATTCCATAAACTGTTGTGTGTAAACTCTGTCATTAAATGGAAGAACCCAATATTCGTGCAAGTATATAGTACAGTATATAGGAAGGTACATTTTATGGTGTATATATAGCTTGATACACCTCATGGTACACATCAATTTTTTTTTTTTATTAGAGAAGGGGTCCCCAACCCTTGGTCCGTAGACTGGGTTGCGGCATCCCAGCAATCGGTCCACACAAACAAGCAAAGCCCCATCCATGAGATGCAGGCAGCACACAAAATCTACACCCCCTCCGGTCCGCGGAAAAAACTCTCTCCACGGAACCGGTCCCTGGTGCCCAAAAGGTTGGGGACCTCTGTATTAGAGTATAAAGTTTCTTAAATAAAAAATGGATCTATGCAGTCGGATGCTTTCAAACGTCAGTGTGTTTGCTGATATCTTCAACTGTTTCAGTCCTATAGTTGACATTTTTACCATTTTTAAAGAATTATTGCTGAGACCTTTAAAAGAAAGCGCACCGAGGGTTTGTACTTTTAATTGGAAAATAATATGAATTTGGCACACGTTGAGGTGTAGTAGAAAAAAAGAAAACAACCTTTGTCAAGCTTTTTCCTTCTTCCAGATGTTGGCCCTTTGTTAGCTGTCAACGCTCATGGTCTTGAACAGGTTCCCCCCCCCAACTGAAGCTGTGTTAATCCATTGCAGTAAAAACACCAGAATATCTTGTGGCACTGTTAAAGAAAAACAGATTGACAGGGCATAGGCTTTGGGGGATGTAGACTTTAGTGCTTCAAGTGTCTGAATATCATGCATGTTGTAGAAAGGCTTTGGTGTGGAATCCTGGCTTGTTTTGGTGGGATTGGAATCCATCTTGTGTTTAGCTATTAGAGGAAGTTTTTGTTCTTTAGGGAGTCCTCCTTTTAAAAACCATGGAAATGTCTTTTGGGGATGTTCAAGAGAGTGTCAGGGGATAAATTAACAACATGCTTGTTAAAACTAGTATTTAATTTTAAATTGTTGCTGGTTATTCCTATCCTGACACTTTCAGCTTTTCCTTCAACTCTGCTGAACAATGTCTAAACATTGGGCTAGGAAAACCTTACAAGTAGTACTTTGCAGTCAGGGTGAAGAAATGCCTTATTATAGGATTGATTCAGTATGTCTAAGAGAGAAAAAAAATCTGTGTAATATTTAATACTTACCATACCTAAGAGAAACTCCTCTGATATAAAACTTTATCATTTAACTCCTTAAAAATATTAACCTCATTAATTGCTTCCAATGAGTGCACTGTGTGTATTCTGAATGCAGACTATTAGGCAGCTGTTTTAAGAGTGAACTCATTTAAGTTAGAGCTTAAAAGTACCTTTCGGAATACTTGAGGATGCTCAACATACTACGTGAACTTCTTAAAAAATTACATGTATGTGCCTGTCAGTGAAAGACAGCTACAAGACTGCTAAAAAAAAAAAACCTGGTTAATTTGCAGCAAACAAGTTATAACACCCCATTCCTGTAGACTTGTTCAACAAGAGTTGCATTGATATTGCCGGCAAAGGTTGGCCTATGAGGCCATTTCCATACGTGCAGCAAATGAGTCTCGATCCTCTGTGTAATTAATTACAGGCCACTGATACTCTTTAATTAGCACGACTTAACCTTGCAACCTCCACAGTGGCCCAAATCTTTTCTTGTTCCTTCCGGAGTCAGTTGAGTCCAGTCTTTGAACACCCCATGTTGTTCCTTTTATCCACCCTCTGCCACGCAAAATAGTTTGTGCGAGGGCACACCCTATCAAAACAGTGACGGTAGCCATCCACCCTCATTTCATCTTTGTGGGCGTGGCACCATGAAATATTGTTGATTATGCTCTCAAAGCAACACAGGTGACGTTTCATCCTGGTTTAATAGCCGTACCCCTTGTTTCGTCTGGCATAGTCATTTACCCAACGTCGTAACGAAAGCTCTAATGTTGCAAAGGTTTCAAAATAGAAAACGGTCTTCTCCACCTTGATGCATTCCTTGGGATTTAGATGCCACTACAGGTAGTCCTTGACTTACGACTTGAGCTCTCAAGTTGCCCTCAAGTTTGTAAAAACGCATCTGAAATTAACGATTGACTCCCCCATCCAATCTCTGTGCTACAGTTTGGCGGTTTCTTGGGTTAACCCTTTACGTTTTCCTTCCGAAAGGTGCAGATAATGGTGGGACGTCGTCTAGCAACTCCACAGGAATCCCATCCGGTGCCCCAGCCAGCAATTCAAAATCCGGTTCAAGGAACCTGAGCTCAACCGGAGAAAAGGAGGAAGGCAAGAAAGTGAGGCGTCAGTGGGAATCCTGGAGCACGGAGGACAAGAATACCTTCTTTGAGGGCCTATATGAGGTGGGTGCTTTCAAAAGCTGGGAACCGCCACATCCTCTTCCAAAGGCTCCGTGGTATCCGTAGCAGAACATCCAGATTCAGCCATAGTTTCATTCCCTACAGCAGGGGTGTCAAACTCAATTTCATTGAGGGCCGCATCAGCATTGCGGTTGCCCTGGGGGGGGGGCGGGGGGTGCAGCCTACTGGGTGGGCGTGGATGGAGTGGGTGTGGACTACTGGGTGGGTGTGGCCAGTTCTACATCATTTACGTCAAAGGTGCCTATGGGGGCCTGGGCAGGAGTGGGACTGATCTGAGGGTCTCTCGCAGAAGGGGGTGGGACCGGGGCAAGTGCCAAGATGGCCACCACATTGGCTTCCAGCTGGCCTGGGCCAGGGCCAAGGCAGCGGGAGCCGTTCCCTCACTGTTTCCAGGATTTTATTTTATTTTATTTGTTATTTAATTTTATTTATATGCCGCCCAATCCCAAGGGACTCAGGGCGGCGTACAAAATTAAAACAATAATCTAACAATAAAATAATACAATCATACAGCGTGTCCGATCATATCCCCCCCCCCGGGGACATCAGCCCCAGGCCTGCCGGAACAGGAGAGTTTTAACAGCTTTCTTAAAGGCCGGCAGGGTGGGAGTAGTTCGAACCTCGGGGGGAAGTTGATTCCACCAGGTCGGAGCCACCACAGAAAAGGCCCTTCCCCGAGGGCCCGCCAGCCGACATTGTCTGGCCGACGGGGCCTGAAGGAAGCCCAATCTATGGGACCTCACCGGTCTCTGGGAACTGTGGCTTCGCGGGCCACATGAAACCACTTTGCGGGCCGCATCTTGTGTTTAACATGTCTGCCCTATAGCATCAACCTTGTGAACTCTCAAGTTTCCTCCTTCCATTATATATTCAAGATGGACAGCGTTTAATATTTATTTGCTATGTGTATGTAGGGGTGTGGGTCTGTACATATGTTGTACATAGTATTTTAGGTGTGTGTCATGTATGTGTTTCACTTTGAGAGCGGGCAACTAAATTTCATTTTTGAGGTGTGCCATTGTGCCCACAGTAAAAAAAAAAAATGTCAATAAAGGTTACCTTATATCTTATCGTATCAAAGATACACACGCAGCCTTTAAGGCGAACTTTAAAAGGCGTCAAATATTTTGTTGGCATGAGAAGTGGGCAGATCGCACAGGTAGTCCTTCACAACTTAACAACCACCATCAAGACCGGAATTTCTCTTGCTGTGCAAGGCGGTTGTTAAATGAAGTTGTGCCGAATTTTGCAACCTTTTTTTCCCATGGTTGTTAAGCAAATCACTGCAGTTGTTAAGTGAATCACGCAGCTGCTAAGTAAATACAGTTGTCAGTGTGAAAATTGACCAGAAGTCACTTTTTTCAGCGCCATGGTAACTTTGAACGGTTGCTAAATAAACGGTTGTGAGTCGAGGGCTACCTGCATGCCCTATTGATGTATCTAAGTCAGGGGTAGGCAATCTTGGCTCTTTTATGACTCGTGGACATCATCTCCCAGAATTCCCGAGACAGCATGGCTCAGCTTGGAACCTTCTTCCTTTCCCATCAGCATGGCTGGCTCAGGAATTCTGGGAGTTGAAGTCCACCAGTCATAAAAGAGCCAAGGTTGGCCAGCCCTGATCTAAGCAGTCTGAAATACATAGGTTATCCCAGCATTTTGAGAATATTATTTTGAATGCATTGCGATTCACCAGTCGTGTTTCACCCATGTTTCAGTTGCATTGTCTGGGTTCCCAGGAATTATAGTATTAGGAAATTCACCAGAATTATATCTGTCTAATCCTACTGATTGTAAGAATAATGGATTTCTACCTGTGTCTTTTGTAGGATTCTGAATGCTAGCATTCGTACAGAAAACCTATTTTCTGTAACCATGCTGGAATAAATAAATGTCAAATTCTAGAAACCTGTACAGCCTTTTGACATGTCTGCAGAAAATCACATGTCAAACTGGTGGTGTGATGTGGAAACGCCCGTTTCCCCAAAACCCACAAACACTTGACCCAATTCTGGAAGGTGTGTGTCATGTGCTTATTCCTGATGCCCCCTCTTCTCATGTCGTAATGTTTGCCGTTTTTTTCAGCATGGCAAAGACTTTGAAGCGATTCAAAATAATATTGCCCTGAAGTACAAGAAGAAAAGCAAGCCAGCAAGCATGGTGAAGAACAAGGAGCAGGTCCGGCACTTCTATTATCGCACTTGGCACAAGATTTCCAAATACATTGACTTTGATAACGGTGAGCACACCTTGAAAGGTTGGGTTGGGTTCTCTGAACGATGCAACAAGCTAGCGTAGTTTATCTTTGGATGTACAGCTGGTAGATAGTGGGTAGGAAGGAATGTTTAGGATTTGCCCAGAGCACGTTCTTGTTCAGATGAAGCAGACCTCCACCCTGTCAGTGATTGAAATAGACCTTATAGGTAATTCCTGTTTTTATAGTTTTGGGAAGCAGGTTAAAAGGAAGGTAGAATATGCATTTAAAACAGGCACACCTTGGTCACAAGTTCTTGTTCTTGAATTGGTTCATTACACGAGCAATATAGCAAGCGGTTGCTCCATGTGATTTTTTTCAAAGACAATTGGTAAACCTGCAAAATCATTAAAGGAAACCTTGAATAAAACTATTTAAGGTCACGCACTTCCTACCTAGAGCATTCTATCCTAGTGTATGTTTTAAACTTTGGGTGAAGGCTGGTTAAGGAGCGTGTTGGATGAAACAAAACAATATTACACCTTTCTCTGATGAGCCCAATGGCTTTGCAATAAATCAGCACGATGGCTGGGGAATTCTGGGAGTTGAAATCCACATATCTTAAAAGTTGCCAAGATTGAAGAACACTGTAATAAACAGAATGTCAGAAAAATAACAAGAAAGCACCAAGAAGAAACTCTAAACCCTATAGTAGCAAGATAATTAAAATAGAGTTTCTTTTACAATTTCATTATCTTCCACCAGCTTATTCCACATTTAAGAGTGGGAAGACTGAGGTCCTAATCCATCTTCTGCTACAGAAGGTCCCTGAGTGATTTGGGAGCAGTCATACATTCTGTCTGCCAAGCCTACCTCACAGGGTGCTTGTTAGGAAAACAGGAGGGGACACTACATATTCTGTGTGCTTCAGGAGGAAAAGTGGCATATAAATCTACTACATAAATAAATTGCGATCAGTTTGGAACTGGAGGGAAGAAATGGATGGGTGAGAGACTCAGGATTAAAAGTCATCCTAGGATATGCAAAATAAAATCTAGCACTCGCCTTATGACCACAATTGAGCCCAAAATTTCTGTTGCTAAGCGAAATAGTTGTTAACTGATTTTTTTGCCCCATTTTACGACTTTTCTTGCCAGAGTTGTTAAGCAAATTGCTGCAGTTCTTAAGTTAGTAACATAGTTGTTCAGTGAATTAGGCTTCCCCACTGACTTCACTTGTCAGACATGATCCTGGGTCACTGCAGCCATCATAAATATGAGCCAGTTGCCAAGCATTTGAATTTTGAATGTGCTGCAACAGTCATAAGTGTGAATAACAGTCTTTTCAGTGTCGTCGTAACTTCAAACGGCCACTAAACGAACAGCAGCCTAGCATTTTTTTATATCTTGGAAAAATCAGAATATTGCAAAAGGATAAACGTGGGAGTAGGTGCCAGTGTCCTCCTAAAACCAACTGTGAAATGTATCCCCTTTTCAGAGAGTAAAATTACATTAATTTCAGGGATCCGGTAATGTTGAAACAAATGTCAGTGTTTGCCCGATAGATTCTTAAATAAGAGGATGCCGAATCTCTTAGTTTAATCAAATCCCATGCAAGTTTGTGGTATGTCCTTTTCTTTGAACACCTGTGTTCTTCTTTCTTTTGCAGTGTTTTCTCAAGGGCTGAAAAAGTCCTCCCTTGAGCTTTATGGCTTAATTTGTTATGGGGAGCTCAGAAAGAAGATTGGGGGCTGTGAGTATTCTGTTTTTTCAGTGTTATGAAATGAGAAAGTATGGGGCTTGCCTTTTAGCTGCTGGGGAAAACCGTTTCCAAACCCTTTTGCCAGATGTTTCTAGTTTTCCCCTTTACAGTATTTTGCAAAATAGCTCTGCCGCATCGCTCTGGCTTTGTGTGGGAGAGATTTCCAAGCATGATCTGTAGTTTTTGCTCTTTCACGCAGAGTAGAAGGAAGCAGAAAACACGTAAGGAAGCATCTGTTAATTTGGGGGTGTAATTTCACATACCATGAAAAAATCCTTGCTTAGCAGAAGGGTAAGAACACGACACAGGATGACTTCTGCAGAATTGAAAACAGAGATCATATCTGACTACAGATTTAGAATGAAAACTAAAATGCATTCTGAGCAACTTTGTTTTTTTTTTAATCAATATCTGACTTATCTCATCTAAAGTGACCATAAAATTCTTATTAAATTTTTGCTTTCTCAGTTGAACACGTTCCTTCTCCTCTTCCATTCATCATCATAGTTCTTCTTGGGATATGCAGCTTTATACAAGTAGTTCAGAGAGAGAGAGGTGGATTTTATACTTTTAAAAAAATAATATAGATTTGTGATTTGAGGAATTTGAGTTACATACAATTAAATGGTGTATGCTTGATACCTAAAATGCATTTTCTAGAACAACATGAAGAAACTTGCTCTGTTGAGGTTTAATTAAAATGATATCCCCCCCCCCTAGGAATGACAGTTTTGTAGTTAATTATTTTGTGCTGCCATGTTTTGTTTTTGATATTCTGCCCATCACTCAAATTTGTTCATGTTCTTTAAAGGTATGGATGACAAAAACGCAGCTAAACTCAATGAGCTTATCCAAGCTGGGTGAGTAATATTTTTAAACATGATTTGCTGCTTTTTACATCTCTCAATTTTTTCACATTGCAAATGCTCAGAACAGATGTTTCTTTAACTTGTACTCTGTCAAGTGACGGATGGAATGATTTCAGTATATTGTGCACGTTGTAAGCTGCCCAAAATCCCTTGAAGTGGGGTAACTACCATTAATCTAAATAATAATTGCATTAATGTTAGCGTCAAGAATGACCAAATACTTGCTTGAGGTTTTCAATGAGAAAATGGTCCTGCTTTTGATTTGGATCCTATAAAGACAAATGCTACTGGAAGGGAGTAGATTGTGCCCATCACAAAAAAATTTGTACTTTCCTGGGGTTTAAGGCACCAGGGTAGAAAGCAAGCGACTCTGAGTTCTAGTTCTGCCTTAGCCATGAAAGCCAGGTGGTGACTTTGAGCCAATTACCAAGAGATTGGGAGTTCTAGCCCAGCTTTAGCCATGAAAGCCAGCTTGTTGACTTTGGACCAATATCAAGAGACGGTAAGTTCTAGTCCTGCCTTGGGCATGAAAGCCAGCTGGGTGACTTTGGGCCAATCACCAGGAGCCTGGAAGTTCTAGTCCCACCTTCGCCATGAAAACCAGTGGGTACCTTTGGGCAGTCACTCCCTCTCGGCCCAACCCACCTCAGAGGGTCGTTGTTGTGGGGAGAATAGGAGAAGGGTGTGTTTGGATATGTTCTCCCCCTCCCCCCCTTGAGTTATTTGCAAAAATAACAAAGACGGGATATAAATAACCAAATCAGATCTTCAAGCATCTAACCCCTTTTTAATAATTCTTTTTAGAGCCACAACGGTTCGTTACAAAGGCAGGAACCTTCGTATCAAGGCACCCATGTGCAGGGCTCTGAAGAAGCTCTGTGATCCAGACGGTATGTCGGGAATTCTGGGCAGGAAAGCTGCTTGACACAGCTGGCAGGGGTGAAGATCCCGTGTGCCCCCGGCCCGTGTCCTGCTCACTGTTAAAGGCAGAGGCTGGGAAGTAGCATGTATCAAAGAGATATTTGATACGTGAACTGGACAATCACCTGTCTGTGAAATGGTATAGGTCCTGCTGCTTGAGCAGGGGGCTGGACTAGAAGACCTCCAAGGTCCCTTCCAACTATTCTATTCCATTCCATTCCATTCCTCTATTCCATTCTATTCCCCATTCCATATTCTATTCTATTCTATTCTATTCTATTCCATTCTATTCCATTCTATTCCCCATTCCATATTCTATTCTATTCTATTCCATATTCTATTCTATTCTATTCTATTCTATTCTATTCTATTCTATTCTATTCTTTGTTCTTAAGTCAGTGGGGAAGCCAGATTTGCTTAACAGACCTGTAGCTAACTCCACAACTGCAGTGATTCACTTAACAAATGTGGTAAGGTCGTCAAATGAGGCAAAACCCGCTTAACGACCATCTTGCTTAGTAACATAAATTTTGGGTGTAAGTCAAGGATTCCTGACAGTGAGAACAATCAATCAGTGGAACATCCTTTCCTCCAGAAGCGGTGAATGCTCCAACACTGGAAGTCTTTAAGAAGAGACTGGACAACCATTTGTCTGAAAGGGTATAGGGTTTCCTGCCTGAGCAGGGGGTTGGACTAGATGACTTCCAAGGTCCCTTCCAATTTTGTTGTTGTTATCGTTGTTGTTGTTATTATTATTATCATCATCTGTGCATTGTTCTCTTGATAAGTGATTTCCTTGCGCATTTTGCTTAACCAGGCTCTCAGGTTTAGTATTTCCTGCATGTCTTCTGCTGTGTCCTATAGGTATAAGCGACGAGGAAGATCAGAAGCCTGTGCGTCTTCCCTTGAAGGTTCCTGTGGAACTGCAGCCACGGAATAACCACGCGTGGGCCCGGGTGCAGAGTCTGGCCCAGAACCCACGTCTCAGGTACTTTAAAGGCCGACTATGGGAGATGAACGGGTGGAATCTGGACCCCTGGAGTTGGATCCAAAGCAGCAAGCAAAATAAGTGGCTGACTCGGTTTGAGCAGAGAATTTTTAGAACGTGGTTGGCACGTTCTGCAAAGTATCTGAGCCATTAAAAACAAGATTTGTAGGGTTTTTTTTTCTTTCCTGTTAAAATACATCGGTGTTTAAGATCTCGTATCTTGTGCTATTATTTCTGTGTCTTTTCTCTGGTGTAGTAAAAATGGGAGTAATAGAATCCTAGGTTGGGTTAGAGGTAGAGGCTGGGAAGGCCGACGTTTGTTTTCCTCAGCTTATCTAATGACGTTGTTCCTTCGCTAAAGTTTCCCTCATGTGCTGATTCTTTCGTTCTTTCTCCCGTGACTTGGCAGAATGATCGTGGAGCTGCATCGGAAGGTATCCAGCCTCATTGAGTTCCTGAAACAAAAATGGGCTCTCCACGAAGTGCGTATCGTATCCTTTCTCTTAAGGCAGAAGTCAGTGGCATGGAATATAGTCTGGATTCCCGGGGGGGAGGGAGGGGCTGCATTCTGGAGGAGCAAGGAACACTGCAGTTAGATAGTACAGTGTGGGAGAAATGGGATGAAGACAGCTCCTCCCTAATAGTTGCCAGAGTACATGTTTAATAATGCAAATAGTTTTAGCTTGGTGAGATTTTTGTCTGTAGTTGAGGAACAATAAAGGAAACCGCTCAGAAGAACCTCAACGTGTTTTGCTTGGGTTTTGGAGCCTGATTTAGTGACTTCCTTGTTCCAAGAGTTGGCATTTTTAACATCGCAGATAATCCTCGACTTACAACCCCAATGGAGCCAAAAATTGCTGTCCCTAAGTGAGACAGTGGTTAAGGGAATTTTGCCTCATTTTACGACCTTGACACAGGTGCTAAATGAATCAGCGCAATTGTTAAGTTAGTAACGCGGTTGTGAAGTGGATCTGGCTTCCGCATTGACTTTGCTTGTCAGAAGGTCGCAAAAAAGGATCACGTGACCCCCCCCCCAGGCCACCCAAAACCGTCATAAGTACACGCCAGTTGCCAAGCTTCCGAATTTTGATCACCTGACCACGGAGATGCTGCAGCGGCCGTAAGTGTGAAAAACGGTCACAGTTCGCTTTCTTCAGTGCTGTTGTAACTTTGGACGGCCACTGAACGAGCTGTCGTAAGTTGAGGACTGCCTGTCCTAATGTTCGTTAAGCCGTCTCTTCCTTAGGACAAGAGTTCCTTTTCCAGTTTTTTAACCTTTGCAGTCTTGTTAGTAGCCCTCCTCCTCTTCGGGGTATGCAGCAAGGTGCCACTGACTTGTTTGGGGTTTCTGGGGGAATATTTACAGATCCAGCCTGCCCCCCCTTTTTTTTTTCCACGCCTGTCTTCCTAAACCTCCTGCACGCAGAGGAAAACACTAGCCGAGAGGCAGCTGCAGGATTGCAGAGATGCCGAAAGCAGCAGCAGCAGCAGCTGTTCCGAAGACCAAACGATGCTTCACCTCTTCCCGGGGGAAAACTGTACGCTGACACCCCTGCCTGGGGTTGCCCGCGTGGTACACTCCAAAGCTTTCTGCACAGTGCATTGGCAGGAATCGGGCCGGTGCAAGCAGAGCACGAAGGATGTCCACCTCTTGCCCCCTGCCCAAATCCTAGGCATACAGAGCAGTCAGGGGACAGCCAGAGGGCAGGTGAAATACTCACGGGGGGCAGAGAGTAAAGGCGGAGCCAAGCCCGACACGACCGCGGAAGTGAGCAGAACTCCTCAGCTGATCCTGGATCCCGTTGCAAACCCGGAAGATTGCTCCCCCGAAGCTGGCCTTGCCGAAGCAGCGTTCTCGGACCTCAACAAGCCAGCTGCCGGGCTTCAGGGCCCGAGCGGGAGCCTGGAGAAGTCCATCCCGGCGGCCGAGAGCAGAGAGGCGGCGCCCGCCGTTGCCTTGCCCGCCGCGGTGGACGCCAGCAGCGCCAAGTGCCATTGTGGCGATCTCCTGCCGGATCTGGAAGAGCTCTCCCTGCTCGATCCGTTCCCTCGTTACATGAAGTCCTGCCACGATCTGATTGTCCCCGAGAAGTGTCTTTGCGCGGAGAAGCTGGGTAGAAAAGAGCTTGCCTTGCCAGAATGTTCTCCCGCCGGGGGGGCTTTCCCTGGCGCCACAGAGACCGGCAGTCCCACACCGTTGGCGAGCGGCAGTCTGGAATTGCCCAGCGGTGGTGCCTCCGCTTCTGAAACTCAGGCTTTCCACTGCTCCGGACCTCAAGCCGAACCGTGTGTGAAGGAGCCCCCTGATGCGGTCACGGAGGACTCTCAGGTGAAGCTCAACCCCTCACTGCCACCGCCACCAGCTCAGGGACAGTTGGTCACAAAGTCCCTCAAGGACGAGCCCAGCCGCCTCGCGCAGCAAGTGCGAGAGAAGGGATGGAGCCTGCGGACATCTGAAAGCCTTACCTTGGCTGAAATCTACCTCATGATGGGCAAGCCGAACAAACTGCAGTTAGAATACGACTGGCTGACAGTCTTGGGGCAGGGAACCCAGGATGCCGGGGAGCAGGTCGCTGAACCGAAATGTGTTCCTCCATCGGCCACTTTTCATAAGCAGAAACTCCTCCGTTGCCTCTTGCAGCTCATCTCGACCGAAGTGAACCCCAAACCGGTAAGTATCCGTTGGACTCAAGACACCAGATTGGACCCAATTTGTCACCTCTTAAGTCGTCACAACCACTTCCTGCGAAGTAAGTTGGGCCGAAGGTCCTCCATGTTTCCCAGTTATCCAGATGTGGCCTTTAAATCTTTTGCAGCTGGCTTCCAGCTTCCCTTCCCTGCTTGCCTCTCTCCTCTGAAATGATGACTTAAGGAAATAGGCTTATTTTGGTATAATTTGGATCTTCTTTTTAAGATTATTCACGATGGTGGTAAACATTGTTCATTGCCACCTTAAAAAAAAAAGGAAAGACAAAATAGGGAGAATTTTCATCGTTTTTAGTTAGACATAATCCTCACTTAACGACAGCAGTTCTGTTGCTAAGCAAGGCAATAGCTAAGCCAAAATTTACATCACCACGTCAGGCCCACCTCGTTCCCACTTTTGCAGTTTCACTTCGTATGTATCCAATCCAAAATTACGATTTTAAGAGGTCAATTTTAGATATGTAGATATGTGTGCAATAACCAGAACTGATTATAATGGATTTATATGTGTATAAATATAACTATAATGATCAACTTTGGGTGGGTGCACCAAAGTTTTATGAGGCTTTACTGGTTTCTAGGGAAATCTTTAAAAGCTTTTCAAAATGATGCAGCACTTGATTTAAAGCAAATATTTTTGGACCCCTGGGCTAGATAATTAGTGAATTCACCACTATCCTACCCCAGGATAGTTAGATAAGATAACCTTTATTGTCATTTTTTACTGTGGGCACACTGGCACACATTAAAAATGAAATTCTGTTGCCTGCTCTCAAAAGTGTACAGTACATAACACACATATAAACATGCTATATACAACGTACGTATATACCTACACTCTTACATATGTTGTTGTTAGTTGCAAAGTCATGTCCAACCCATTGCGACCCCATGGACAACGTTCCTCCAGGCCTTCCTGTCCTCTGTCATCTTCTGGAGTCCATTTAAGTTCACACCTACTGCTTCAGTGACTCCATCCAGCCACCTCATTCTCTGTTGTCCCATTCTTCTCTTGCCCTCCATCTTTCCCAGCATCAGGCTCTTCTCCAGTGAGTCCTTCCTTCTCATTAGGTGGCCAAAGTACTTGAGTTTCAACTTCAGGATCTGGCCTTCTAAATATTAAGAGAAAGAGGAAGCTTGAGAGTTCACAAGGTTAATACTGTATGGAACAAAACTGTGACTGAATCTGGACGTTGTGCTTCGGATACCACGGAGCCCCTTCCTCCCCCAGAGGGTAGCAAGGAAAACAGGTCGTGAAGAGGATGTGTGGCGTTCCAGGCAATCTTGCAGACCCTGCTCAAGCATCACTTATAATGTTTTTATATGCTTATATGCTGTTCTGAATGTAATTTGAATGTTCTGAATGTTCTTCTATAGTTCTGAATGTTCTTTGGAATATCTGTTCTTTAACATTAGATTGGGGGTCCCCAACCCCTGGACCGTGGACCAGTACCGGGCTGTGGCATGCCAGCAACTGGTCCACACAAACAAGGAAAACCCCATCCACAGGATGCAGGGAGCACACAAAACCACGCACCTTCCGGTCCGTGGAAAAACCTCTCTCCACATAACCGGTCCCTGGTGCCCAAAAGGTTGGGGACCTCTGCATTAGATGACAATCATTTGAAGCATCCTGCAACTGAGATTTCACTGCTTCTTTTCCAGATTCCTGAAATGAATTCCATTGCGACATCCCCTATCAAGCCCATTCAAGAGGAACATGCTTTGACCCCTCCCGGGAAGGTGATTGCCATTAGTACCAGGAGCCCAGGCTGTGCTCGCAACCAGACTGCGCTTCACAAGAAGACCTTTTCCCCCAGTGCCACTTCCAACTCCTCAGGTGAGTCAGTCATACAGAAAAACCTGTCCACCCTGTGCAGGGTCCATATAGACATGCCCCTCCCGTCTAAATCCTGTGCCTAGGACAGGGGTTGGCAACCGAGGCTCTTTTATGACTCGTGGACTTCAACTCCCAAAATTCCTGAGTCAGCCATGGCTCAGCTTGGAAACCTCTCCCTTTCCCCTCAGCATGGCTGGCTCAGGAATTCTGGGAGTTGAAGTCCACGAGTTATAAAAGAGCCAAGGATGCCTACTCCTGGCCTTGGAAGTCTCCAGATTTTGTATCGCCCGAATTCATTACTCAATTGGGCAAGGTGATCCAGGAGCCATTCCTAAGTTCAAGTTTGAAAATATTGTTTTGTCATTTGGAATTGGGACAGCTTGTACAGAGCTATGGATTTGTCAATCTCCAAGACCAGAACTGAAGAAGCTTTCTTGGGATGAGAAACGAAACGCTTTCAAAGGAGAAAAAAAAACCCAAGATAATCCAGCTGCCTTTTGGAAAAACACCTTTGGGGTCTCCTAGAGCAGTGTTTCTCAACCGTGGCAAGTTGAAGATGTGTGGACTTCAACTCCCAGCATTCTCCAGCCAGCATGGAGTTGAAGTCCACACATCTTCAACTTGCCAAGGTTGAGAAACACTGTCTTAGGAAAGTTGCGCTCGTGATTCTTTTCCCTTTTTTCTTGTGATGCAATTCTCACCTTCCTGCGGATCCATACAGGTTCATGGAAGCGCTTCCGAGACTTTTCCTAATAGAAGTTGTCATGGTCATGATTTAAAGGCTAACCAGCCGATGTAATGTAAGGTGGATGATACAATGATCGGAATGACTCAGCAGGGTCTGTGTCTCTTTAAGACCCTGAGTATAAAAGGGAAGGCTTTTGCTGAAGTGTCTCTCTCATCCATTTACTGCTGTAACTGCTGTGTGTGTTGGATCTTGCTGAATTACTACACGTATGTACATTGTTCCTGGTGTATGATATTATAGATACTGTAAGATAAACCACCATTTAATATAGACCACTGTTTACTGTATTTACTCCTGGGTTATCTCAGCACAAGTGAGACTGTGCACGCTCTGACAGAAGTCCTCTTGGCCTGCCCTTCTCTGTCAATCAACACATGTGTCATTATCCTTTCCTGCCAGGTTTCCGAAATCCTTCTAAACCCCTCTTGGTGGCTAGTTCTTCAAGTTCCAGCAACCCTGATGCAGACGGCGGCCTCTTCGCCATTCCCACAACCCTCCCGCCAAACAGCAGGCACGGGAAGCTTTTCTTGCAAAACAAAGAAGCAGACCTGAGCTTCCGCCAGCGCTTGGACACCATTAGCGTGAGTCTCTGTGGCTTTTAAAATGTGTAAATGGAACACTAACAGGAAAAAAACCAACCCAGCCTGCCTTGTAGTTGGTAAAGTTAAGCAACTCTCAGTTCCAGGTCTCCCTCTTGGTCACGCTGTTAAGATTTCATGGCATTTTATATCATTGATATGTTCTGGGTTGCAGCTGTGTTGTTGGGAGTGCGAAGGGGAAAAAAAAACCTCCGGGTTATCCAAAATTTAGGAAAGAATGAAGGCAGAATTTCAGCCAGTAGGGAATCAAATTGCCCGCTTCTTCCTCTGCTGTTGCTTTCCTGTTTTCTCCATTATCAAAACGTATTTTAAAGTCTTCCTCTCACTTTCCAGGCAGAACCACACAATCTGAAATCACGTTTGTTGGTTTATTAAATGTGTTTGCCGCCCATCTGGCTGAGGGCTACTTCCTGTGTTCATGTGGGAAAAGCGTGCCACCTTTTCCAAATTTCTGATTCTGATTTTCTTGCAGCCAAATATTACTCTGCTGTTTCTGCTACCAAATTAACTGGACATGTTTCATATTCCCTTATATCAGTGGTTCTCAACCTTTTTAATGCCACAACCCCCAACCGGTCGTAAGTCGAGGACTACTCAACCGGTCGTAAGTCGAGGACTACTCAACTGGTGCAGCACCGTTTGCAGAATGGGACTTTTGGCGGGCTCAGCAGGGCAGAGACAGCCTGGACAATTCCTATTGGCTTTTGAAAGCCAATAGAATTAGACTCTATTCAAGAGAGTCTATTCTATTGGCTTTCAAAAGCCAATAGAATAAAAGGGAGGAGCACAGCTAAGGAAAAGGGGGAAAAAAATGGCGGACTGCGTTTTTTGGCGACCCCCGTGAAATGGTTGTTCGACCCCAAATTGGGTCCTGACCCACAGGTTGAGAACCACTGCCTTATATAAATTATGTAGAGCCTTAGAGTCTTTGCCACAAGAGACACTAAATCAGGGCTGTGAAAAAGATCCCATTAACCTAGTTCAGGGATCTTCAAACTTGGCCCTTTTATGACTTGTGGACTTCAACTCCCAGAACGTGCCTGGCTGAGGAATTCTGGGAGTTGAAGTCCACAAGTCATAAAAGGGCCAGGTTTGAAGAGCCCTGTATTAGAATATCGGAATGCTATATCATGAACTACTGTTTCTCTTTAGATGCAATCAGATTTTTTCTTGCCAAAGCCAAGAAAACTACGCAGCAGACACCTGCGGAAGCCGCTAGTTGTGCAGGTAAGAGAGAACCGCTAATTAAAATACATTCTTCACTCGATTGACAAGTGAATTCATTTGGCATGTTTGGGGGGTTATTGTTACTTTAGGGAGGGTTATTGTTTCTCCCCATCCATTTGGACAGAGGTAATTGGTTCTTCCTGTTTGGTGGTTCTTTGCTTTCTCTTGAGCAGTTAACAAGGCCTGTCAGCATGAGGGAGAAGCAGATTGCATGGTCATTTCAGTTTTAGGCTACGAAAAACCAGCCAAAGGTGCATCTCTTTGTAAGATGGAATGGGTCAGATTTGAATACACATTTAGAATTCTTTTAAGGTGCAGACATTTGATTCTCAAATTGTATCCTAAGAGGGATCTTTGATTTTTTACCACGCTCTGTTAAACAGATGGACAGTTTTGGGCCAGATGATCTGTCCTTCCTGGGAGGAGAAGGAATAGGAGAAAGAGTAATTTTTGTACAGGCCTTAGCTCCTGTTTATTGCCAGCATATGGCCTTCAACACATAAAACCTAGAAGAATATAACTCTCCTCATCAAATCAAACTTCTCCAACCCTTAAGTGAACTGAATGCAGTAGGATATTAGCAAAAGGTCCAGGTGTTCATAACTATACAGGTAGTCCTTGACTTAAAATTGAGCCCAACATTTCCGTTGTTAAGTAAGGCAGTCGTTAGGTGGGTTTTGCCCACATTTTACGACCTTTTTTGCCACGGCCGTAAAGCGAGTCACTGCAGTGATTAAGTTAGTGACACGGTTGTTAAAAGACTCTGGCTCCCCCTCCATTGATTTTGCTTGTCAGAAACCGGCTGGGAAGGTTCCAAATGGTGATCACGTGATCCTGGCACGGTGCAACTGTCCTGTCACATGACCATAGGGATGCTGCAATGAACATAAGTGTGAAACCTGGTCATAAGTCCCTTTTTTTTTAGTGCCGTTGTAACATTGAGCGTTCGCTAAGGAAATGGCTGTAAGTTGTTATGGAGAATGTATTTGGAGAGTGTCCATATCATGATTTTATTTATTTATTTATTTTTATTTATTTATGAGACTTATATACCGCTTTAAGTGCGAGCACTCTCTAAGCGGTGTACACCAGTAAGCAATGTATATATATATTTACATTGCCCCCAACAATCTGGGTCCTCATTTTACCTACCCCGGAAGGATGGAAGGCTGAGTCAACCTTGAGCCGGTGAGATTTGAACCGCTGACCTGCTGAACACAGTCAGCTAAAGTGGCCTGCAGTACTGCACCCTAACTGCTGCGCCCCCTCGGCTCATATATGATTAAACATGGACCAGGGATACAATATAAATATTACTCTGTTTTTTTTTTAAGTTCTCTTGCTTTCTTCTTGCAGAGGACCCTGCTTCCTAGACCATCCGAAAGCCCTTCCCAGCATGTGTGCTCCTTTTCCATCTTATCTAACTCCTCCGTAACAGGTGAGCCTCTCGGGCGCTGTGTATAATCTGAGCAATATATTTAGACCAGGGGTAGGCAACCTCGGCTCTTTTATATCTCATGGACTTCAACACCCAGAATTCCTGAGTCAGCTATAGCTGACTCAGGAATTCTGGGAGTTGAAGTCCATGAGTCATAAAAGAGCCGAGGTTGCCTATCCCTGATTTAGACTGAGCTGGGGAAGGCTCCTATCTCCTGTTCTTTGACTGGAGGGGATTAAGAATTGTGGCCCTTTTTGTATGTAGACTTGTCACAGAGCACTTAACAATTCTCACTAGCTGCTTTTCCAACAGCCCTGTGACAGCAAGCCTTCATTCTGATGGTTTTATGTCAGGGGTCTCCAATCTTGGTAACTTTTTAAGACTTGTGGACTTCAACTCCCAGAATTCCTCAGCCAGACAAGGTGCCAAGTGGGATATAACCCCCAAGTGACCTTTTTTTTAAAAAAAAAATTTGGCGTGCTTTGAAACATTCCTGCTGTTTTTGACTGTTTCTTCTTCAGGAAGGGGATCTTTCCGGCCAATCCAGTCTTCGCTGACTAAAGCTGCCGTGTCACGTCCCATTGTTCCCAAGATCCTTCCAGTTCAAGCCACCAGTCGTCTTTCTAGTAAGTCTTCTTTTCCAAAGAAAGTCCAGGCACAGGGAAGTAGAGGTAAGGTTAGGTCTCCATGAATTCGGAGAGCGAAGTGGACATCGCCAACAAATTCGTCGTGCATCAATATGCTTAGGAGGGCACTGACTTTTCAGGTCTACCGGTAAAATACATGGAAAAATCCCATGGGGGGGGAGCAAGCAGGGTGGGCAAATCCACTTAGGGTTAGGTCTCCATGAATTCAGAGAGTGAAATGGACATCGCCAAAGAATTCATACGCATGGAACCTGCCTTATCCCAGATCTTAGTAGTTCTGAAGTAACTGTTTTTAATCTTCCCCCATGATAAGTTTTTAAAGTGCTGGTTATGTTTGCCCGGGTCTCTAAATCCTTTTGAAAAAGATCCTATTAGCCTAGTTTAGGGGTCTTCCAACTTGGCCTTTTGATGACTTGTGGACTTCAGCTCCCAGAATTCCTCAGCCTGGCGTTGGAAGACCCCTGAACTAGTTAATAATTCAGGTGATAGCAGGACAATGGAGATAAAGGTTTTAAGTAAGGTTGAGATAATGAAGCAATGGAAAAAAAATCTTAGCTTTTGAGATAGAGGTAATCTTTATTTAGTGATTGTCTGATACAGCAACCAGTTGAATTAGCGTGATGGTGAAAAAGCAACTTTGCGACCGGTCCTCGCATTTACATCCTTCACAGGTCTATAAGCAAAGGAAAGCCGAGATAAGATCATAAGCACAACGGTCACGGTTTTCCTTAGTGACCTCTTTAAGGATTGAGTTGCCGCTCTTAGTTAAACAAGGACTGCCTATACTGAATCGGTGAACTGTGTAGATAGACGAAGGTGCTATTAAAATAAAGTGTTTTCCTGCTGGTGCAGATGTAACCTTGCAAGAACCTCAGGTTTTAAGAGTTCTGCCTTCAGGAAAATGCCCTTCCTCACATTTGCTTTTATCTGTCCAAAGGCGCGATTGATTTGGCGGCTAAATCGGCCGGTATTATCCCTGGCAGTCCTTTGCCGCTTCTGGGGACCGAAGGCTTGCCAAGTGTTTCCCCGCTCTCACCAGAGGCAGTATCCACCGTGGTTGGAGGTCAAGATTCCACAGTGGCACATCAGAACGGAGGCTCCGTAGCAGCAGTGGCGGTCAGTTTTCAGCTTTACTATAATCTTCTTTTTCTTCTTCTTCTTCTTCTTCTTCTTCTTCTTCTTCTTCTTCTTCTTCTTCTTCTTCTTCTTCTTCTTCTTCTTCTTCTTCTTCTTCTTCTTCTTCTTCTTCTTCTTCTTCTCCTCCTCCTCCTCCTCCTCCTCCTCCTTCCTCTTCCTTCTTCCTTCCTTCTTCTTCTTCTTCCTTCTTCCCTTCCTTCTTTTCCTTCTCCTTCTTCTCCTTCTCCTTCTTCTTCTTCCTTTCTCCAGCTCATTCTATTACAGGGATTAGGCAGCTGTGGCAACATTACGCCTTGTGGACTTCAGCTCCCAGAATTCCTGAGCTGGCCATTCTTCCCATTTAGTGCTGGCTCAGGAATTGTGGGAGTTGAAGTCCACAGGATGTAAAGTTGCCCATAGGTGCCCACCCGTTCTAATGGGATGTTGCTTTGGGCACAACGTGCACCAATTAGATGCTAGGCTTCAAAAACCAAGAAAGACACGTCATGATTCTTACAACCAGGTTTTTTTTTATTGTTGTGGACTTACTGACAGAATCTTGCCAAATCGAAGCAGACTACTACCTGCCCGAAGCATATATTCTGGGAACTAATAAGGAGGGGCTGTCTTCACTCTCTTTCTCTCACATAGGATATCTGGGCTGAGTTGCCTCTTATTCCTCTGGAATGCACCCCCCTCCCTCCTGGAAATCCAGCCCTCTATATTCCATCCCACTAGACCAGGGCTCTTGGCTCTTATGACTGGTGGACTTCAACTCCCAGAATTCCTGAGCCAGCATGGCTCAGCTTGGAAATCTCTCCCTTTGCCCTCAGCATGGCTGGCTCAGGAATTCTGGGAGTTGAAGTCCAACAGTCATAAAAGAGCCGAGGTTGCCTACCCCTGTTCAAATGCCTGAATTTTGATCATGTGACCGTGAGGGAAAAATATCTACATATTTAAACCAGAGGTCTTCAAACTTAGCCCTTTTATGACTGGTGGACTTCAACTCCCAGAATTCCTGAGCCAGCCTGGCTCAGCTTGGAAACCTCCCCCTTTCCCCTCAGCATGGCTGGCTCAGGAATTCTGGGAGTTGAAGTCCACCAGTCATAAAAGAGCCAAGATTGCCTACCCCTGCACTAGACTCCTCCAGACAGCCAAACACCTTTAAAAGTCTTATCTTACCTTCACAACTCCAGCTTTCCCGAAATGGCCTTTCCAGTCCAGACTGACACCTCATCAACTGTTTTAGACATTAATGGTTCTGTTGTTCTACCTGGCAGGATAGTCTTTTCTGTCATCTGTAACAAAGGAGAAGGGCTCCCAGGCTAGCTAGCCACGATAGATAATGGAGATGCTAGTTCTGTTTTCCCTGAATTTCTATTCTGTATCTTCCCTTTTTCTTTTTCTTTTTTCACTATTTATTGGTTAGATTTACTTCCCTTCTGTTCTTTGGAAACTCCTTGGCAGTAGCAAGGCAGGCATGTTAATAAAGCATTAATGTTCCATAATTTCAGCATCTCTCTTCCAGCCGTGTGGCTCAGGCAGTCTTTCTTGATTCCAGGGTTCAAGCCATGAATGTCGGGTTCCTTTCCTTGGTCTACCATCCCAGCCTGAGCAAGAAGCCATTCCTGATGGCTTCCAGGTAAAGTATATTTAATTAATAATTACGTACACTTCAGAACTTAATAGATACCAACGCTGTAGTTCTGATTAAGGAGGCTGTGTGCATAACCAGTACTTGCGTTGCTTGCAGCCTAGTTTTAGACATAGTCATTTTAGAATAGTCATTTTGGAAACTCTTTCATCCCTAAATAAAGAAGATTGGCTAGGCACTCGTCTGAATGTTGTGTGAACTTTTAAAGTCTGTTATTAGATACTCGAACTCCGCCCTCCCCCCAAAAAAATCTATGAACACATGGCACATGCTAGTTCCAGTAAACACTGATAACACTCATAGAGAAGCAAGAATAAATCTTGCTAGATCAAAACGTGAGGCTCAGAGATTGCAAGAAGACAGTTGTGAAGTGCAAACAAAGTGGAAAAAAATACCATCTTGTTGTGAAATTGCTGGTATTCTAGGCTATTGTTTTTGCTATTGTTTTGCTATTGCAACTTCCCAGAATGTGGACCAGAATGTAGAATTTCCCATCCAGCAGATCAGTGAAGTCCATAAATCTGAAAGGCACTCGTGTTTATCTTCTGTCGCTGAATAGCCCAGCATCTAACAGGGATCCCTTTCAGATTTGTGGGCTTCGTTGTCCTGAATTATCAGCAATAATTCTGTTGGAGTCTATTGAAATAAACGTTTCATTGGATAACATACATTAAACAAGACACTTGTATAAACATAGCGGTGAGCTGGAATCTTGGGGGAATCCGATTTCAACCTTGCTAGATACTGTTCTCCAGATCCCACCGTTAGGGAAAGCTGTCAGCTTGGTTATATGCCATCTGTAAAAGGAAAAAACATCAAATTCTCGGGAGCTGAAAGGAGGAATAGAGAAGGGAGACTGTAAGCTAAACTTTCAATCGTCCTCTTCAGGGAGACGATACTGAACTATAGATGGAAAGAATGGTTGCATCTAACGTAAGGAAGCTTTGTATATTTAAGCGCGGACGTAGAGTTGCAACACCCTGACAAGGTTCCTGGTCTTCTGTCCTGGCGTAACAGCTTTAGAAAAGGACATGTTGTTGATGTTACAGTTGTTTACGATTACCGTTTGCTTGCTACCCCAGGGAACACCAGTCCTTTCCCTGCCGGAGCTGCCTAAAACGTCGCTGCGGAATGGCCTTGCTCCCTCTCCGCTTCCCTCTTCTGAGACATCCAGTACCCACCTGTCTCCTCCCAACGTCTCCGCTCTCCTGGACATATCTCTTCCTGGACCCCCCGAGGATGTTTTGTCTCAGGGAGAACCGGCTACACAAATCAGTGACTCCATCATCGAAATAGCCATTAGCTCAGGCCAATACGGTAAGGGAGAAAGAAGAGGCAGAGGAGGCACAAAACGAATGAGTGAGTGAGTGAGATGTCAAAGGTTAGCTGTTCAAAAGATTGCCATAGGTCTGGCTCATCAATGGGTTCTGGTTTTGTTTTTGTTTTTCGACCTTGATAATGCTCAAATGGGCGAGTGTTCCTTGAAAGCAAGAGTGGGGAGCTTGTGATTTTCCAAAAAAGGACGGCTGCATATTTTACACACTGCAGTAACATTTTCCATTTACAGGTGAGAATGTTTCCCTGTCCCCAGCCAAGCTGAACGGCAGCGATAATTCCAAAAGTCTTCCGTCCCCATCCTGCAGCCCCCAGCAAAGCTGGATCGCCTCGCCCAGCCATGATCCACAGTGGTATCCCAATGACTCCACCGACTCTTCCCTCAGCAGCTTATTTTGTGAGTGCAGCCAAAAAGGCTCTTAACAGCCTGGGGGTGGTGGTGATATGACCAGTTTAACCTCATTCTTTTGTCCCGTAACCTCTCCGTTGTCAAAACCCAGATGAGAGATGTACATTGAGCAAGCAGGAGACCTAACCGTACTCTTTTTAAAAATGTGAGCATAGCTACAGCCCACTTAATCAGCAATATTTATTCCACCATTATCCCATCTGGTCTGCTTCTTTTCCTTGGTCCACAAAAAATATCAAATTTTTCATCACCGATAGCCCCCACAGTCAGGATCAGAATTTCTGTTGCTAAGCAAGGCAGTTGTTAATGTGAATCCCGGCAAATTTTAACAACCGTTTTTGTCAAAACTGCTCGACGCATTGTTGCAGTGGTTAAGCCAATTGCGCCATTGTGCAACGAATCCAGCTTCCCCCAGCTAGGAAGGTTGTAGATGGCGATCACGTGGCCCCCTCCTCAGGATGCTGCAACCCTTGTAAGTACATGCATGTAAATACATGCCTGTAAATTCAAGTGCCCAAATTTTGATCATGTGATCATGGGGAACGCTGCAACAGTCATAGGTCTGAGGACTGCAAGCCACTTTTTTTCAGTGCCATTAATCACTTTTGAACGGTTGCTAAGTGAGCGGTTATTAGTCAAGACTACCTGTAGTGCTCTGACCCCAGTTGGGAAAACAACCTGTTATAACGGGCACCAGTTAAGTCAGTGGTTCTCAACCTGTGGGTCGGGACCCCATTTGGGGTCGAACGACCATTTCACGGGGGTCGCCAAACAACGCAGTCCGCCATTTTCCCCCCCTTTTCCTTAGCTGTGCTACTCCCTTTTATTCTATTGGCTTTTGAAAGCCAATAGAATAGACTCTCTTGAATAGAGTCTAATTCTATTGGCTTTCAAAAGCCAATAGGAACTGTCCAGGCTGTCTCTGCCCTGCTGAGCCCGCCAAAAGTTCCATTCTGCAAACGGTGCTGCACCAGTTGAGTAGTCCTCGACTTACGACCGGTTGGGGGTCGCGGCATTAAAAAGGTTGAGAACCACTTAGTTAAGTGCTGCCTCTTGCCCAAAGAATGGGCTTTTTTTCTGAGGACATCATTGGACTTTTCTACTTTGGACTGAGATCGCTGTCTGACATCTTCCTACCTCTGTTTTACAGCCAGTTTCCTTTCTCCGGAAAAGGGCCGGAAAATGCTGCCCACCTCAGTGGGCAATCCAAGCAGCAGCTCCTTGCTGGGACCCAGCCTGCTGGATGGGAATTCACGGGATTCTTTTGTCTCTCGGTCCATGGCAGATGTCGCTGAGGTACAATATACTTTTTCTCGGAGATACGGTGCAGAGCTTTCGGCTGGGGTGATGGCAGAGAGAGAAAAAGAGAGAGTTTGGGATGCCAGTGAAGGTGCTGGCCTAGAAGGAAGGAGATCCTGACTTTCAGCTCTGGCTTTGGCAGACAAGCTGGCTGGTTGACTTTGGGTCAGTCTCTCTTAGCCCAGTCTCTCTTGCGAAGGAAGGAAGGAAAGGAAGGAGTGGAACAAACAAGGAAGCAAGGAATCTAGCAAAGGAAGGAAGGAAGGAGTGGAACAAGCAAGGAATCTAGCGAAGGAAGGAAGGAATGGAACAAACAAGAAAGCAAGGAATCAAGGAATCTAGCGAAGGAAAGAAGGAAGGAAGGAAGGAAGGAGTGGAACAAGCAAGAAATCTAGCGAAGGAAGGAATGGAACAAACAAGGAAGCAAGGAATCTAGCGAAGGAAGTGGAACAAGCAAGGAATCAAGGAATCTAGCGAAGGAAGGGAGGAAGGAGTAGAACAAACAAGGAATCTAGTGAAGGAAGGAAGGAAGGAAGGAGTGGAACAAGCAAGGAATTTAGCAAAAGAAGGAAGGAGTGGAACAAACAGGGAATCAAGGAATCTAGTGAAGGAAGGAAGGAAGGAAGGAAGGAAGGAAGGAAGGAAGGAAGGAAGGAAGGAGTGGAACAAGCAAGGAATCTAGCGAAGGAAGGAAGTGGAACAAACAAGGAAGCAAGGAATCTAGCGAAGGAAGGAGACCTATATAGACAAACAAAGGCCACACATGTGGTATTTTGCATCACTACTCCATCCCTAGCCATCATTCCGCGCACCCCCCCTCCCAATATCGTGCAGCTATTGGCTAGCAAAGTTGCACGCTGCACATCCTGATAACTAGCGTGCCTTTGACCGTATTCTAAACTCCGCTAAGCTCAAGAGAAAGCCAGAAGACCCGGAAATCAACAATCTCTTTTCTTCCCCTTCTCTTTGGTTGTAGGTGGTAGATTCCCAGCTGGCCTGCATGATGAACGAGAACAGCATAGATTACATATCTCGTTTCAACGACCTCGCCCAGGAGCTCGCGATCCCCGAGCCCCCCCGCCGAGAGATTCTCTTTGACGGAGGGAGTGGCGGCCCCCCCATGGGCGACCTCTCTCAGTGAACACATCCCGCCAGCTGGCTGGTGGGCGCTGTTGAATTGGCCATAACGTGGAGGAATGACGTCATAGCTATGCAGCCGATTGGTTTTTTTTATTATTATTATGGTTTTTGTTGTTGTCCTGGCGGGAGCATACCTGACATGAAGAGAGAAGCTTTTTTTGTCTTCGACCTTCTACGGTTCCTGGAAAGTGCAATAGGCTGGGAACAAGGCACTGTGGAGCAGTATTATAGAAAGTGAGGTGTGTGTAAGCTGGTGACAAAGCCGCAAAGTTTACAAGACGAGTTCCGGGTTTAAGGTCTGAGCAAGAAATCTTGAAAACTACACTCTTAGATAGAAAACCAAAACTGTTGTCGGGGTATCCACAAATAAGCTGAAAGTTGGGGGTAAATAGTGGTATGTTTTTATTAAGTTTTCTGTTTTTTTGTTTTTGTTTTAGAACTTCCTCTCCTGATCTGTCACGGTTGTCTTGTTGGCAAGTCAGTTGAGCTGGTATTCCTCTCACTTTCCTGTCGCAACAGAGCAGCTGAATTTTAAACAAGGCTTTTTAACAGAATTCTTTCATTGTTTCTTTATATTCATTAACATTCCAGCAGGACACGAGGGAGGGAGGGAAAAAAACACCTGTTGCTGTTCCATGTTTAAAAACTAGGATAGGGTCAGAGGAAATCTTGGAAGGACACAGGACCTATCCTGCTTCTTTTTAACCTTCTTCCCCACGCTTAAAATTAAAAAGACAGCTATCGCCCGAGGATTTCCATTTTTCCTAGCATGCCAGCTGGGGAATTGTGGGAATCCTTAAATTTGTTGGAAGTTGAGAAACACTCTTCTGGAGGGGGGGGGGTCTTCTAGATATGTTCAAAGTCAAATCCCTTTGAGATGAGTACAATCATTGGTGACGGTCATGGAAATGTCCTCTTGGGAGGACAGTGGTTTTCCTTGTCTTGGGGATGAATTTCCGACTTCCCAGTCTAATCTGCAGCTCGGGGGTTCTTGGTAGGTATTAAATGAGAGGCCTCGTGGCAAAACCAGGGCCATAGACTAGACTGGGATGTCAGCACACTCCCTAAAGAAGATCACGATAATGCACTTCCATTTTGTTGCCGCCTCAAAAATCATGTTTATATCTCTTTAGATATCAGGAGTCAAGCTTGACTTGAAGACACTTTCTCTTTTCTTCTTAAGAGCCCCTTTGATTATTGTGCGTTAGCATTTTGGGGGACAAATCTCTTGGCCACATTTCTGGTTGCAGTTGAGGAATGTTTTTGATCATGTTCTGCCAATGAAAGAAACGGGTACAATTCTTTTACTTCCTGTAGGTTCCTAACGCAGTTATCAGTTTTACACCAGGGTCTCTCCATCTACAGTCCTGAGGTCTGTAGATGTTGGCCTCTTAGCCGTCAGAGCTTGGATAGCAGGTAGCCTTCACTTGACTTTAATTTTGCAGCCATCAGGAGCCATCTAGTCCAGTGTTTCTCAACCTTGGCAACTTTACGATGTGTGGACTTCAACTCCCAAAATTCTCCAGCTAGCTAGCAATGCTAGCTGGAGAATTCTGGGAGTTGAAGTCCACACATTGTAAAGTTGCCAAGGTTGAGAAACACTGGTTTCTAGTCCCTCTTTTTTACCGATTGTTCCAGATTATACAGTTCCCTTACTTGTTCCTCTCCCACAAGCCGAGCATTTCTAACCATCATTCCCTTATGAAATGCTGTTTACCTACAAGCAGCCCCTCTTTGCAAGCCTGTCCTGTAGATGTCTCATTTTTCTTCAGATGTTTGACAGGCAACGTGACTTCAGACCTGGTCCACAAGGTCTACCTTGCTTTTGCCCAAACTGACGTCAAAAGGGAGCGAAAACAGTGCTGATCAGGAGAGGCATCTCTGTTCCTGGGATTTATCCCTAATCCTCTTCTGGCATCGCTCCACGTTTCTTCGCTCTGCCTTGCCGCAGAACTGGAGGGCCTCTCCTAGCTGCAGTGTATTTGTGACGTGAGTCCACCTGCCCTTCTTTAAATTAAGATGCTCTCCAGATTCTGCAGAAGCTGAATGGAAAACTGCTGAGATCATGCGTACCTCTGGGGCTAATTATTATAACCTAATCATCTGATATCACTGCTCCTTCCAAAGTTGCAGTCCTTTCGAGTATTTCGCCGTAACTGATAACTAAATGGACTCTTTTATTTCGGGCCAAAACACCCTATGCAGTTCTGATAGCAAGGGGTAACAAAATAGTGGTCCACAGAGTTCTGACAGTCACAGAGATTCTCTCCTTTTAGCATACTGGATCGGCATGTATCCAGATAGCATCTGTGATTTAGGAGGCATTTTAGCAACTTAGCTTAGATCCCACACTGCCAGAATTCACTTATTGCACTCGTGCAGTTTTTGCCAGGCTCTTGTCTGATAAACAACATTCCCCCCCTTCCCCAGTATCCTTCAGCTCTTTTCAGTTCTGTGTCCCGAAGACAACGTTTTATTCAGCGTGTTTTGTTCAAATAAAGCAACCTAGGCCGACTCTTTCCGTGATCATCATGCAGCTTGCACTGTGATTTAAAGCTTTTATGTGGGTTTTTCTTTCCTCTTAACTACTGGGCTATTTGACATGGATATTTTAAACTCAAGTTTATGGAGCCCTTTTTTTTTATGTCTGTCTGGAATATTCACCTGCCTTGAAGTGGAATCAAAAATCCTACTCGGATACCAGTCCTTGGCGATCAGTGTCCCTCACGACGCCAGCTTTCTCCATCCATGAAAGCAAAGAATGTCGTAAGAACTATTAGGGCTAGACAGTTTTTAATACGGTTTTGTTGCCGGAAACATCCAGAAGTAAGTAAACATTCACAAAGCAGCTCCTTTCCTAATACTTGACAGTTTAAAAGCAGTATCTACATATCAGCTTTAGTGCTTCTGAAATTCTCTGCAAATGACACTGAACTTCCTTCGTAAAGTCTTAATGGTCTCCTTCCCTGTTTGTTTAGTGGTTTTTGTCCACAAAAATTTTAAGAAAAAATCCTTTTGTGGCCTTTTACGTCTTGCATGTTACATCTGAAGTCAAGAGCAAGGACAGCTCTGCTTTTAGGACTGAAGAAAAGGAGAACTCCAGTGATCTCAACTCCAGCCGTTTTGCTGCAGTGCTTATTTATATAAGTGATTTTAATTCTTGGGAGCTGCTGGCCTTATGGCTGCTGTCGAGAAAGATCCTGATTGGATAAGCGCAGGAGACCATTCTGAGCTGTTCCTCTGGATCCTTTTGGATCCAGAAGAATGTTAAGTTTATGTGCAACTAATAGGGAATTTGCAGGCACGGCTGCGTCTAAGTGGAGTCACCTTGCCTCTTGTTTTTGACTGGAGGTATTGAAAGAAAAGGCTCTTGCGGATGGCCTGATTTTCATTGGTGCATTTGGTTCTTGAAAAGCTTTTGGTGTCCTGTGTTCTTTTTCCAATCAGATGGATGGGTTGATGTGTGTCTTTTATAAATGAGAATGTATGCAGTGGATATAAGCTTTTCTCGTAGGCCGACCAGACGGGGCACTGGGAATCGGAAGCGTTTGCTCCTAACCTAATGTAAAGTTTCAAGATTGTGGGTTAGGCGTTTGTATCTGCCCATTTTTTGAGTGCCTGGATTGGACAGTAGTTGATGGTCTTGCTTGTGCATTGCGTTGAAATTGGCCAATCGCTCAAACATTGACTTTTAGTTTTGATCAATGTGGACACAGTTCATGAGGAGTTTCCTTCCACATGACGTTGGTTGGAATGAAATTCCCTATGAACTGCATCCTAATTATCTCACACTTTTGTTCTTTACACAAAAGAAATTGGCATTATGTAACCTCTCTGATTGTTAACTTTATTGCTTTCTTTAGCCAGCTTGATTTCAGTTATACCCATAAGGATGGCTTGTCTTTGACTTGACCAGTGGTGGGTTTTTTAGTATTGCATTTGGGATTTGGGTTATTTTTTTAAATACACAACACACACACACACACACACACAATACTTGTATGCTTACACAGAGAAGACAGCTGAATTTTTAAGGAAGAAACGGCACTTTTTTTTTTGCGTTAACCCAGCCCTTTTTAAAGCTTTCCTTGTGACCTGTAAATGCTAAATAATGAAAATGTTTGCAAGCACTACAGCAATGAGTTATCATGAGTTGCCAAAATGTGACAACTGGCTTTTGAGCTTGTGCATTTGGCAGCAGATGATGTTGCTGTTTCTTTTAATAATAGTTAAGCCATATCATCTTAAAAAGTTTTTTGTCTTGTTTTAAAATGTGAATTCGTTTTTCAGATAATATGCATATATAGCGTATGTATAAAGCAAGAATGCCTGTCCTTAACTGATTTATTTTTTTGTACCATATTGTAAATTATATTATTTATTCTTTATCGATTTTTGGAAAAAGGAAAAAGGTGTTTGGGTTATTTAATATAATATACAAAAGTTAATTTCCTCTGTTTTCAATTTCCAATTCAAGTTGTAAAGTTGTTTTTATGATTGTCCATAAACACTTACTAATCCTTGGTCTAATCTGTGTGTCTGAGAAAGATATTTGATAATCATTTTTCTTCCTATAGTTAAGAGTTCAGAGATGTTAGAGGTGATTGAGGATTTCTTTGAGGATCTGTGGAAAAATCAGTATTCTATTACATTGGGTGAAATTGAGTGTAGAAATGCCCTGGAACTTTTAACATTTGAAGCATTAATTGCTAAGTTCTTCTATTTCCTGTTTTTGATGAGTGTCTGCATTCCATGGGAATTATTTTAATAACCCCCAAAAGTGATGAGTTTAGTCCCATAGCTAAAAATGATCCTGGATTTCTGCCACTGACAGAATAGAAAGCAATGCTACTAAGCTTTCGGTGTTGCTGATCATCCTTCCCAAATCTGACGTCTCAGCGGATTTGTGGACTTTTTCACTCCCAGAATTCCCTAGCACAGGAACTTTAAGACCTGTGGACTTCAACTCCTATAGAATTCCCCAGCCAGCACTGCTGGCTGCCAAGGTTGGACACCCCTGCCCTAGCCAATATTGGCATTGCTGACAATTCTAGTATTAAATGTGTTCACGCATCTAGAAATTACCAGTTTGCAAAAGGCTGGAACATGCAGCCCAACAAAGTGTTGCCAAGCAAGCAGTATAAAATTGGGCGGTGCTTTAAATTATAGATCAGTGTCTCACGTGCTCATCCTTGAAGTGAAACAATGGGTTTCTTTTTCCAGATATGAGAAGGATGTCCAAACTAGATAAAGAACAGACAAAACACCAAGGTCAAAAGAAAAGTCAAGATGGTGACAACATTGTGACTTTTTTTTTGACAACACCCCTCTGCCCGGCTGGCTGATAGAATGATTCTAAAATACAAATTTCTACTGTAATAAGCTTCATTGTGAGTGGACTTGAAACTTGATATTTTGATCTAATTAACACATCACCCTTTGCCTTCACACAACCATCCAAGTATAACTAAACTATGCTTTATTGAATCAACGTTTTGGTTAGTACCAGTGCATGGAACTATAATCCCACTGGATGATCACTAAAGCGCCCTGCATTAATAATTGACCCAAGTTTCATTAGGAACAATGCAACCGGCACAGAACAAGTAAATATCTGAATTTGTTAAAGGTTAAATCAGTCAACCGCTTGTCAAGTAAGATCAATCATTTGCCCAATAATAGTTCAGCCGATCGCCTGTCCTTTTGGAGTGCTGGTTCGCTTTGCAACCGATAGCTGCGTTCACACGACCCGCTTAAAACATGGTTAAGACCGATGACTGCATTTATTCATATTAGATTTTGTAATGGTCCACCTCGGGTTAGGTCTAGAGCAGTTCAGGCTGTTAATGCGAACTCCGATCACTTAGGTTTCAACCTAGCCAACTTTAAGATTTATGGACTTCAACTCCCAGAATTCCCCATCCAGCAAAGCTGGCTGAGGAATTCTGGGAATTGAAGTCCACAAGTCTTAAAGTTACCAAGGAGGAGGAGTGTTTGGAAACACGTGGGGGGGGGGAAGAGCCGCAGCCCTTTAAATTTAAAAAAAACCAGAAACTTCCGAGTCATTTCCTCTTTTCTTCCCCCTCATCCAATGAGCGCCCGACCTCTTTGGAGCGGCCCCGCCCCCTCCCACAGCAGACGCCCCGCCCCTTTCGGCTCCCGCCACCTCAGAACCGCGTCCCCGCCTCGCGCTCCGAGGGGCGGGCCTTTCCGCCGCGGTTGGCCGAGGCAGGGTGGAACGGCGCCGCCCTCGGCCACTGGCCTTCGGAGGGCGGGGTCGAGCGTCGAGCCGGGGAGACGCGGGAGAGAAAGAGGCGAGTCGCGGCCGGGAAGCTGAGCAGCTTCGGCCCGTCGTTCTGCCGGCCACCATGTTCCAAGGGCCCGAGTCCGACACGGCCAGACCCAGCTCCAGGTGAGGCGGCCGCGCGGCTGGGCTTTCCCCTCGGGAGGCCGCTGGGCCGGCCAGGCCGCTGCGAGGAGGGGGGGAGGGAGGGACTCCAAATCCCAGCATCCCCAGCCTGGAGATGGGCCGGCCCGCATCCCGACGCCTCTGCCGGGCGGGCGGAGGAACACGTGGACGCCGCCGCCTGAAAGGAGGGGGGCAGCTCTGTTCCCCCCCCCTTCCCCATTCCCGCTCAGGTCGCGTTCACACGACGCGTGTAACCCAGACCTGCAAGGTTTCACGCAGGTTTCGCGGGGCGCGTGAAAACTGGCCCCGCTTGTCCCGTGGGAATGACTACCTGGCTTGGGGTGTGGCGGTGAATCCCGCCTCGGGCGTCGCGCCCTTGGATGCCGGCAGCGGAGAGGCGATTCGGCTGGCTTGGGCTGGGCCAGCCGGCTGGAGACCCCCGGTGGGGTTGGGTGGGAGGCGAGATGCGGGGGGGGCTCCCTCCCCTCCCAAAAAAGTACCCTGCCAGCCCCTGCAACACGGGTGGGTGGGTGGGTGGGCGGCATGTAATTGCGTCTGCCTTGCTGGGAGCCAAATAAAGGTTAAGAGTGCTTATAATGCCCCCCTTGGAAGGCTGCCTCCGATATAAAAAAAAGATGTTGATAATCCTAGAAAGAGTGCAGAGAATAAAGAGGGGCTGCAGGATAAAACATACAAAGGAGGGCGGTTGCAGGAATTGGGTATGTCTAGTTTAATGAAAAGGGGGACATGTCAGCAGCCTTCCAGTATCTCAGGGGCTGCCCCAAAGAAGAGGGAGTCAAGCTCTTCTCCAAAGCCCCAGAAGGGAAGACAAGAAACCATGGATGGAAACGAATCAAGGAGAGAAGCAACCTGGAATTAAGGAGAAACTTCCTGACCGTTAGAACAATTAACCTGCCTCCAGACCTGGGTGCTCCTTCACTGGAAGCTTTCTAGACTAGACTGGTCAGCCATTTTCTTGGAATGGTATATAGCAGTGGTGGCGAACCTATGCCAGAGGCAGCACTCAGAGTCCTCTCTGTGGGCACGCATGCCATTGCCCCAGTCCTAGGCCTTCAGCTGGATTTTATAAAACCTTTTCGCTTTAAGCCTCCGCCGCCGTGTACAAAAAAAAAAGGTTCAATCAGTCAATTTCAACTTCTCCCGGGAAAAAAAGTTCTTGCAAAGTTGGAATGGATTGATTGAACTTTTTAGTCCCACCCAGTCTGCCGTTACCACTGCAGCCACGCCCACCCAATGGGCCACACCCACCCGGCACCCGACGATGCATAAGTGGGTTTGGGGTTGCAGTTTGAGCACTCGGTCTCTAAAAGGTTCGCCATCACTGGTATATAGGGTTCTCTACTTGAGCAGGGGGTTGGACTAGAAGACCTCCAAAGTCCCTTCAACCTCTGTAATTCTGGGAGAAGGGCTGATGGGAAACATTCCATGGAAGATCTTCTGGCCAAAAGGCACCCAAGCCTTGGTTAACTAAGTGGTTATTTATTTGTGGCATCCAGCCCAGTTTGTTTATTTGCTTGATTCTTATCTTTATTTTATTTATTCAATTTCTACTTCACCTCTCTCACCAAAGTGATTCTGGCTGGTTATAACTAACTCAAGGCAGCCAAGGTACATAAGATTCCTTCCTCTTCCTGATTTCCCCATAGCAACCCTGTGGGATGGGCTGGGCCGAGACAGTGCGACACTTAGCCCAAAGTCACCCAGCTGACTTCTGTGCCTAAAGCAGGACTAGAACTTGCCTTGGCATTATCTCCCCAAGTTGTAAAAATGCCCTGCTTGCAAAATCGAGTTGCCTGGGTTGTGTCTGTGATGCTGGTTGTTATGTTCCAGGATTTTAAACGCTTTCAGGGGTTTTTCAAGGTTTGTACAGTCTGCTAAACAGCATTACTGGCATCGGATAAATGGTGCGGGAATTTCCAAAATAGACATGTGGCAATTTCCATTGGAGGGAAATAGATAGATAGATAGATAGATAGATAGATAGATAGATAGATAGATAGATAGATAGATAGATCAATAAATAGTCGATCACCAAGAGAATAAAAATATAAAAATAGAATGATTTTATTTACTGAACCTAGCTTTCGTCAAGAGCTCTTGACATCAGGATGTAAACGGTAGTCGTTGGGAAAGCTTATATGCAACCGCTAATCATTTGCACTTGTTAAAAAATCTTTTTTATTGTTATATTTTTATTCTCTTGGTGATCGACTATTTATTGATTTTAACATGAACATACCCAAGAGTCATATTTTACTTGTATAGCTGATATATATATATAGCTATGTTGTTAGAACAATATTCTGCATGCGCCAGGAACAACTTTTTAATGGGCACATGTTGAGCGGCCGCTGCCTTTGCCTTGAGGGATTAAGGAAATGAATCTGAGTTGGGTTTCAAATGACCGAGATGAGTTTGATTGTTGTTCTTTTGAATCCCTCCGCCTGGTTACTAGTTTTGGAGTTGCGATGCTCCAGCATAAATTATCGATTGCCAAAGGGAATCAGGTGCCACCCAACCATGTTGCCTGCTCCTGAAATTCCAAGAAGGCTCAACTGCATTTGCTTGCTTTGTTACAAAGTGGGTGTGGGTTGTGAGACAGGGGAGTCTTTGCTGTTGTTATGCATCTCTGCAGTTTTGTGTCTTGCCTGAGGCATAAAATAATCTCTTTAAAACTGCTTATTCAGGCCATGTGCAGTGGCCTTTTTTTTAACTAAGCAGTAACTCTGGATAAAAGTTGGAATTCAATCCTTTTTTTACTCTGTCTCTCATAACTTAAAACAACAAATTCAATCTTTCATATGTTTAGACCTCTGGCTCCAAACAACTGGGAGTGGTTTTCAACAACAACAAAAAACATAAAAGCAATAGTAAACCCTACAACATAACAGAGCATTGTTTCAACTTTGGTATCGAAATCCTTTAAAAAGTTCCATGTATACTGCCTTCCAGCATGTAACAATGAACCCTTTGGATCTCCGGAGATAAAAGTGGGCCATAACAAAGCATCATGAAAGCAGTGCACCTTAGTTTCCCCTCTTCTGTTCTTGGAGTGGGGGGGGGTTGTCTCAACACCCCACCCCCATCCTCAACTGGCCATACTGATGGTCCTGCAGATAGTTTAGAGCAGAAGTCCCCAACCTTTTGGGCACCAGGGACTGGTTCCACAGAGAAAGGTTTTTCCACGGACCGGAGAGTGCGTGGTTTTGTGTACTGCCTGCATCCCATTGGATGGGGCTTTGCTTGTTGGTGCGGACCATTTGCTAGCATGTTGCAGAGCGGTCCCGGTCCACAGACCAGGGCTTAGGGACCCCTGGTTTAGAGCCATAACATACAGGGCTCTCTGTAAGTTAAAGCTAGAACATGGAATTGTATTTAGAAGCCTGTGGCTTCAGAGCAGCATTAAGGTTATGTGAAATGGATAATTCTCACCTGTTAGTAAGCCACTGCATTCTACAGCATCACTTCCAAGTAGCTTTCAAAGCGATGAGAGTGTGTTGCTAGGATATTATCTCCCTTAAAAGGTCATAACTGACATACCAGCCAAACCTGGGCAAAAGCCTCATTAGTCACAGTCCCCATTTGCCAGTCTAGCTGCCAATGTAGCTGTTGTCTATAAGGGGACCCCAAATTGTGAAATCCCTCCTAAATGTTCCCCTTTTATATTTGACAAGAGCAGTGCACAGTGGTCTCTGGATAAACAGCATTGCCACATCTTTCAAGAATTCTGTCCAGGTTTGTTTTTCTTTTTTCAGCCTCTAGGCACTGAAACAATCCCCACCCAGTTCACATGATCCATGTTGGCCTTCCACAAGCTCCTGAAACTCTTTCCCCAGGCATCAAACTAGTTGGAAAGGTGTCCAACCATGGCAACTTTAAGACTTAGGGACTTCAATTCCCAGAATTCTAAGGGAACTGAAGGTTGCCACGGTTGGATACCCCTGGGCTAGACATGGGATGAGCCCTGGAAATCGCAGTTGCCTAAATGCCTTTTTCAAGTTAAATTCGAGATAGATTAGCTGCCTGTGGAAAAAATGATTTGCAGGTAAATTGTGTGAAGTAATGCCAAACCATATCTGAATGACTGGCCTACTTATATAATTTCCTTTGGATGAAGATACAACACTGCAGGCTCTTTTCCACTGCGGCACATTGAAAGAAAATAGCTATAATTCTATGGTGGAGTTACCTTCATTTCTTCTTCTTTTCCAAACAGTTTGGTTGTACAGGAAATTTGGTTTATGAAATAAGCATGGTAAATGTCTGGTGTGGATTATAATAGTATCTGCAATTTTTACCATCCCTTTGGCAAGCGGTATTACCAATGAAATAACTACTTTTTAGATCATAATCTCTCAACTATCACTGAGATTACATATTCCTGAAATGTATTAATCAGTCCTAGATCACTCCTCCTTTTTTACAGTATACAGCAAATGTATAATCCTTCAGAGTGTATATTGTACAGTCGTCTGTACAAGATCTACCACCAAAATCATGTTCCTTATTGGTGCAGCTTATAGCTTTTCAAGCAAGTTGGTCTTTACTTAGAAAGTGATCCTCCATTGACTGCAGCAGGTGAACAATGCATGCTAAGGTATCCCATACAAAGAATATAAGTTTGTTAATTTTCTGTGACACAGTCTTTCATGTGCCGTTTGCATTTGTTGCTGAACTGAGCCCCCATCTCTTTCCAATTGAAAGCATGCTGGCTGGGAGTTGAAGTCCACAAGTCTTACAAGTCACCAAGGTTGGACACCCCTAATTTAATCCTTCATAGACCAATAAAGAGCAGTTATTATAATAGGCAATAACACAAATCTATAATCTTTTTTTTTTAAGTGTATATGTCATGGTTCCGGCAGATGAAACTCTTCAAAGAACTTGGAGGCATTGTTTACCTTAAGGAATCTTTATTCAAGTAGCATAGCATCCGCACGTACATAGGCAAAGCCAAAATCTGAATCCCTCTCCCCTGAGCACATAGTATCAAAGCACAATTCCCTCCTCTAATTCACAGTCATAAATCACATTCTCCAATTAGTTTGAAATGCAGGCTTTCCCTCCAGTTCTTCAACCTGGCCATTTCTTATCATTTCTTATTTCAAAAAACCTTGGGTCTCACACTAGTTACAATATTGTTATGTCTAACTAAACTCCCATGCACATTCCTCCTCCCCCCCCCAGTATCATCTAATTCTAAGAGTAAAACATAAGAAGGAAACCGGCTGCAGCTCCATATGTTGTCAAAGCAAGAACATCCAACAGTATAACTTGGTGTGTATCTCCTAACCAGTATTCAAACGCTGTAGTTTTCACCGATTCATCAAAGGGTGTCAACAAGTTCCTGAGGGATAAACTGAGCTCAGCCTGTTCAGCCTTCTTCCTCAGCTTGGAATTGGGTGTGGTTGTGGCCTCACCCAGCAACTGAAGGGAAAGGAAAATCAAATCACTATCCAGAAGAATCAAGCCAATTGTTGATCCTACTTTGCAACAATCCCTTTTGTGGGTGGGGGGCGGGGAGGAAGTGTACATACAGTTCTCATAGGAAAGGTCTGCACTAAGAACATTATTTGCCAGTACTGTACAGCCTGATACTTTAATCCGAATTCCTCATGCGGATTTAAACAAATGCTAATTTTGAAGATGCTTAAGTATTGCAGGCGCCAAGAAACTCTTGTTACCTCCTCCGAAAAAAATTTTTTAGATCAAAGACTGCCAGATAAAATAGGACATTTATTAATCAGTGCTGACCAGGGGTTGCCCACCCTGAATAGATGGAAGCTAATTAAGGAGAGAACCAATCTGGAATTAAGGAGAAATGTCCTAACATTTGGAACAATTAATCAGAGGAAGCCTTGCCTCCAGAGGCTGTGAATGTTCCAACACTGGAAGTTTTTAAGAAGAGATTAGAGAACTATTTATCTCAATAGGGTTTCCTGCCTGAGCAGGAGATTGGACTAAAACACCTCCAAGGTCCGTTCTAACTCTATTGTTCAGTTTTTTTTAAACCATTCTATGCCCAAACCATGGTTTCCAATTTAAAGGATCCCACAATTCACAGTTATATTAAATGGAAGTCGAATGAACAGTATAATAACTGGACCTTACCCGCCACCGCCTAGTTCTGAGTATAGAGTAACTTTTATAATCACGGTTGATTGAGGATTGTCTTCTACCAAACAGGGTGCTGCAACCACCGGGTGGAACCTCCAGCAATCTCTTTGGCAGTCCAGACGTGTCCGCCTCTTCCAAGTCACAGAAAATGGCCTCCAACATATTTGCAGCAGCGGAAGAACCCTTGAATTTCCCAAAGCGAACGAATCCCCCAGGTAAGAGCCACGCTCTTCTTGAAAATACTGGGGATGGGAGTGGCAGGTTTGATAGGTTCGTCCGTGAAACCAGGTAACTGTCATTTATCATTTGAAGAGCCGTGGGGGTGCAGTGGTTAGAAGGCAGTTGTTAATTGTTGTTGTTAATTGCGAAGTCGTGTCCGACCCATCGCGACCCCATGGACAACGTTCCTCCAGGTCTTCCTGTCCTCTACCATCTTCTGGAGTCCATTTAAGTTCACACCTACTGCTTCAGTGACTCCATCCAGCCACCTCCTTCTCTGTCGTCCCCTTCTTCTATTGCCCTCAATCTTTCCCAGCATTAGGCTCTTCTCCAGTGAGTCCTTCTTTCTCATTAGGTGGCTAAAGTACTTGAGTTTCAACTTCAGAATCTGGCCTTCTAAAGAGCAGTCAGGGTCGATCTCCTCTAGGACTGACCGGTTTGAACGCCTTGCAGTCCAGGGGACTCGCAGGAGTCTTCTCCAGCACCAGAGTTCAAAGGCCTCCATTCTTTGGTGCTCAGCCTTTCTTATGGTCCAACTTTCACAGCCATACATTGCAACTGGGAAAACCATGGCCTGGACTATACGCACTTTTGTTGGCAGGGTGATTTAGAAGGCAGTATTGCAGGCTAACTCTGCCGACTGCCAGCAGTTCGATCCTGACCGGTTCAAGGCTGACTCGGCCTTCCATCCTTCCGAGGTCGGTAAAATGAGGACCTAGATTGTTGGGGGCAAAATGCTAAGTAAACGGCTTAGAGAGGGCTGTAAAGCACTATGAAGCGGTATATAAATCTTAAGTGCTATTGTTATTGCAGTTTTTAGACAACACTGATCTCTTGGGAACTTGCATAAGGCGTAAAATTTTTTTTTTAGTGCCGTTGTCACTTCGAACAATCACTAAATGAACTGTTGTAAGTCGAGGACTACGTGTCTCTTTTAAGGGATGTTAATGCTTCACTTACAGTCCAGATGGTAAAACTTGCTTACCCAGCCACGAAGTTGTGCAAATCTCCGGCTTAGATGTGGTTTTTTTGCATGGTAATTTAATTCGATAAAGGGCTTTCTGTAACAATTCCCTTTTTTCCTCCCCCTATTTGTAATGCTGTAAGACTGTAATAAAGGACTATTGAGAAGCAGAAAGGAAAAGCAACAGGATTTTAAAAAGGAAACCCTTAGCCAAAGGTGGGCAAGCGTGTCTCGGTCCCAAAGGGCCTCAACATCCTGGCTAGAGGGTCCGCTGTCTGTTTCCTCCAGCCCTGGAGAATCGGAGAGGAAGAGCAGCTCCTGTAAACTTCCTCCACTATTGTTGCCTTGCAGGTGGGAAGGACAGTGGCATTTTTGAGGATCATAAACCTAATGAATCCCGGCAATTTATAAATCCACCTGGAGGAAAAACAAGCAACATCTTTGGGACTCCGTCACCTGTCAGCACAGTCAAAGCACATCCAAATAAGCCCAAGGTAACTCGCTTACAGCTTCCGCGCACTTTCTTTTCTTTAAAAAAAAGGGGGGAGGGCAAAAGGAGAGCCCAAGTTACAGTAATATCTATGTAGGCAAAGCAATTTGTGTCTGTGTAAAGCAGTGGTTCTCAACCTATGGGTCGGGACCCCATTTGGGGTCGAATGACCATTTCACGGGGGTCGCCAAACAACGCAGTCCGCCATTTTTTCCCCCTTTTCCTTAGCTGTGCTATTCCCTTTTATTCTATTGGCTTCTGCAAACGGTGCTGCACCAGTTGAGTAGTCCTCGACTTACGACCGGTTGAGTAGTCCTCGACTTACGACCGGTTGGGGGTCGCGGCATTAAAAAGGTTGAAAACCACTGGTGTAAAGGAAGCTGTTGAATATGCCCTTCCAGGGCTACGGAAACGTGTTACAAAACTAACGTTGTCTTGATTGGGCAGGCAATAGAAATAATCTAGCATTAAAATCGACCGTAGGGGAAACATTGGTGTTAAGACAAAACCAAATCTAAAGATTTGAAGAGTTCTTGGTGCTCCTTGAGTTTGCTTGTTTTCCTGCAGGGGTTTCATGACCCAAACTGGGTAACATCCTCACTAGCACTGATGAGGTTACCTAGTTTGGTAATGAAACGTCTGCAAGAAAACAAGCAAGCTCAGAGAGCACCATTTCAGCCCTGAGCTAAAAATATTCTCCTTTAGCAGTCTCTAAAAAAATTTTTTTTCTCTGATGCAGGATCCAGAGTTTGCATGTCCTAGAGTTTGCTTTGTAAAGCTGAATTGCCAGACTTGATTTTTCTTACAGCTCGGAAGGATTCTCAGCCAGTGAAAAACGGCCTTTTCAAACCTTGGTTAATATCTGGAACCTTTTTCCCCTTCTTATCCAGGATCACACCTTTCTCTTGAATGATAGAGGAGGTTCAGCACGGGAAATAAAAGGTAATTGGAGCAAGAATTCTGGGATTCGGTCAGTTCCATTATTTTATTAATACTTGAAAAACCACATTGTAGCTTTACTGCTAGATACTTTAGAGCAGGAATCTCCAACCTTTGTTAAATGTAAGACCTGTCTATTCAACTGCCAGATTTCTCCAGCCAATAAGATTGGGGAATTCTGAGAGTTGGGAGTCCACAAGCCTTAAAGTTGCCCAGCTTGGACGCCTCTGGTTTAAAGAGAGATTCACTGAAACTTCCATTATCCCTCTTAAGAGATTTCCCCATGTGATCCTTACCATGTACCACATTTGACAGGCCACGCTACAAATGTTAAAGAGTTTCAGACAGTCCCTCCTGACCCACTGTCCTCCCATGTGATCGTGTGGGGGAAGCATTGTATAAGCTGGACTAGCTTAAGATCTACTTCAGATGGCAGGAGTGGAAGACTAAGTGGGAGTAGTAACTGAATCAAACGCCGCACCAAGTTTGGGAGCCTTGCGTGCAAAATCCAGGCGTTGCCAGCTTAGTTGTAGTGCAACCCAACGATTGAGGACTGCGTTCTAACTCGCAACCTATCATCTTGCCCTCTTCCAGAAGACCAAAGGCCACCGGGAGAACTGCCGAAGGAGAAGAAGGACCTGCCGAAGGAGACCACCAAAGAACCAGGCCCCAAGATAGATGATCACGAGCCCAGGCTGGGACCACGGCCGCGTTCTCATAACAAAGTCCTCAACCCCCCGGGAGGCAAATCTAGCATTGCGTTCTATTAGGGAAGACCACTTCCTCCTCAACCCCCTCCCCCAATGTCTTAAGCTTTGATTATCAGAACCCAAAGGCTAATTTTCTGGTGCTTGAAGGAGGGAGGCGCTTAGTAGTTTGGCTTATTCAGACCATGCTAGCATTTGGCGTAAGCCAGGGGTGGTGAACCTGGGCTCTTTTATGACTGGTGGACTTCAACTCCCAGAATTCCTGAGCCAGCCATGATGAGAGGAAAGGGAGAGCTTTCCAAGCTGAGCTATGCTGGCTCAGGAACTCTGGGAGTTGAAGTCCACGAGTTATAAAAGAGCCAAGGTTCCCCACCCCTGGCGTAAGCCTTTCAGGTGTTCTCTTTGTAAGACAGGGATGCTCCTTCCTTCCCTCTGCATTCTGCACCCAGTTAAGGAAGGCTCCCTGTGATGGCTTGCAGAGCACATTCCAGTTAAGGTGCAATACCAACTTTTTGATCTGCCAGCTAGGCAATACAGCCTTCAGGAGATTTTGTCTGTCTGTAAAAAAAGAGGGAGGCTGCTTCAATCTGCCTTGGAAAAGAGAGTTGATTGTCATTATGCAAAAGAAAAAACATCTTTGGTTCCCTTTAGCAACTTCTGTCTCCCCTTTGCCAGGTCTTTCCATGTAGAAGCAGCACTGTCACCTTTAACTACATCAGGTGGCGCTTAAGGGCACTGTTTTGTTTTTTGCAGTTCTTGGCCTCACCCCTTCTACTCCCTCTACCAACGGGGGGGGGAATCAGACTGTGGGGGCCTACCAGTTCTTGTAGGGCAGGCAGTGACAAAAGAGGTGGGGCCTGAGTAACGAACAGTTACTTAACCATGGGGGTCTCGTAACTCACATATTTGCCCTCCTGTGCTTTCCTGGAACAATTTTTCATCTTATTACATGTTCACCTATTTTATCTCCTGTTCAGCACCTCCTTCCCACCTGTACCCACTTCAAACATCACATAGTGCCAATTCATGTGGCCTCATAGATTCTGAACACCCGGGGGTCTCCAAGCTTGGCTACTTTAAGACTTGTGGACTTCTAACTCCCAGAATTTCTCAGCCAGCCACGTTGCTTGAGGAATTCTGGGAGATGAAGCCCACAAATTGCAAAGTAGCCATGGTTTGAGAGCCCTGCTGAAACACCCATTCCTCAAATGGCCAGGGTGTTCTTCTAACAGTTAGAAAGCTTGAAAACCAAGTTATTGAAACTGCTTTCTCGGAAGAATAGAAAAGCTTTCATCTTTTAAAAAAAAAAAATCTGTAAGAGGTCACTTATTCTTCAGTTCCTGGAAAGCAGGGAGCTTCCAGATGTATCAGCTGAACGCTAACATCTCTGTGCCTTTTAACTTGCAGGAGAATATTTAAACACCCTTACATTGCCTATATCCTTTAAACTGTGAATGTCACCTTCCTGTGAATTTTTAACCTAATTCTTAAGATGACCTAAGGATGATCTAAGGAGGCCTATTTCTAACAGTATCGTTGGGAAGGGGTCAACCCTAGTTCTTGCACATACACTCACTTATTCCATTTTTAAACCTCAGCAGGAAGCAAGCGAGGACAACATTCCCTTGTAGAGAGTATGATGTCTGGATAACTGGAATGTCATTTATTTAGTTTTATTGACAACTAACGCTCTTATATCCCCAGAGCTGTCCTGCCCTAACATTTCCTCCAATCATATAGTCTCGTCCCTGTGAGCATATTTTTAAGTATTATGAGAAAACTGCATATTTTTGTAATGTTTCAGTTACCTGTTTCACATTGGAACAAAGATGAGTTGACCCACCATAAAGCAGCCCAGATCCATTCTTAACATTCAAATAACCTTGCTCTATAATTCAAAGGACCTTCAAAAGCAAGCAGAGCCACCTTAGAATGGATTTGTTATCCTTGTTGACAAGAAGCTATGAAAAAGACCAATCCCAAAATACATTCCAGCATTCATTGTTGAATCCCCATAAAAAACAGGATTGCGGGAAGGCAAAGATAAGACGACAAAATCAAATACTATCTCCCTTGTTTCTCCTTCCTTGTCTGTTTGGCTGAGGTATTTTCAACCATGTCCTACTGATACCATTTCTGCTTTTTTGCTATGCAGATGCAGCTCAGGGTAACAAATCCCAAAGGGCAGCCAGTGACTTATCCTAGAAGATTGCCCAAGGTGTGTATTAAATGTAGTATTTTGCAGGAGAGGATAGAAGCAAGAGAGTGTTGCAAATTAGTGAGATATGACTGCCAAGGAAAAGAGGATCGAAGGAGCAGGGCGGCTGCTTCCGTGCTTGTTCCTATTGTGAAATTGTCTTTGGCAGATTTAGAAACTTGGTTACAATGCTTATATTGCATAGAATCAAGGAGAAATGTTGTAGTGTTATAGTCCTGCTACATATTATATTTAATGGTTAGCTAACCTCTCCAGGCACAAGCTGGAGGTAAGGAGTAACCTAGCTGATTATTAGAGCTGATTCAAGAACCCTGCTAGTCTCTTCACATCACTGTTGCTTCCAGGATGTTTATAATCTACATTATTTGGTGGCTGTCGTCTTGCACTGTTTCCCAGAATTGCAGGGTGAGTTTGTGAAGAGACAAAAGGGAAAAGGTCTCCATGTTTCTGGATGAGGTCCTTCTAGACCAGGGGTGTCCAACCTTGGCAATTCTTAAGACTTGTGGATTTCAACTCCCAGCTGGCTGGGGAATTCTGATAGCTGAAGTCCACAAGTCTTAAACTGCCAAAGTTAGACGTCCCTGATCTACAGTGTAGCAGGATTGCTCAATGTGGAAATGGTCAGACCATCGTAGTTTGCCTTTTCAGCTCCCATTTTCTGTTGGAATTCATCAAGCACATCAGAGAACCTCTGTAGAATAGCTTGATCCATCCGCAATAACACAACTTCTTTGCCAAGTATTTTTGAGATACTCTATAGTACCAGAAGTTGAAATGGTTTAGCATTTTGATAAACTATGAACTAAGTAGTCAAGCCATGCTTGAATCTCAGCGCTGGTTTAATAATTCTTGCCAAGTTCTTCCATACGGTTGGCTGTAGTAAATACCATCTCTTCAGTACTAGGGAGATGGGAAAAAACGAACAGTGAAATGCAGACACTGTGTAGCTTTGTAATAAACCGAGCAATATGAAAACAATCGGCCAACGCCAGCTTTGGATGCCATTTGCCTAGGTCGTTGCTGCACATGGATTACTTGGGATTGCAAAATTTCAAAGGGGTGTTTTCACCAGAGCTTCTTTCTCTATTAGCCTTTTTTTTCCAGCTAAGCCTTAAGTTATGATTTATCTTTGTGCCTATCGTTGTTTTTTTTTTTTTTTTTAGGGGAGGCTGAGGGTTACACTGTGTATCCAAAAAGGGTATTTTTTTCTTTTTTTAAAAAAAGAAAACTACACCAGAAGTTAATGATAACTCAAATGTGTTGAATCATGTGCTGTTTAATAAACAACTGTATTTTGTTAGTCTGTTACAGTAGAGCTGATGGATTCTACAAGTCTTTTTATCCCATTATAAGTCTCATGAGTTATACATGTACAAACTAAGAGTATCTAAGCCAGGGGTAGGCAACCTCGGCTCTTTTATGACTCATGGACTTCAACTCCCAGAATTCCTGGGAGCTGACTCAGGAATTCTGGGAGTTGAAGTCCATGAGTCATAAAAGAGCCGAGGTTGCCTACCTGTGATCTAAGTCCAAGTCTTGTACAAAAAAAAAAAAATCATTTCTTGCCAAGCAACTGGCAATCCAGAAATTTTACTGTAACCAAACTAGCAGTCTATTACATGAATTGTAAAGAATGCGATTGTTGGGGGCAAAACAGAAACAAGATTTATAAAATTCCTTTTATTTGTGCTAATAGACGTTGTGAGGTGGCACGATCATTTTAGCTATGCCACCTTGACATTCATCCTTAAACTGACTGTTCAGTTTCCATAGGCAAATCCACTCATTCCTAAGACGGTGAACGGGTTAAGGGTGCAAAACAGTTCCTTTTGTGAAATCTGACAATCTGTAGAGAGGAAGGAGAATTACCCCAGTTCTTCCTGTTACAAATAGATAATGTTTTTGTTCTGCTGAAATGCCTTTAAGTCTTTCTTTGTAATAGTGATCAGGGAAGTAGTATGAACCTGACTGAATCCATTGCTGAGCCATTGGTTCTCGTGTAAGTCAAGGCTGGCTGGTATATCTGCATTTTTTAAAAAAAAAATTCAATCCCTTTGTAACATTACCACTATTCCTTTTTCCCAGTGTCCAAATGTGAAGAGTGTTGCTATTAGACAAATCAAGTTGTGTCCATTGTTCTTTATATCATTTGACAATTAAAAACTAATTAAGTTGCCCGTCTTATTTTTATGTGAATTGGGCTACACGGGCATTCTGAGAAACGTTAAATAGCTCTAACCCAGGGGTAGGCAACCTTGGCTCTTTCATGACTCGTGGACTTCAACTCCCAGAATTCCTGAGCCAGCATGGCTCAGCTTGGAAACCTCTCCCTTTCCTCTCAATGTGGCTGGCTCAGGAATTCTGGGAGTTGAAGTCCACGAGTCAGAAAGTGGCCTAGGCCAGGGGTAGGCAACCTTGGCTCTTTTATGACTCGTGGACTTCAACTCCCAGAATTCCTGAGCCAGCCATGTTGAGGGAAAAGGGAGAGGTTTCCAAGCTGAGCCATGCTGGCTCAGGAATTCTGGGAGTTGAAGTCCACGAGTCATAAAAGAGCCAAGGTTGCCTACCCCTGGCCTAGATATCTTGTCAGTCAATGCTGTCTCTTACCTCATAGTGAACCAGAAATTTCCATCACCTGGACAATTTCCATGCCAAGCATCTCTGTTCACAGAGGCCTGTCTACAGCCTGCATGCATACTGTGTCTTCCAAATTCTGGAGATTTTTCTATCAAGTGGTGAATATCACTGGGGACAGTTGCTGGCATGGACTTGTTTTATTTTCTAATTGCAGTGCAACATCTGACGTCTAAGGCCAGTTAGGAGACAGCAGAGCCAAAAGCTAAGTCATTACTGGATCACGTTACTTTCAAATGCCTCTGAGATGGGTATGGCTTATCCAGAGTGGTTAACTCTGTCCAGTCTGAGTGAAGTGAATATAGTTAACGATATTATTAGATTAATGTGTATTATGCTTCTACTTCCAGAGCAAAGTTAAACGGCCCTCTTGACAAATTACCAACCTATGTAGCCACAATTACTAGTAATGACATTGTGCTAAAGAGATACAGAATATTCAATATCCATATGCAGTCCAATCAATAATCATTCACATTAGACTTTATATTTCCAAATGGTCAAGATGGAGCTACTGGAAGCCTCCTTAAGAAGTAGTCAAGAAAGGGGAAACGGAAAGTGAAGTTATCTGGGACTGTACTATAACACCTCAGTTCCTGGCTAGATTGTATTAGGATTTTCAATACCGTCAGAACAGATTTCAAAAAGAAACCAATATAACTGAAACAGATGTGTGAGAAAGGCAAACCTTGACTTAAAACCTCATGATTTTGGAAAAGGAAAATTATAAAGCATTTTCATGGAAATTGATAATACTGCTGTGGTGGATGCTACGAGGACGTTGGAGCACAAAATCCATTATTAGCCTTTACCAGGGCAAGAGGAAACTTTTTTTAAAAAAAAATGAGTGCAAGATTTGTATATACAATTGCTTGCAGCGAGTAATATACATTCCCGCCTTTCATCCAGTTAAGATCTACACAAGAATTATTTCAATCTCTTCAGCAGAAAATTTCCTGCAATAAAGAAGACTAAAAGAATGACTAAATAACTCAAAATCGGCATTAAAAGATCTCGGCACTCACAGCAGCTGTAGAATTAATTATAGTGTTAAGATTTTTGGTTAATATATAGCACCTAGCAGCTACTTAAAAAGCAGCTATTCCTATATACCGGATTTATGGCCCGTTCTTTAAATTCCCTTATTAAACCCCAAAAAGAAAGAAAAAGGGGGGGACACACTGCTGAAGAATGAGACACCCCTCCCCAAGGCTCATTTGTGTTATACTCCATGTCCTGAAGGCCTCTTCTTTAATTGATGGATCGGTCTCCTTCTGCCTCATTGAGAAGGGGAGCTGTGTCAACAGGTGGCTGGGCCACTGCCTCGGTTGGCGAGCGTTTTGTTGAGCGGTTCAACGTGCCACCCTGGGGATTCATAGAATGGGGAAAGTTTGGTGAAGGTTGAACCTTTATGGACACAGTCCCAGGTAACTGATCCCCCGTTAATCAGCCAAGTGGATTCTTACCTGCTTCTTATCTACTATGTTAAGGCAGACAGAGCTCCCAATGCAAGCAATGGTGTTGGCCAGCATGAAGACCATCATCTGTTGCCAGCGCCATAAGGGGATCTTCAGTTCACTAGCAATTTTTTTTTTAAAAAAAGAACATTATTTGCCTGAACAGGTGGCAAGAGAAACAAAGGCGTCTTATCACATTAGTTCCCCAAGATACAGTAGTCCTCAACTTATTACCATCCATTTAGTGAGCAAAGTTACAATTGCACTGAAAAAGGGACATGGCCGTCTTTCACCCTTATGACCACTGCACTCTACCTGCAGTCAAAATTGTGATCAAAATTCAGACGCTTGGCCACTGACTCATATTTATGACCTGACCTCCAAAGTCAACACCGGGAGCCAGATTCACACTTTACAACCGTATTACTAACTTCACAACTGCAGGGATTCACTTAACTTTGGCAAGAAAGGTTGTAAAATGGGGCAAAATCCACTTAATAACTGTCTCATTTAACAACACAAATTTTGAGCTCAACTGTCATTAAGTCGAGGACCACCTGTCCTTGGTTATTAGCTCCATCATCAAGTATCAAGCAATTTATGGAAGTCATTCGGAACGACTGTGACACATTTTCTTGACTTTTAAGGCATAAACTCTTGCTTCCACTTAAGCAGAAAAACAGCTGTGGTTACCTGGACTTTGTTCCCAAGATATGTCCCACGATCACATTGGAGAGTCCGATGCCAATCATTTGTACGGATGTCGCAAGCCCCATCGCTGTTCCCACTGTTGCTTGAGGAACCACGAGTGGAATTGAAGGCCACATGCTGGCCTGTACAAAGCATAGTGGAAAAGAGGGACAGACCAGGGGAATAATGTGAGAAAGACCACTTTTGTAGGAAGAAGGAATCAAATTTCACGGCAGCTTCATCTCGGAAGAAATAATCGGATAAAGCAGTGTTTCTCCACCTTAATAGCTTGAAGATGTGTGGACTTCAAACTCCAAGAAGTCCCCTGCCAGCATTCTGGCAGTTAAAATCCATACATTTTAAAGATTGCTAAGGTTGAGAAATGCTGAGATAAACGCTTACGAGTCGAGAAATCAACCCGAGTTCTTGTTGTCAACTCCTAAATGATCATGAGATCCCAACCTTCTTCTAAAACCTCTGTTTACTGATAATCACAAGGGGATGCCACAGATTAGGCTGCTTAGATGGACTCATTCTGTCCCAGGAACAGGAGCTACACTCATTTCTCAGGAATGCTTAAGCTAGACGACATTTAAATCTGGATTCCTGCAAAAAGCAGCAATTAAACTCTACGTGCTCTATGACCTCTGATTCTAAAACGGTTGAAGCCAGCACTGGAATGTGAGACTCAGCAAATCAAAATCCCACTTCAATTGGCTTGCCAGACAGTTCTCCTGCTCTGACTCTCTCCTCACCTCCTTCTAACCTTTCGAACGAAGAACCCAGGAACATTTGACAAAAGTTAGGTCAGTACCAGAAACATCCCCATGGCTTAAAGTTGAGTAGAAATCGGGAATCCATGCATTCCAGTTCTGAAAACTTACGGCTGCAAAGGAGTAGGTGATTCCTAGCCAGATGGTGGAGACAAGTGGGGGAACGAAGGTGAAGGCCAAGAGAGCAAATACGGGCAATGTTAGCACCGCACAACCAACAGCAAACACACCTCTCAGCCCAATGTAATCCTGGAAAAAAGCAGAGAGAGAAAAATGAGAGCCAGTGTGGTGGAAGTTCAAGGCGTCAAGCTAGGAACTGGGGGAACGTGAGTTCTAATCCTGCCTTAGGCACAAAGCAGCTAGGTGACCTTGGCCCAGTCACTCACTATCAGCTCTAGGAAGAAGTCAAGGATCAACCACTTCTGAAATCTTTCCGTGGAAACTGCAGTCACTAAGAGCAAACCCTGACCTGAAGACACACACGCATGCATGCACACACATCTCATAGATAATAATGCATCTAGCTATTGGGACTACATCTTTAAGAAGATATAATTCACATTTTTTAAAACCTCAAACTGCTACCCCCAAAAAAACCCTACCATCTAAAAGGAGAACCTCAAGGAATAAATTAAGAAGTGATACCACTCCTCAAATATCTTTTTTCAGTGATGATTTGATGACTTGGAGGCTAATTACATTGGAGCTAACCAGAGAGAGAGAGAGGGAAAAAAACAATTTCTGTCCTTGTTGTATCTCATTCTGAAACAGGGCCGCTAGCAAAAACTCAATGCAGCTGTCAACCCAGAAAACGTTGCATGCCTTGTTGTGTTGCATATTCTTTTCAGGCTTCGTTTTTTTTCCCATTTGCACAATTTTATGGGTTGCCTTACTTCGCCCTACAAATGCAGGTGCCCCATCAAGGCACTGCCCTATTTCTGCCCTCAAGTCTTAAAATCATCCTTCGAAACTTACGATCAATATGCCAACAGCCGCCGAGAGAACAAGAGAGCTGTCGTAAACTGCTCCAGCTATATATGCAGCTGCCTGTTGACTGTAGCCAGGATACTTATCTTGGATAAACTTACTAGAAAAAAGAAATGCGATAGGAGAAAGAGAGAGAAATCCCGTTAGGACTCCAAATTGTTTTGGCACTGATGCGGAGATGGGAAAAACATCATCCTCTACAAAGAAGTCAACTCTTCTAGGTTGAGCAATCGGTGTTTTTAATAGCCTTTGGTGACATGGCTTCTTTTGTTCTAAGATGCTGCATTGGCAAGCGAAGCCAATGTCTAGAAGATAAATTTCCCAAGCAACATGGGAACCTCCATGCTCCTCACAGTAACAAAGGTTTGGTGGAGGGACACCCCCAATATGGCGTTTTCACTGTGAACCTAGAGAAATTTCCCAATCTGATCCTAGTCCTTGCTTCCAAACTTACCTATTCACCCAAAGGCAGCATCAGCTTGATAATTAATTAAGTATTCAATAATTATTTTTCAAGTGCCACATTTTTCAAACATTACTGGAAAGGACCATTCTACGACCAAATCCTTGCTCGTCCTTAACAAATATAGAAAAACGCCACCGGGTTGATTCCTGGCTTCTAACATCCGCAGAAGCCCAAACTCAAGACTCAGATATTCTGTGTTGTCCTTGGTTAACATCTAGTCTCATCTTTCCTATTCATCCCCCCCCAAATCAATATTTCAGTTTTGCCGATGCAAAAGAATGAAGCAGGAGACTTTGTCGAGATCGCACAAATTTGCAAGAGTCAGGGAAAGCGTCCCCAAGTCAATCAGTCCTTCCTTGGAAGAAGCTGCAACAGTGTACAGTGTACAGTACAGTATAGTGTACAGAAAAGCCACAGCTAGCATTTTTGGGTCCAAGAATTGTTCAGGAAACTGGACAATGAACAGTGAGCAGCCCAGGAGAGAAAGGGGATTTTTAACTACACTCCTTCACGTGCCAAAACCTCAGAACTGGCTTCTCTTCTTCTGCACCTATGTGGAATTATCAATAAAGTTTTACTCTTGGTAAATTAATGTTCCAGGAGTTTCTTTCCCTGCATATGCCAAAGGGACGGTTAACCCACTGCATGCCACAGGATTCGCTCCATTCTTGCCCACAGTCAACCCTCTGTCCCATTTTGCAAAATGAAATCGCTTACCTTGCATCGGCCACAAAGGGGAAGATCCCATTGTAGAAGAACATTATAGTAAGGACCAAGAGCCAGTAGCGAAGGGGTAAGTGGCGGATATCTTGAATTCTCTGGAAGTTAAAAATAAAGCACGCGTTAATTACAAGCACAGCTCTGAGGATTAGAGTCTCTAAAAACAGCTTTCTCTAGCCAAGTGGTTCTCCATCTTTTCTTTACCACGGACCTCCTTTAAATACCTTTTGTAGCCACGGACCAGGGCCACAGACCCCCAAGATTTAACTCATAACATTTCTTCAAGCCTTCGCAGACCCTCTGTGATGACATCGCGGCCCCCAAGGGGTCCGTGGACCACAGGTTGAGAACCACTGCTCTAGCCTATTCCACAATTCTTGAATTTCAATTCTCCACATTTCTGACTTGGTGGCTGGATAGGCTGTGGGTTGCAATCCAACTCAACTGGAGAAGGTAGCTTGGATCAATACTTCACCAAGGCTTCCTCCCACCCTGGTTCTACTTAGAGAAGAAAAAAATAATGATGCATTCTGAATTTCCAGGCTTTTATATATGATCAAACAACAGAGAAACGGGGAAACCAAAGACGTAATTTTCCATCACACCTTCCTGCTCAAACTCATTCATTTTCACATTTCGCATTTATAGCTACCGGAGACTAAGATGAAATAAACCAAGATCAACCTCCCATCCAACTCAGGAAATTCAACCAGCAAAGCAAGCACCAAAGAAACCACATGTGCAGATTAATTCTCTGTTGTAACATAGTTCCTTTAGTTTTGATTCCGAGTGTCTTTTAAGACCAGCCAACTAGCTTTATTCAACAAAATCATAAACAATGGCCTTGGTAGAATGTATGAACAGAGTCAGAATGCAAACCAAATAAGTATTCAGAATCCAAAGCCATTCAGAACACACACACCCCGCCTCTCTTTTTTTCAAGAGATAGGAAAACTGGGGGAGCACAATGAGCTTAAATGTTTGAAGTCTCTCTTGACCAGGGGTCTTCCAACTTGGCCCTTTTATGACTTGTGGACTTCAACTCCCAGAATTCCTCAGCCAGCCTCCATTTTGTTTGTTAGATTTAAGACAGGGGTCTTCCAACTTGGCCCTTTTATGACTTGTGGACTTCAACTCCCAGAATTCCTCAGCCAGGCACGCATGTCTGATACAACACCCACCCTACCTACCACTTTCTTGGACTCTTGTTGGAGAACTCCATCTAAGCCAAGCTGCTTCGTACCCACTTTGTCCAGCACGCTGACAGTGATGGCTGAAATAAAGCCCAATACGCATAACAGGGCTCCTGTGAACAGAGAAGAACCAATCATCAGAAGAACCAATCACCAATGATGAACTTTAAGGTTGGCCTGAGACCCTTTTAAATCGGATAACCTTTGTAGTCAAAGCATCAATGTATTGCTCCGGTGTAGATCTTCTCTTGAGAAGCAGCAGCATTAGGTTATTTGTTGACCTACCTTCTGGAAAAGCTCCCGAGTTCTGATGGAGCGTTCTAGGCAAGTTCTCTCAATCTAGTACAGTTCATTTAGTGACCGTCCGAAGCCTAGAGATTGTGCTCCAAGAGAAACTCACCTCCCCAAAGGGTCCACTGGATTCCAAAATGGCTTTCAAACCGCTGGGTGAAAAAGAAGTTGAGGACACTCCCGAGACGGGAGAAAGAGAGAGTCAACCCGAAGGCGAGCGCCAGCTCTTTGCCTTTGAACCAAAAGGCGGTGATGCGGTTCTGCACAACTCAAAAAGCAGAAGAGAGATCAGCGTTACTAAGCGTTACTAATTCCTGCATATGGCAAGGTGCTTAAATAGTGCTACTTTAATGGCAAGGTGTTTAAAAACTGCTACTTTAATTGTTTGTCCTTGAAGAAGCTATACGTTTCGTTTATAAATTAAAACAAACCCACTCCATGTTTCCACTGAAAAAAGGCATAATTTTGGAAATAAAAGGAAACATTCATAGGCTTCCACGGTCCTATAAGACTACTAGAGTTCTCTTTAGTTCTCCCTTTTCAATACAACTTAGAGAAAAGCTAATTTGTGTTTGCACAATCTGAATCAGGAAGTTGGCATTCAGATATATATTTTTTAAATACATTCTTTCAACAATTAACTAGATAAGGATGGGTTCAGATCTCACCCTAAGTCGTGATTTGTTTATCTCATTTGTTGGTTTGATAAAACTTTTTTTTTTTTTTTTAAAGGAAGGGGCTCTAGTTAAGAGATGTGAATGCATCTTGACTCAAATCAAAATTCCTGCTAGATGTATCAATACATGAAATGAAAGGATGAAATGAAAGAAAGTAGCTATGGCTGAATCTTGCTTACCAAAGAAAAAGAGTGGAAAGAAGTTAAGACATTCAATGCTTTGTCTGAGCTCACAGAACGTTATCGGCAAAGAGTTAACCACGCTGACCCAACACGCTCTCCCTTCTATGGAGAGGACGCTGTTCGTTCCTTACTTGTGAGCGATCCATTTCCAGAACCAAAAAGCAATCTGCCAGTTAGCATCAGAGGCAAGAGATACGGAGTTCCTTTCAGGTGAGAGCCCAGCGCAAAAACAGATGATCCCAAGACAGTGAGGAAAGAGAAGAGAAAGACACCAACTATGGAGAGAAGGAGAAAAAAACGGCATGGGCAAAATTCTACAGACAAAACACGTGGTTTTTACAATAGCCGTGCAAACTGGAATCGAAGAGGGGACAAGACCCAGATTTATAAACACTTTAATCCCTTCTGGTCACATAGATACCATCTCCAAGACATGCCACCACTGTTTCCAGTTGCAGGCGGTCCTCGACCTTCAACACAACTGGGGGCTGAATTTCCATTGCTAAACAAGGTGGCTGTGCCGAACTTTGACCTTTTTTTTTTTTTTTTTTTGCTACAGTTGTTAAAATGAATCACTGTGGTTGCTAAATCAATCATGTGGTTGTTAAGCAAATCCAATTTCTCCCACTGGTTTTGCTAGGAAGTTCACAAACAGTAATCACATTAGCCCAGGATGCTACAACCCCCGTAAATAGATGCAGGTTTTGTCAAGCACCCAAATTTTGAAAGTGCCACTTCAGCTTGAAATAGTCACTAAATGAAATTGGTCGCATGTCAAGGGCTACCTGTAACAGACACAATATTTAATTCCTATCTCTGATAAGAAAGATTAAACATTTTCTCTTAAAGCTTGTAGGAAATAAACTACTCAAAATTCTGCAGTGTAAAATACACTGCAAATACACATGGCCTCCTTGTGCTTCCCAAGAAACAGGATCTGAAGACCTGGTTTTTAAAACACTTGAAAAAATTCTGGAAGGGATAACCAAAGATACTGAAGATAGTCTTAACCTTTTTCTACTCAAGAAAGTCAGCCTATCAGATCCAAGACTCAATTTAAAAGAATCACATTAATGTCTGCCGACCAGTTTTCAACTGTGTGTTTTGTAGCCATCTACAGAAATAACCCATGTTAAGGGTATGGTCTGAGATTACACAGCGTGCCAACTTCTAACGCTAGGTCAAAACAAATGTTGTTATGAGGGGTCCTTGGTGGCCTCTGAGCTTAGTTGTTTTCTTGCAGGCGTTTCATGACGCAAACTAGGTAACCTCATCACTGCTAGCGTTATTAAAAGAACAGAATGGAAGTCATTTGTCAACTCAGGACAGAAAAGAGGTGGAATTTATCTGAAATAAAGCTGCACTTTCAAATGCATCTCTAACCATAACTGAGTTCCTTGATACATTTAGAACATTCGAAGCCAATGGACCCAGACCAGGGGTAGGCAACCTTGGCTCTTTTACGACTCTGTGGATTTCAACTCCCAGAATTCCTGAGCCAGCATGGCTCAGCTTGGAAACCTCTCCCTTTCCCCTCAGCATGGCTGGCTCAGGAATTCTGGGAGTTGAAGTCCACCATTCATAAAAGATTCAAGGTTGCCTACCCCTGACCCAGACAGATGTGGCTAAAGTGAGCCTTTCCATTGCAAAACGCTTTTAAAAGCTTCTTGTGAAACTTCTTGGGCAGAGATAAATGCCAATAACTTTATGCATTAACAGAGCAGAAAAGGTCTTCTTTAGCCAGCTGGATTTGAGAAGACAAAGGAACACACACAGAGCAGCATCCCCACCCCCAACCCTCCCAGATGATCTCAGAGAGAAGGCAGGAAAGTGGCAAAGAAAACAATGCGACAGTCACCCGGTTGAGATGGGCGGGCATAGAAATTAAACCGTTCAGCTCCTCCAAACTTACAGCGGTTTCCCAGTTTGTCAATCAAGAAGCCAGCCACAATCACCACCAGCGCATTACTAAAGAGAACAACAACAAAAAATCACAAAGAGGAGATGAAGATAGTTATTTTGCGTGTGTTTGTGTATATATGTATGTGAGAGAGATACTCACGTCCAGGCATAGATGGCATAGAGAAGGTTGTATTCTTCAGGAGTCATTCCAAGCCCTTCCACACAATCAGCTGTTGCGTTATGTTCTGTGCCATTCTGTTGAGTTCCGTTGGGGCAGGTTAGATTCTGGATGAGAAATCAGAACAGGAAAAAAATTGTCAATATCAGAAATTACAAATGAGCCAAGTTGAAATACACCCTGATTTAGTGAGGCCCACCTTCATAGTTATTCCAGATAACCCATCTACTAAGGGATGGGTATCTGCCTTGCAGAAGATGCTTTGGGTTTTGCTAATAATGTGTATTGAAGGAACGCACCATGTAGCTATTGTACTCTTCTGATCAAGATTTTTGACTTAGTATGATTCTACAGCCCAGTCAATTATCAATGAAACATAGTTTAAAAACCATAGCTTAGTATAATGTATGATGCCGGTATGTTGTTGTTAGTTGCGAAGTCATGTCCAACCCATCGCGACCCCATGGACAACGTTCCTCCAGGCCTTCCTGTCCTCTACCATCTTCTGGAGTCCATTTAAGCTCACGCCTCCTGCTTCAGTGACTCCATCCAGCCACTTCATTCTCTGTCGTCCCCTTCTTCTATTGCCCTCCATCTTTCCCAGCATCAGGCTCTTCTCCAGTGAGTCCTTCCTCCTCATTAGGTGGCCAAAGTAGAGTTTCAGCTTCAGGATCTGGCCTTCTAAAGAGCTGTCAGGATTGATCTCCTCTAGGACTGACTGGTTTGATCGCCTTGCAGTCCAAGGGACTCGCAGGAGTCTTCTCCAGCACCATAGTTCGAAGGCCTCAATTCTTTGGCGCTCAGCCTTTCTTATGGTCCAACTTTCACAGCCATACATTGCAACTGGGAAAACCATGGCCAGTATGTATCAGAATCTAAAAACTCTTAGGCAGGGCCTGGGTCTTATATTCGGAAAATAAATGAAGTTGCTACATTAGCTGTCAAAAATGTGGCTTGGCATCCACACAGTGCAAAGTTTCTTTAATGCCTACACACGCTTTTGGCTGCTCGGGTGTGAAAACAGTTGACGTTTGTTTTGGGTTAATCTCTGAAGCTCTGGAAAGACTTGAATTCAAAAAAAGCTTTGAAACTTTGCACCGTTACTCTATTTGCTGCATGGCTGAAATCAAGTTGACTTCTAATAGGGATGGAGAGAAAAGGAGAAAAACACTCACCCCTTGAAACTGTTCTTGCAAGACACTGGGAATATCAAAACAGAAGTAGGAGCCAAAGGTCAAGAGACAGTTGAAGAAAAGCACCAGGAACCGATAATATGCTGCCAAGGGAAATAAAGTGTTAGAATAGTAGAAAATAGCTGTGTGCAATTACTGTAAATACATACATACATACATACATGTAGGTCTTTGGTTATTCGGGTTTTCTCCCGCGTCAAATTGGAAGCGTCTTGGCGACGTTTTGACAAAGTCTCATTCGTCATCTTCAGGCTGGTGTTTTCGGCTTCATGCTTCTAGGAGCAAATTTGCTCCTAGACTGGTGACTGGTCCTTCCACTTATGACCAGGGCAGCATCCCAGTCACATGATCAAAATTTGGGCACTTGGCAACTGACTTGTACCGATTACAATTGCAGGACCCGGGGTCAGGTGATCTCCACTTACAGCCTTCCCAGCCAGCTTCCAATAAGTCAATGGGGAAAGCCAGATGATTCGGTTAACCAGTGCAGGGATTTATTTAACAACGGTGATAGAAAAGATTGAATAACTGGAACCAACTCACTTAACAAACTCCTTGTTTAGCAATAGAAATTTTGGTCCCCATTGCTGTTGGGAGAGTGCCTCTACTTTCATGTATACCGTTCTTCGTTCTTTCTGTCCATAAAAATTCAAAGACCTAAAGCAAATCTTGCATTCCAGCTGACAGCCAATCTGAGATTTTAACCCAGGAGTCTTCCAACTTGGCCCTTTTATGACTTGTGGCTGGCTGAGGAATTCTGAGAGTTGAAGTCCACAAGTCATAAAAGGGCCAAGTTGGAAGATCCCTGTTTTAACCCCTGGGAACTGCCGGGATGCAAAGGCCAAAATACCCCAGCCAGGCTTAATCCAGGCAAAAGATCTAATCCCACCTCCCGTTCACATGATGAGTCAACCTGATGGCAACGGGATGCTGGCAATCTCAAAGCAATGCTACTTGCTCCCTTTCCAGATGTTCTCACCCAGGGCCTATTGTTCTTTCGGATCTTGCCCTTTATTGCTTTGACTTTGTGTTTAAGGTTTTTGATATCTCCTTATATTTATCATTTGAATTCTAAGCTAACCAACGGGTCGCTTTTCAGACTGAGATGAGCAGTGCCTACTCAACATGCATGCTTCAGCCATGGCAGGCAGCGGCCCCTGGTCGTCTCTTTTGGGGGTGGGGGGGGGGGAACCCGCCCAGGGAGACTTCCACCATCCCTTCTCCTGCTAAGCCATGCCAGCCCCTGCCCTCCTGCCCCGAGGAAATCACGTGCAGAATCACGGGGTGAGCTGGGACAGATCAGAGCATGCAAAAAAAAAAGGCGCCAGTGCGAAAGGGCCCCTCTGAGCATATGCAAAGCGCGCCTGGGGATCTGCATTGAAGAAAGCACCCCGGGGCAGCCGGTTCCCCTCTGCATCGGGAGCCGGGGTTCCTGCCGAGGATTCTAGAGGGGGGGGACGGTCACGTGACCGAGCGGGGAGTCACGTGCTCCCGCTCACCTTTCTCGGCCGCCGCTTCCGCCATGGCTCCGGTTCCCGGCTAGTCCGCTCCGCTTCTCCCGAGGCAGCAGGCAGGCCCCGCCCACCATCCCCGGGACCGAATCCCCGCCCCTTTCCTCATCCGCCACCCTCTTTGTTCCTCGCTGGCGCTCCTCTTCGCGGGAGGGACATTTCGCCCCGCCTACTACCCCGCCCTCCGGAGGTGGGCTCTGGCCAAGCCCCGCCCTTTCGTCTCGTGACGTGGCTCCGCCCTCTTCCCCTCCCTCACGCGTTCCCCTATTTGTAAGCGGAGCTTTGCCTCCCGAACCACGCCTCCTCCGGGGAGACGAGGAAGGCTCGCAAGCTCCGCCCCCTGCAGTTTGACACCTTTGGATGCTGGAGGCTTCTCTGCTCCCCCCTTCAGCGTGAAGGAGGGGGTGGTTCCCGCCTTTTCTGAGGCGGCGCATTTGTCTCTGGCGAGGGAGGTGGACGTCTGAATGTTTTTCTAGCTTCCTTCCTTTATTCACAGAAAAACGTCTCAAAAACGATTACTATATCTGGTCATTTATTATTACAGTCCAAGATCAATCATAAAATCATTGGTTTAAATTTAAAATGCGTCCCATAGCATAGCATAGCATAGCATAGCATAGCATAGCATAGCATAGCATAGCATAGCATAGCATAGAATAGAATAGAATATTGGAAATAGAATAGAATAGAATATTGGAAATAGAATAGAATATTGGAAATAGAATAGAATAGAATAGAATAGAATAGAATAGAATAGAATAGAATATTGGAAATAGAATAGAACAGAACAGAATAGAATAGAGCTGGAAGGGACCTTGGAGGTCTTCTAGTCCAGCCCGCTGCTCAAGCAGGAGGACCTATACCAGTGGTTCTCAACGTTTCTAATGCCGCGACCCCATAATACAGTTCCCCATGTTGTGGTGACCCCCAACCACTTATACATCACCAGGTGCCAGGGGCGTGGCCAAAGAAAAGGGGGAAAAAATGGCGGACAGCCTTGTTTGGCGACCCCCGTGAAATGGTCGTTCGACCCCAAATGGGGTCCCGACCCACAGGTGGAGAACCACTGACCTATACCATCTTAGTCAGGTGAATGTCCAGTCTTGTCTTTAAAATCCCCAGTGATGGAGCGCCCATGATTTCTGGGGGCAAGCTGTTCCACTGGTTGATTGTCCTCACTGTCAGGAAGTTTCTCCTTAATTCCAGGCTGCTTCTCTCCTTGATCAGTTTCCAACCATTGTTTCTTGTCCTTCCCTCTGCTGCTTTGGACAATAACATGACCCACTCTGCCTTGTGGCAGCCCCTCAGATACTGGAAGACTGCTATCACGTCTCCCCTATTTCTTCTTTTCTTTAGACTGACCAAACCCAGGTCCTGCATATGTTTTAGTCTCCAGGCCTTTGATCATCTTAGCTGCTCTTTTCTGAACTTTTTCCAAACTCTCAACATCTTTTTTGAAGACTCTTGAGAACACCATGGGCAGCCAAGAAAACAAACAAATGGATCATCAGACTGGTTAACTTTCAGTCCTTACCCAAGGACCCAAGGACATAACCAGGCTCAAGTTACTGCAGTTTGGACATCTTATCTGAACTGGGAAGATAGAAGGAAAGGGAAGAAGAAGACAACCATCAGCAAGGTAAACCGGCACAATTAAATTGGTGATAGGTGCACCGTTGGAAAAAGACCAGGTCTGGGACAGATGATCCTTGAGAAAATCTATCTGTGTGGTTGGTAAGAGGGATCATTAACTCGATGGCACATAATTCATTAAACTGTTTTGTAGAGTTTGCTTCCACATAAATATGCTGAAAATTGCAGCCCAAGGTCTATTTCTAAAGCAATAGACTTCACATGTTTTGAGTACAGCTAATCTTTGACGTACAGCCATTCATTTAGTGACCAAAGTCACAACGGCACTGAAAAAAATGACTTATGTCTGTTTTTTCAGCTTAACCACCATTGCAGCATCCCCATGGTCACGTGATCAAAATTCAAGCGCTTGGCCACTAGCATGATGGGTGGTCATGTGATCCCATTTGTGACTTCCCAGCCAGCTTCTTGGCAAGCCAATTCAATGGGGGATTCCAAATTTGCTTAATGACCACATGAGTCACTTAACAATTGCAGTGATTCACTTAACTGTGGCAAAAAAGGTCCTAAAATGGGGCACAACTCACTTAACAACTGCCTTGCTTAACAACAGTAATTTGGGGCTTAATTGTGGTCATAGTTGGAGGCCTATCTGTAATGTTATGTTAAAACACCATTATTGTGATTCATGTTTTTTTTTTTTTTACATTCTCTGAGTAGGGAAGAATTAAGATTTATGTTCAATGCATGCCCACCATCTTTAAAATACTATGTAGTGCCACAAGATGCTTTTTCTCTGGTGCAACAGAAGTGGGTTTTTCCCACAGTTCTGTTTATATAGTACAAACATGGATTGTATTTTTAGGCAGTGTACTCTCAAGGTGTTGTTTGCGGCACTGATCCTTTGAAACTAATATCACCCTGGAGATCTGCAGGGCTCCTACAATGCCCGTCTTTGAGAGTTCTTTTAAAAAATAGCTTTTTCTGCAGGCCTTGAGTTGGATAGACAGGCGCCTATTGTTGTTGGGAACATGGTTGAAGGACTTTATTCCTAAATAGTTGTTTTTATTGAAGAATTTTGTTTTGTTTCAACATTGTGAGGCTGCCAGAATCAACTGGACAAAGTAGGCTAGACATTAATTTATTAATTTAATATTATATACAGACTCAAGTGTATACATGTAATAAAGGCAGACAGAGTGGGGGGGACACAAGAAAATCAGAGAACAATAATAAACCTGAAGTGACAATAGCCATTAAGACCTTCCTTAGAACTATGTTTCACCAATAGCTTGAAAGATATGATTCCTTTACTGAGAAAAAAAGCATCATAAGTGGGATATTACTGTCCATAAGTCATTTTCATAACCACACCTATCCAGGAGGTGTGACATGAAAAAGAGCATTAAATAACAAAGTACATTTGGAACAGGTTACCTTATTGCTTTTTGCTTTCTCAAAAAGCAATAAACATATTGGCTTTGCAGATGGCAATGCTGTTGCAGGACAAATGTTGCTACTTAGTATATAACTATCTTTTTCTGTCTGATATCTTTCCAATTCTTCAAGTGCAAGAACATTCATGCACATTTTTTGTTTAAAAGGCAGCCCACAATTTCTTTTGTGTCATCTCCAATGCTCCTCCTGTTCGATTGTTCTTACTCTTTCTATACATCTGTAAAATCCCTGTAATTCCTCAGAAATGATTTGATTGTCTGTTATCTTCTCTGATGCTTTTGTATAGAAAGAATATAACTGAGCTATGCTCTGTAGCAAAGTTTTCCATTGTAGAAAAATTACTTCTACATAGCTGCATGCACTGTGATATAATTCTACAACCTTTCTTTTAATCAATATTTCTAGCATTTGGAAGCTTCAAGGACATAGTTAAGGAAGAAGTACTTAAGTAAAATCACTGGCTGGGCTTTGCACCAAAGAGCTTCTATGAAAAACAGCTTTCTTTTGTCCTGTTTCTTGTGTATATTTTGGAATATGAGAGAATGCAGTGGTGTAAAATTCTAACAAAATTTCTAGGATGTAGACTATAAGATAAAGTACAAAGTAGTCAAATCTTTTAAATTAAAATGTTTGCTACATATAAGAACACAAATATTCTGTTACTGCTTTTCCTCAAACTTTCTTATTGTGTCATCTTTTTTGGATCAGTGGGAATTCTCCCTGATTCAATATGGCTTTCTTTTAGAGGTAGTTACTGCCTCAGTTATTTTCTGTTTCATTGTGATGATTCAATTCCCATTTCTGGCCCAAATGGCCTAAGCAAGACCTAAGGGAAGAGGAGGAACAGCTGTAAATGCATCTTTTCTTCAATCAGTCTCAAATCCAATTAAATACTGCAGCTCCCTGCTAGGCTGAGGAATCATTTCATTTCACGCATGATAACTCAGAGTCAGGGAGAAGTCTAACTAGATTACATCGCATCCCTTCTTTCCTCTGTTTCCCGTATTGCTGCTTTTTAAAACCTCAGCTACATGTAAAAAAGGGAAGCGTGACTTCTGAATGGTATTGATCTTCATAAATCAATGGGAAAGGGTATTCCTGCTAGCAGATATGTCCCTCCCACAGAGGTAGGGGCTGTGAGCCTGTGATTTGAGACAAGGGAGCTGTCCAGCAAAGGAAAAACAAATGAAAGTAGTGCGGAGCTGTCCAGCTAAGTACCTAGATGGTGAGCAGAGAATAAGAACAGATCAGAAGAAGCTTACAAGAATAAGAGCTGGATATCTGTGGAAAGACACTGTTCCAGTTGCAAACACCAAATTGATCCAGGAAAAAAAAAACAGGCCCTGCAGTTGTGTGAAAAATACTAGGAAGAAAGAAAAATACCTGCTAAAAGATCTTACAGCAAATCCAGCATCTGCTAGTCCTTCTTAGACATCAGCTCAAAACCTTCCTCTAGAAGGGATGTTAGGAACCAAGATTCAGGGTGTTGTGTGAATATAGGCACAATAATTTAATCAAGTCTTTTTTATTTCATGTCACTGCCACTGTTGTTCCTGTAGTCAACAAAATTGTGGTAGAGACCCAGTAATAGGCATTAAAATATGAGAGTTTAGTATATATTGCTGGCTTCTAGGGTAGAACAAGATGTGAGATTGGTATGTATTTTACATTAATTATCAAGGAATGCTTATCAGGCCTTGTCAATTATTCAGGGCACAAGATATTCCTCTGTGGTGCAGACTATTATGTGCATGGAAGGATGAAAGAGTAGTAATGACTCAGCTCTTCCTCTGACCATACCTCTAGGGAATTGGCAGCCTAAGAGAAAATAAAATAAAATAAAATTTCCCTTTCCCGTTGCTCGACTATCATGCTTTCCCCACAACAGAACAACACATCAAACTGTCACCAGGCATTTGAATCATTCTTGTTGGCCGTTGTAAAATCTCCTAAGTGACTTTTTAAAAAATGGAATAAAGTCCGTGCCAAAAGAAAAAGAAAAAAGAAATGCTGTGCATAACAGTTGCAAATGCCCCATCTTAGAGAAGTTTCACAAATAGGAAAGAACATTTTACTCTTATAGGTAGAGCTGGAAAATCCAAACGCGTTTCATAGATATGGGTGCATTTTATGGCAGTTTTAAAGATTAGCTGTTAACCTAAAACTGTATAGTTCTCAGAAATAATCCCCACTCACTGTGCGGTTATGTAATCCCAGCAGAGTGCACGACAGAGGAAGAGGCTGAAAGCATCCATTCATCAACTCCGCAGTGAGATTTATTCCATCAAACTCTTAACTTTCCTTCCACAACCTATTAGCAGTTATTCTAAGTGGTTGCAGGACAGAGAGAAATTGGAAGGAGCCGATCTTGTTAGTGCAGCTGATAGTTCAGCTCCTTTTGATATCTGAGAGCAGCTTCTACTCATGTCAGCTATTAAAAGACATTTAGCAGTAACAGCTCACCAAATTCACTTTTTTTTTTCATTTTTGCCGTTATCTATTTATGTTTTTCACATTATAAGCCTCCAAGCAGGAATGGACTGTTACTAACTTTATGCACGCTTCTTTGGGATAATAATTCTTTCTGTAATTTAATTATCCACTATATACAGTAACATTCATTTTGGGAGGGATACAGAAGGGACTTAGATGGTCAGTTCTGATATACAGTATTTGGGCTACCAATTATTATTTTTTAGCAGTGGACAGGGTGTGTTCTCTACAGGGCCAGCCGGTTTATTTGTTTTGGTAAAAATCAGCAAAGGCCAAAATTCACTGAAAGGAAAAAGGAATAAGTAAGCAAAAAACATAATTTCTGAAGAGCTTGATTGCATCCAAATTGTAGTCAATGTGCTGGCAATTAGCACAATACAATATTGGCACAGAAATATGGCCTGTAAGAGTTATAAATTGTGTGCTTGAGGTGGTTGAAGAATCCCCAAGGAGTTTCCAGAGGAATATACTGTGTACCATTCTATAACAGAAAGCCAGGAAAAGGTCTTTATAGAGCCAAGGGGAGAGGAAAAAAACTGTTATTTCAATTATCAGGTTGATCTCGTGATAGGACTAAACTGTAGATCACATAGAACGGAGCCAGGTCAGAGTAAAACCCCAAGCCAAGAATTGATCAGGTGGTCTGGATTGGATAATTGGATCAGTTGGTTGAAAATTCTGGGAATCGCAGTCCTGATGCATCTGGATGTCATAAGGCATGGAGTTATTGGAGCACGGTAATGCATTTTGTTGGAGTCAACTTTAAAAGAACACATACAAATTATTATTAAGCTTATCCAATTTCATGGCAAGCAAAGTAAAAATGTGGGAAGGTAGAGGATAGGACATGCGATGAAAAAAAATCTCTACAAAATGGGATAGAATTAAGATAGAACAGATTAATTTTTCAACTTCTGCTACAAGAAGTAATATAGTCAGGGCTTTTTTTCTCATAAAACGCCCAGAATGGAGTTCCAGCACCTTTTTTGGATGGAACCTTGTAGGGTAGGCAAAGCGGGTTGTATGACGTTTGTGAGTTCCGGCACCTTTTTTTTTTTTTTTTTTAGAAAAAAAGCACTGGCCATGGTCATTCCTAAATGTGAAAGTAGATGCTTTTAAAACACTTAATCATATAACCAATATGTTAGCAAAATACTTATTGCTGATAATTTCTTGTGTTGGGAGGAGTATCCGGCAGTTTTCCCAAACCTCATTCTGCCTAAAGACTTGCTGTTTCTTTTTTATTTGCTTTCTTCAAAGCATGTATGCATTTCTGCATGTTTTTATTTCCTTTTACCTTATCTATTTTGTGCACGTGGGAAGAACAACTGCTTAAAATCAGACTAATAAAAAAGCCCCAAACACTTTGATATCAGCTATCCAAAACTCCATTCTACAGAGATCCTGACAAAGCAATCTACAGCCTTGAACAATCTTTTACAGCTCATTTATAAGCAGCGAAAAAGGGTTTCCCTCGAGTGTTTTTGGCTCCCTGTTCTTTGCCTTCTGTCTCTTCAGAACCCAGATGCTTTACAACCAGTCTCAGATCCTCCTAATGCCTCATTGATTAGTCATTTGGGAAGTGTGTGATTGTATGTGGGGAAGAAGGATTATATTACATGCCTCTGGATATGCAGTTAATTTCAACTCCAGTTCTTTGCTGAGATGGTAGTCAGACTCTTTCAGCTGAATCTTTTACTGTTTGCTCTTCAAACTTCCTATTAATAAAAAACCCAAATGATACATATCTCCCCCAAAGATCTCATAAACCATCAAAAAAGAAAGCAAAAAGAGAATTGCTGAAAGAGATAGCAAATGCTTTAAAATTGCTATCAAATAAAAATACAGTTCACCATACCATAATGGCAGTCAGTTAGAGACCAGCTTGCCTGCTTAAACTCAGTTTTACATTCTAATGGAGGAATTAAAGACTGGATAAGTCTGCAGAAAGAACTGTTCTCAGTAAGAAGGCTATTAAATAGGGTATTGCAAAATCAGTAAAATGGTTATTGTCTCTGGGACGTAGGCTGTGTACAAATGTAATAAATATAGAAGTAGCAGCCTTATTATATTTTGTCAAGGACATTCTAAGAACACAATTTAATATATTTTGATGTTTGCTAATGAAGTTACTCCAAAGAGTTGGTTGAATCTGATGCACCAGGAGCAACTGCTTAATGGCAAATTTTTCTCCCCTTTAAAAAAAGAAGCACAATCCATCAGGAATGTATCTTTGTAGGAGCGAGACATGTCAATCCATATGGTGGCAAAAATCATAAGCCTTTTCCAACTAAGAATTTTTTATTAAAAGTCATAAGCTTTTTGTGAAGTACCAATGACATCTGTTAAAGTGACTCATGAAAGCTTATGGCTTTTAATAAAACTTTAGTTAGAAAAGGGGCTGCCAGATTTAGGGATGTTATCTTATGCAAGCCCCATTTAAATTACTGGATCATACTGTACCTATTTCTTTGATGGATCAAACCATTACTGTTAGGTAGACATAGGTAGTCTTCAAGAATACAGTAGTAAACTGCTAGGACATAAATGAGGCACAGTATTTAAGACCCCAGTGAGTAAAAATAAATGGATAAATTATCTATTAATATCAATGGACCAATAGCAAGGAGTGCATGGGAAAATCTGAATAGAGTATTGAACTGAGATTTTAATCAATTTATATAATTTCCCTGAGTGAAAAATTACCTATCTACTTGTTCATTTCCAGTACTAAACTATACCTTTGAGGAGAGAAGGGGGGAGGACTTGCTATACTCATACTCACTGAATGAATTCATTTTTTTAAGATCTGCGCAACGCATGGAATCACACAATAAATGAAGTCTGCTAACCAAATTAAGTTTTCAATTAGCCAAGCTAAACACTTGCACTGCCAGTTCTTTCATTACTCTTGTTTAGTGCGTTGTCTGAACATGCTGATGGGTTCCAGGGGCAATTGCCTCTTCTCTCTTTCCCCCCCCCCAAAAGATTTTCTCTATTTTGGACAGAAAAGGTGTGAGCGACCACAGCATTGAAGGAGGTCAAGAAGCATTCGGTTCCAAAGTCATCTTGAGCCAGGAGTGAGGTTGACCAGGTTAATTCCCCTTTGCCTGGCCGACCTCGCAGGGATGTTAGTAGACTAATGTGAAGGGATGTCTATGGAGATTCTCAGCCATCCAGGTCATAGCTATCCCAAAGGTGATTTTTCACCAGGCGACTGGCCTCAACAACTCTGTGAAAGGGTGCAAATGACCAGCGGTCTGCAAGGAGTATAAATCCTTCCATTCTCCACCATCTAGTCAGAGCTGGAAAAGCTTATGGATTGAGAAGCGAAATGCCTTCAAAGAAAAACAAAGAAAGTCCAGTTGCCTCCTGAAAAGGGGTTATTCCCAGGGAAGCTTCCTTGAGCTGGAGAACAAGCAGTGTTTTTTTTTCAATAATAATAATAATAATGAGGAGGAGGAGGAAGAAGAAGAAGGAGGAAGAAGAAGGAGGAAGAAGAGGAGGAGGAGGAGGAGGAGGAGGAGGAGGAGAAGAAGGAGAAGGAGAAGGAGAAGGAGAAGAAGAAGAAGAAGAAGAAGAACACCTGGCCATTGAAACTGCCGATTATGGATGAAGCGTGTAACAGTGGTACCCATTGTCATCGGGGCACTGGGAACTATGTCCAAAAACTTTGCAAAATACATCAAGAAACTGCAGCTTCCTGCAATAACTCCAGCAATATTATAAAAAACTGTGCTACTCGGAACATCTTATATTTTAAGGAGGTACCTGGTTGACACCTAGGATGCTGGTAGCAACCCGTGTCAACCATCAGTGCCAGCCAATTTGAATGCTCAGTTGACTGAGGTTCATGTTTAATGAATAAAAGATTATTATTGTTGTTGTTGTTGCTATCATCATTCTCCTCCTTCTCTTTCTCTTATTAGTCTTTCAAGGATCACGTGTATCCACCCCATCGACTCCAAAGAAAGTTCGGAATGGGCCAGGGGAAGAGGGTTGGACTAGAAGACCTCCCAGTTCCCTTATTCCTCTCTGTTCTACGTTCTTGAAACTCAGCAACTCAGGAAAGCCCTTGTTGTTGTTGTTGTTGTTGTTGTTGCATCCCCCAGCCCAGGCGGTTCATGAAGGAAAGCCCCATCCCTGGGCCGGGAAGGAGGCTCCCCAGAGACCCCCTGCTCAGCCTCCCCTCCGGGAAGAGCCGGCGCCCGCCCGCCGCCGCCGTCTCTGTCTGCTGCGCCTGTGCGCGCAGGGCAGGAGCGCCGGGGAGAGGAGGAGGAGGAGGCGGCGGGCGGGCGGGCGCCGGGAGTGGCCAGTGGCGCAGGGCCGGGGCGAGCGGGGGTGGGCAGAGCCGGGCGAGGGAGCGCCGGAGAGGTGGCGAGCGAAGCCGAGGCCGGGGGAGCATCACCGCCGCCGTCCTTCGTCTGCAAGCGGGCCGGCCGAGCAGGTGCGGCGGCGGCGGCGGCGGCGGAGGGGAGAGCCCGGGCTGCTGCTGCGGCGGCGGCGCCTCCGCCAAGATGTTGGAGATCCAGCTGGACGATGGCGGCGTCGGCGGCTACCCCGGGGACGACTACTGCTCGGGCTCGGTGATGTCGGAGCGCGTCTCGGGCCTGGCCAACAGCATCTACCGCGAGTTCGAGCGCCTGATCCGCTGCTACGACGAGGAGGTGGTCAAGGAGCTGATGCCGCTGGTGGTGACGGTGCTGGAGAACCTCGACTCGGTGCTGACCGACAACCAGGAGCACGAGGTGGAGCTGGAGCTGCTGCGGGAGGACAACGAGCAGCTGCTCACCCAGTACGAGCGGGAGAAGGCGCTGCGCAAGCAGGCCGAGGAGGTGAGCCGGACGGGCAAGACCCCCCACGGCCATCCCTCCCCCCCCCACCGAGGGCGAGCCGGAGGCCCGAACTTGGCCACGGAACGGGGGTGGGAAGGGTGCGAGGCCTTTCCGGCCCTCTGACTCGCGAGCAGAGCCGCAGGGCTTCCCCTCCGTTGCATCTGAGCATCCGTCCATCCTTCTCATCGGATCGGAGCCCTCAAAGGAGAAGCAGCTGCTTTATTATGCTGTGAGCCTTCGTAATCTTTGCCCCCGTTCTTTGGGCCCGAGCTCCAGCTATTCAGCTGTTTTCAGCCTGGCCTGTGTCTGAAAGAGGGCTCTGGCTCCTGTTTCTCTTAGGGTGGATTAAAATTAAAAAAAAAAAAAAAATGAAAGCAGGCTTAGAAAAGCATTGGATGAGGTGGCCTAAATCTGGAGGCATCTTGGAGCTTGAATTGGTTGGGAATTGGCTTTCCTGAAGGGCAAAGAGGAGAGAGGGTGACTGGGAAATCTTCCTTGATTTATGGAGAAAAGAAGGGAAAGGAGATGAAGTTGGCTTCCAATGAATAAATGGCATACTGGGGATGATTGGTTTTCCCCATCACTTTTCCCCCAAACCCCTCAAACTAACAGTTCTGGTGTCAGCCATCCCTTTTTCCTAGCTCCAGCGGGTCAATCATATTTCAGAAGTTTTTGCTTCTCATTCTCATCATCAACCTTGATCTGTTCTGCTCAAGATAATAGGAACTGTCATCCAACAGCTTGAGAGCCCCTTTTGGTCTAGTAGTTAAGAGACCAGGTTAGAAACCAGGAGATGGTGAATTCTAGTGCCGCCTTAGGCATGTAAATTGGCTGGGTGACTTTGGGCCAATCACCAGGAGACCGTGAGTTCTAATGCCCGCCTTGCGCATGAAAGCTAGTTGGATGATTTTGGGCCAATCACCAGGAGACCGTGAGTTCTAGTGCCCGCCTTGCGCATGAAAGCTAGTTGGATGATTTGGGGCCAATCACCAGGAGTTGGTGAGTTCTAATCCCACCTTAGGTATGAAAGCCAGGTGGGTGATTTTGGACCAATCACCAGGAGACCGTGAGTTCTAGTGCCCACCTTGCGCATGAAAGCTAGTTGGATGATTTGGGGCCAATCACCAGGAGTTGGTGAGTTCTAATCCCACCTTAGGTATGAAAGCCAGGTGGGTGATTTTGGACCAATCACCAGGAGACCGTGAGTTCTAGTGCCGCTTTAGGCATGAAAGTTGGCTGAGTGACCTTGGGCCAGCCAGTCTCTCTCAGCTCAGCCCACCTCACAAAGTTGTTGTGGGAAAAATAGGAGGAGGAGGAAGTATCATGTATATTCACCACCTTCAGTTATAAAAAATAATAACAGTGGGATTAAAAAACCCTTACAAAAATCAAAATCAGAGGTTGCTAGATGTGGGAACTCTTGGTATATTATGACGGCATTCATCCAAATGCCTTTTTCATCCCTCTTGGCAGCCAACCAAATAGATTGGCTTGTCCCTGTATTAATTCCTGTCTGAAAACTTAATAATTTATCTTTGGAGGACATCAGAAAGTCACCCAGCTGGTCTTTTGAAAAATACGTTTTATCTGTCCCAATTTTTGAAAATATGCTCTCTCTTTTTTTCTCTTCTCTAGATTTTCAATTTCAGAAGTTTAGCTTGCTTCCTAGCAACTGCCTTTTCTTCCACTTAGCATGTGGATGTACCATCCATGCCTTTCTTAGCCTAGTGAAAAGAACGTGTTGGGGCTGATAAAAATGCCAGCAAAAATATACTTTCAATCATTGCATGGAATAAAAAGATACATTTGTAAACATAGGAAGAACCAAATACAAAAAGGGCTTTATTTGGTGGTGGCAGGTGGCCAGAAAGCACATCTGAATAACATAGTAGATGCACTCGATCTGCAAGGATTTCTTGGCCCTGCTAAATTATGTGAAGTGCTATGTGAATCCAGCCGATCCAGCAACTTGGATTTTCTTGTTGAGAACAAAAACCAAAATGGAGTTACAAGACTGAATTCAATTCATGTGACCGATTCATTTAGTGTGCTCTTCTTAATATGTTAAGCGAGTTCAGATACTATTAGTTGCGAGCAATGGTTTCAATTTTCATGTGCCATGCAATCTTCATCAGATTCTTATTTTCTACACACCGTGTTTAGGCAATAAACACGTCTGGCTTTGGTGAGTGAATATATTTGGGACTTCCGAGAATCTTCAGATTGCTTTCGTACATCATGTTTATCTTCTAAAGTCCTCCAATTGCGTTCTGCAGTTTTGTAGATTGGAGTGTGGTTTTGATTTCATTATTTTAAAATGTTGCTTTATGGATGATGTCTTGCTGAGATGGAAGGCTAGGAGCTTTAATGTGGAAGATGGTGCTGTCAGGATGGATCTTTTTTTTATTTTTCAAGATTCATCTTTCTTGGATGTGTCTTTCTATTAAGTCAGCGGGGAGGCCTAGTCTCCCATTGTATTTCTACCCGTGGTGTGGCTTGGACTGTGATGGGCAGCTGTGCATTGAAACAGAAATGAGAGCTCCCAAATAATTACATCCCCATTTCTGTAAAAGCACTTTTGTGGCTAACGCACTCTGACAACCACTGAATTGCAAGTGTATTAATACAATTCCTTTAATCTTGCCCAAATTAGAAACAAATCCAATTTCTCATTCTCGACAAGTTTCGGTATATTTTTATGGCTGTGATCTTGCTTTATGTGAGGTAAGCTCACAAAATATTATCATCATGCTCCAGGAAAAGTCAAAACCAGTGGGATTTACCTTCTGTATGGGCATGTGTGTAGGCTTGTGTTATTGAGGTTGTGCTGATTTCAAATAACCATGTTAAAAGAGCTATCTGCTTCTTTGGATAAGACAATTAGAGACATTTGATGCTTTTTGTTTGGGCCAGGTCTCTAGATCCTAAGATTAGGAAAGAATTGGTTGGTTGTTACAAAATTATGACTATTACAGAAGTACAGAAAAAGAATGAGTTGCAAGGTGTTTTTATGTTACCTGGGTAAACACCTTAGCATAAATAATCTGGATATTTTGGTTTTTGTTTAGTTTATACTTGTGAACTAAAAGTATGTAAACCTATCAGTTATGGCTTAGTGCCATGTGCCTGTGCAACCATTATGACTCAATGAACCACGGTTAACATGAACTACAGCATAGTGGGAAATATGAATCTATGGTTTGTCAAACAGGTTTTTATTTGTTAATTTTTGCAATTTTCTGATGGACAGTTGTGAGAATGGTAGAAAAAAATAAGTGAAGTTGTGGTAGAAGAGGGGTGTGAGATGCGTATCTCCCCCAAATCCATAGAAATACACATAAAATTGTCCTGAATTGTTCTGAATTTTCCTGCTTCCTGAATTGATTTTTTCTAGGATTTCCTCTTCCCCCAAACTACCAGAGCAGAAAAGAAACCAACGCTGTGTGCTTTTCTCTTCCTTTTTTTCTTCGTGTGAACTAGGAAGGAGCTTGTCTTGAGATGTTTTCTCAAATTACTTTCTTGGCCCAAGGTCAAGCAACTTTTATCTGGCTTGGCTGTCCTCTTATCCTTCAAATCCATTTCCTTTGCCCTCTACACAAAGGTGTGTATATCTATTACAAACATTAAATTCCTGAAATTATTGATGGGGAAAGAGAATCTGTTAATCCGTGCATACTATACACATCTTTATTCACCTCAATGTCTGTATAGCAGAGTCTTCCAATCTAAGCAAATTCCAAATATGCTTCTTGAGGAATTCTGGGAGTTGAAATCCATACACTTCAAGCTGGAACTGGTTTAGTTTGGGAAACCCTGTTACCTATATGACCTCTACTGTCAGAATAGAGTAGATTTTAAGCCTTGATCTAATTTGTTTGATTTTGGCTTGGCTTCATAAATTTCACACATTTCAGTAAATCACGATTAAGCAAACCTAGACAATTGGGAACAATTTTGGTATTCCGTACAGTCATTGTACCTATTTAAAGCAATGTTAATTACTGGGTTGAGTTGCAGTGTTCTCAGAGATGTCCAGTGCTTTTCCACTACTTGGTCTAGCTAGAGACACCAGATATTCCACTTAGAAATTACACACACACACACACACACATACACACACACCAAGAAAAAAAAGCTTATTAATACTTGTTAATTTGTGAAACTGATTGCCACTGACATTTGAGAGAGGTCAAATTTAGAATGAGTTTATGCCTTTTGCCTATTTAGCAGCATATTGTTTAAACAGGAATATGGCTGTCTGGGACACAGCCAAAGGATTTTCACATCATCTGCTACTAGATTTTTTCTAAAATCAAAATATGTATTGGATCATTTTATCTTCAAAGTGTATACAGTTTCCACTGAGCTGTAATCCCTCCCCAACTAGGCATTTGCAGCTTATGACTTAAATAGGCGGAAAAGAAATAAAACTCCGGGGTGCTGAGACTCTGTAATAAAAGATTTTAGCATGGTTTGGCTTTGAATGATAATCACGTTTGTAGACATTGGTTCATTTCCACTTCTTTGCTAGCATAAAATTAGAATTATTCAGGTAGTCAAGATCTCTGGATTGGTCTGTTTTTATTAAGGATACAGTAGCATCATAGACTGATTACGAATACGTTGTTTTTACTATGTTACTATTTTGAAAACTAACTTTTCTCCAAGTTTCCAGCCAAAGAAAGGACAACAGAATAGAATTCAGTATTTTACTGACAAAAAATAAAGAGACCATAGGCATGTAATAGACTAGATTCCTTACCGTCTCCTTTCTCTGTTGGAACTTTCTGAAAGCCAGTGATGGATGTTAAACAAGAGTTTTTGTTGATTACTTGCCACTTCCCCAAATTTATCAGATGTAATCACTCTGTCATGTAAAAACAGTGAAGAAAAACAGTGTCATTCTGTCTGATCACAGAGCAGTGTCTTGATGGATGTTTTTCCACTAGGTAGTGTAGAGCAGGGGTCCCCAACCCCCGATCCATGGACCAGTACTAGGCCGCGCCATGCCGGCAATCGGTCTGCACAAACAAGCAAAGCCCCATCCACAGGATGCAGGCGGCATACAAAATCACGCCCCCTCTGGTCCACGGAAAAACCTCTCTCCGTGGAACTGGTCCCTGCTGCCCAAAAGGTTGGTATAGAGTGCTAAGAAAGGTTACAATTTCAAGGTGCTGGTTATCAGCTTTAAAGCCCTACGTGACTTTGGGCCAGGCTGTTTTGAAGGACTGTCTCTCCCCTAATACATCTACCCAGCCCACCAAGATGGGAAGGCAGGGTAAGTGACAAGGGGTGTACATCTGGTGGGACCACAAAAATGGGCCTTCTCAGTGGTGGCTCTTCTTTATGGAATATCATTGTCCCCAAGGTACAGGTGGCCCCCACCCTGTTGCTTTTTTCAAAGGGCCATTAAAAACATGGCTTTGTCAGCGAGCCTGGGGCCCTGAATGGAGCTGGAGCCAACCCAGTGGTTGATTTGATTGTGTTGTTGCTGTCATGGAAACTGAGGGATTGGGGGGGGGGTTAATGGGTTTTTACTATCTGATGGATTTTTTTTTTTTTAAAGAAATTGTAAATTTTGATGGGCGGCTGTGAAACTTCATTTAACAAATAAAGGGGAAATGGCAGAGCCAGAGGGGAATCAGCCGGTGACACTAGAATGGTTCAGCAGGGGGTCCCAACAAATGAAACCAAGATGAAATAGAAATCGGTAATGCAAACAGCCGGTTTTATAATGGAGACTTTTGTACCAGCATAAGGAGTGGGGGATAGATCGATAATGGGGAACTGGCCAAAGTTATGCAAGGCCTAAAGATTGTAGATATCTGTTACCGTCTTTGTGTTTGCCTTCGAGTCTGCATCCAGCACTGCAGAGAAAGGAAGAAATGTTACAGTGCAGACAAAGTTTTTTTCTGCAAAGCCAAAACAAAAAATAATAATAATATTTTTTTATAAAGAACAAGGCCTCAAAATACTGATTTGTTCCGATGACACATGCTTAAAAAACATGCATTTTCATAGAAAAAGTGCACTATTTGTAAGAAGAGACCGTCTTTGAAATGATGACAGCTCGTAGTAAAAAGTCACACTTTATCTGCTCACTTCACCCGTTTCTGTTATTTATGTCTTTAATAGAAATTCATTGAATTTGAAGATGCACTGGAACAGGAAAAGAAAGAGTTGCAGGTTCAGGTGGAGCACCTGGAATTTCAAACACGGCAGCTGGAGCTGAAGGCCAAGAATTATGCCGACCAGAGTGAGTAAAGCCGTTCCCAGAACTTGGCTATTCTACTGCATTCTGTATAGAGATTTTATTAAATTTGGTTGGATTTCCCTGGGTGCCTCATGAACTGCATCATGACAAACCCCTGGTTGGCTTCAGAGATAAAACATTTACTGGAATGTAAAAGGTTCCTGCTTCAGTGCCTGGCCCTCCAAATAAGTTTGCATAGGGAACCTAATCCAAATCTGTATAAAGAAGCCACTTGCATTAAATCAGCCTGTGGTCTGACTAGGCTCAGGGTGTGGCTATTTCTAGCTTGATGTAAAAGTTCAGAGACTGAATATAAGAAGTCTACCTGAAAAGTATGTGCTGTATCAATTAAGCCAGTGGGAAATCCGGGCACTACCTATTCTTTTGTTCATTTGTAATTTTATAACAAGGCCTTGGGAGTAAACCAGAGCAAGCTTGAAGACGTATTCTCATTCCATTTATAAAGTTGTTAGTATCATCTTTCTCAGAGTGCTCTGTTTCTCCTCAACCCGCTTTATTTTCTTTTTAAATAATGAACAGTTTCCCGGTTGGAGGAGCGTGAATCTGAAATGAAGAAAGAATACAACGCCCTACACCAGCGGCACACAGAGGTATCTCCTCTTTACTAGGAGTGGATGAAAAGTTGATTATTATTATTATTATTTGGAATGTACAGATCTAGGAGTAAATGACAGCAGTAACCCTAACTCCTTTCAGATTTGTGGGACTAGGTTCCCATCTTCTCTGATCTTCTGTTCTAGTGTGGTGGGTATTGGGGTACGATCATAGCTGGAAGTTTGTAAGTTCTGGTTCTGCTGTATAGAAAATCCAAAACAATTATTATTATTATTATTATTATTATTATTATTATTATTATTATTATTATTATTATTATTATTATTATTACTATTATTATTATAAAAGAAAAGCCATTTTCCAGATCAGTTAAAATGTTGGACTCTGGGTTGAAAAGCCATTTTCCAGATCAGAAAATGTTGGACTCGGGTTGGACAATTCTAAAGTGGAGTGGAAATCCGGATTAAGTACTATCTTTCTTTTTCTCCCCCTTCTTCTGCAGATGATCCAAACCTATGTGGAGCACATTGAGAGATCCAAGATGCAGCAGGTCGCTGGAAATAGTCAAAACGAGAGTGGTCTCTCTGGGAGAAGGTAGGGGGCCCCTTGGCTCTGCCCCCAAGGAAGTAGGGTTTCAAGGCGAAAACACTGTTCTGATCTTGCGTAGATGTTTCTCTTTAAGTAACTGAAATGAGCATCTTGGGAAGATACCTGAACCGGGCTGCATCCTTGAGCCTCAGCCATTTGGGAACAGGCTGGATTATGATGGTGGGACCCGCATGGGGAGAGAGTGAAGGAAAAATGCTTGAAATGCCTGTAGTTGTGTGACACAACATGTTTCACTGTCCCAGTTGGCACGGTCCTCGAAAAGCTGGTTTAGGCTTTTGTCTCCAGGGGTTCAGTACTTGGTCCAGATGTTGTGAAGCATGATTTCAAACAAAAGGATAGCGAATGAGAATGCATTTCGTATCACAGCAGAGTTAAAAAAAAAAACGATTTGAAAAGTTTGAATGTAAATTCCTTTAAGAAGTTTCCCCCCCCCCCTATTTTTTCCCCCAACTTACTATTTCCTTCTTAAGAAGTCTGGCTTCTCTGAGATTAGAAACAAACATTTTAAAGTAGAGTCCCAGAGGCCAAAAGGTTGCAAATTATATTCGTGTCTTCCCCGTCTAGCTGAAGAGCTATAAAGGTTATGCACACTTTGAAAATAATTTGGAAGAAGGACTTGCTGAGCACGAGAGTCAATAAATCCCCTTGAAGTTAAGGCAACTCTTAAAGCAGCTGTACCTTTTTTTAGGCTTGCAAGAAAATTATAAAAGGGCCAGGCTCCTTCACTGAAGAGCTATACTTGTACAGGCAGTCCTTGACATATGACCACAATTGAGCCCCAAATTTCTGTGGCTAAGTGGGACTGTTGCCCAGTGAATTTTGCCCATTTTATGGCCTTTCTTGCCACGGAATCACTGCAGTCGTTAAATCAATAACACGGTTGTGAAGTGGAGGTGGCTTCCCCCATTCACTTCGCTTATCAGAAGGTTGCAAAGGATGATCACATGACCCTGGGATGCTGCAACCGTCATAAATACGAGTCAGTTGCCAAGCGTTTGAATTTCGATACCGCAACGGTCATAAGTGTGAAAAACGGTCATGTCGCTTTTTCCAGTGCCGTTGTAACTTTGAACGGTCACTAGATGAATTGTTGTAAGTCGAGGACTGCCTGTACAAGGTCAAAAGCTCTTCTGATTCAGTCATAACAGCTTACAGCCTGTGGTGGGGAATGGATCCCAATAAAAATTATTATCGGCACTCTCTGGCTTTCAGCTGCCTTATGTCTTCGGCAGGGACAGACCCCCCCACACACATAAAATGCGGTTATAAGTTACAAAAATGGGGATAGAACTGAGATTGAGATCATGGAGGCAGCAGGGCCATTAATTTCTTCTACATTGGACAAGTTGTCCATCTTTGGAACGAATAGATGGATGACTTGCTTCCGGGGAAGAGAAAAGAATGTCATTTAATTAAATCCCAATGGGCTGTGGGGATTGGTATCCTGTGTAAATCTTCTGTGACCCCCCCCCCCCCAACCAGTGTCAGGAGTCTTTTTCCTTCATCCCAGTCAGTGCATGTTCTTTTGGATTTGGCTTGGGTCTGGCTGTGCTTGTATTCCGCAGTTCCTGTTGCTTATCTCACCTCTGCATGTGGTTTGCACTGTGATTGTGCTCAGGTTTTTATTTTAGAAAAAGCGGGGACATATGGTACCCTTCAGCACGTAAGTGTGTGTATGAGCACAGAACATGTTCCATAACTCCTGAGGTTATTGAGGATAAGGACATTTTTCCATGTGATGATGGGACCACGCAGACGTGCATTTCTTGGGACTTGCTTCCATTGGAGTTTCTTTCTATTTGTTCAAGAAGCTTACCTTGTTTTGTGCAAGCCAAAAATAATACGGCAACAACTGGTTCAGACAGGCAGATTTACTACAGGGTGAGCACAGGGATCGAGGATCCCTTTAAGACAGTGTTTCCCCATCTTGGCCACTTGAAGACGTGTGGACTTCAACTCCAGAATTCCCCAGCCAGCTCCCAGAATTTTGGGACTCGGGAGTCCACACTTCTCCAAGTGGCTGGGAAACCCCACCTTAGGAAAATATTATTGGAGTGTAATGAGATATAAGAACATATATTTTTCTGGTCTGCTTATGAAATTTGAATTCATCCACATATCTTGTGGATGAGAGGAACTCCTGAGATTTCAAAAACTGTTTATTTTATTGAGTATGGGAGAAGCTAGGCATAGGATGCATTAGATCAGACATGTCAAACACAAGGCCCAGGGGCTGGATGCAGCCCGCGAAGTGGTTTCATGTGGCCCGCGAAGCCATCCTGGAAGCAGTGAGGGAACGGCCCCCTCTGCCTTGGCCCTGGCCCAGGCTGGCCGGAAGCCAATGTACAATTTTGTGGTGGCCATCTATGCTGAAACGCATTCAGTCTTAGCTTCACAAGGCCATCTGGAAACAGCGAGAAACCAGCCCCTGCCACGTCGGCTCCGCCCCCTGGGTGCATGGTCTAGGAGAAACTTATCCTAACTCTAAGAAGATGTTGATAGTTACCATTGGGACATATAAATGTGGAATGCTGATCATTAAAATGTGAAATAATATAAAGCCAAACTTAAGAGTCATCCACCCTGTTTTCTGCTCTTTTTTCATTCTTGCTCTTTTTAAAATTTTGAGTTTTTCTCTGAAACTTTGGTAATTTCTAAGCCTTTTGGGGAATTCACTGATGGAATATATACCTCTGCCCCCAGTAAATAAATTTCTTGAGTTTTAGATGAAGGCAATCAGAAGCCAACCTATGAACTTACTTGCTTACCCAGTTGTCATCATTAGAAGGAAGTTGGCAGTTCTTATTAGCGCATACAGTATATCTACCCATGTGTGTTTCCAGGTACAACTTTAGGAGACTTAGAGAAAACTATCAATCTGCCAGATGAAATATTATATTGGAAAACCATAATTAGAACTTCAGAAGTATTTATTTCCACATAAAAGAAACTGATTGATTTTGGAATGTTTAATCTTCTCTCTCTCTCTCTGCTTTCATCATCTAAACTTAGCTCCATTGGATTAAAAAAGAAATCATACAGAGAGAAATACATATTTATATATCCCTGGGATTATGAAGAGAGTTGAGCATTAAGGGTTAAGTCCAGTGTGAGTCTTCCATTCAAGTCATCTCTGTCCTTCAATGTAAAATAACTACATTATGAGATCTAGTCATAGATCTTTCACGTGTAACTATTATCAAGTCCCAAAAAAAATATTCTTATTTGTCCCACTCCTAAGAAGAAGCTAGAGCTAAAAACTATGATGTGTTCCTTATTTCTGATCTCTGGCTTGTTTCAAATAATTCTACTCCAACACAAGAATTCTAGAAAACTTTGGCTTACTATATTTTGCAAATGCTATACAGTTGCCATCTTCTGCCATGAAAGCAGAGACCATTGGTTGAATGATAAAAGCGTGGAATCAGTGTCGAAACGACTATTTCCAATCTTTGCAAAATGTCATATGCTGATGTACACTAAAGAAACATCATTTTTCTTCAGATAAGAGACCAGCAATGCAGTGTAGCTATACATATGATAGTATCATCCTTGCTTCACACTGTGCTTGTGAGACTGTGGGCCGGTGTGTCAATCTCTATTCAAAGGAGCATGTTATCTGAGCATGTCGGTGCGTGCTTGCATGACTTTTGCACTCTAATGGTTATTCTCTTGTCTTGCTTCTTGTGCCATTACCTCTCTTGTGTTGGCTGTTCTCTGTTTGTCACTTCAGTCACCACCCATCATGGAGAAAAAGGTAATTTGACAGACTCTTCCAAAGGGGTTGAGTTTTCTCTTATCATCATCATCATGTTCATCATCATCATGAAACCTCTGATCACCAACCATATTTTGCTGTTCTGTACTGTTTTCTGAAGATCAGAGAAAAACATTCCTGGGCCATATTGAGCACAAGTTCAGAGTGTGAATCAGGCCTGGTAGCCATACCTATCGCTTCCATATGTTGTGTTTAGAGTGTTGGGAGGCCTACTTGCCCCAGTGTCTGCGCTGATCATCATATTTGAAGTAGCAACAATAGGCACCGTTTAAAATGGTTCTTATTTAGATTGGTAAGATCTCAATTCTGCAGTATTGGGTGATCTTATACTATTTACGGAGATCCCCCCCCAGTTTTTCAGCACTGGTGGGGTGTTGCAACTGTTGTTTTGATGCCCAGAGACAAAAATTAACTGGGGTACCATAAAATATAGGGAAAAGATAATTCTTTTTTTTTCCCTAAGAAGGTTGTAAGAGCCCCTCTTAGCCTTCTGCTAGGGCAGAAGTCCATGTCCTTGTGTGACAAAAATGTTGGAAAGGAGAGCAGTTTGCAGATTTTGTTGACTACCCACTAGTCAATTACATTTGTTCCTACTCATCCCCTTAATCTGACTTCCTCTCCACAGGGCAATTTAAGGGAATCTCATCGGCCTTTATCCCCACTGTTTCTTCCAAAACCTTCAGTTTTACATTTGAAGTTCTGGTTTGCTTCTCAGTTGGATTCAGTCCCCATTTGGAATCAGTCAAATGAAGCTGAGTCACAGGAGGAGAAGTTTGACTCTCATTTCAACAATCTCCACTCTTATCTTTAGGATAAGAAAGAAATATGTTTATAAAAACCTGGTTGAAACTGGAGTTCATTATCGTATCCAAATCTCTTCCTCCCTCAAACAAACTAAAAACATTGGTGAGATAGGGCTGGAAAAGGGCACTTTTTTGTGTGTGTGGGGGGGGAAGTCACCTCCTCCCCACATAGAGCTCTTTGGAAGAACCCTCCTCCCTGTTTTTTTTTTGGCTTGGCTAGCAGAAGAGATTAGACAAAAATGATGTTCGATATTTAGCATTTCAACGTGCTTTGGCTGTGTATAAACCACATTCTCATGTTGGGTCATAATAGGATTTCTTGAGGAATTCCACGTTATTTGAGCACATCAGTTGTATTTTGCTAAACCAGGAACTGGAGAATTTATATTTTTGCCCTTCTACTTTCAACTTTGAAAATGACAGCAACTGGAAGATGAAACACATCCCCACTGGGAAAAACAAGGGAAAAAGAAAGGATAGGAACCAGTCTTGGATAGATTTATGCTATCTGACTTTCATTCTTATCTGTCAATCTGTCCTAACATAGTCAAGATGGATCAAGCTACATATTAAGTGTCTTATAGCACCCCCTTGTTCTTTCTATTGTATTTTTATCTTATTTCTGTGTCAAAGTATTTGAGTCATGGGCTGAGCTTCTCCTTCTCTTTTATTTTCATAGCAACTCAACTAGCTTAAATAGGATGTTACTGAGGAACTGAACCCAAGATAATTTCAAGGCTAATCAAGGCTCTGGATTCTTACTTGATAGCTCCCCAAATTGTTGTCCATTGCTTTTAGCTACTCTGCCCCAGCCAATCTGTACTTGAGATTGAACAGAGAAAGAATAGAATGTTCTGTGCTTCTTGTCATGATTTAATGAATATGATTTGGGGCCATTTTTCATACATTCTTTTGATCTTAACAAGATCTACAATTCAGTGGCAGAGCACGTGTTTCGTATGCAAAAGGACTCGGTCTACCTCCTTGCACTTCCAAGACAATCTGAAAAAGGGTCTTGTTTAAAATGCTGACAAAACCCACATGCCATTTAGAGCAAGACAAGCAACGTTTGTTCCTAAGGGCATGGGCAAGATTTGAAACCCATTTTTCAATAAGCCAGTTACTAGCAAGGTCAACCTGTGCCCCTCCTCACAGCTTCCTGGTGAAGAGAGTGGCAGAGAAAAAAATGGGAGTAAAGATGAAAGATATTTTCATCTAGTTTTGGTGGCATCTGAACCCAGCCTGCATCAGTTTGCTTTAGTCTTGTCCATCAGACAGGCTTTAACAGAAGGCAGCCCTCAACACACCTTGAGGATCTGGTCTCTGTTAAACGTGATTGAACTTGGTTAGTACTTCGATGGGAGATCATAATTCTAGTACGACACCTATATTACTGCTACTTTGTCTATTAGAATGTGATAGAAACCAGAATTATTTGATATCTAACAGCAAATATAAGTGCTTAGCTAAATGTCATTAACCGTGAAAAGCTAAATGGAAAAATCCAATGACTGAGCACCTATGTGCTGTTGTCAAAAAAAACTCATATGGATGCAATCATTACACCACCAGAAATTGCACCCAGTTTCGAAACTTGAGTTTATTTGACTAAAAAGAACTAGTAGAGCAGCTTGCTGTATGCCTCCCAAGATTGCTTTTCGTGAGATGGGTGGCTATACAAATTTGATTAATAAATACACTTGGAATAAGGAATATTCTTACCTTAGTGATCAGGAATGTGGATAGGAAAGATCACCATGAAGTGTATTTATTCCCCAAGTGCTGGTGTTGAAGATTTCAGCATCTAGATATTTTCCCCAACTAACTTGGAAGTTGTTCTTTAAATGGGAAATGGCTGCCATTGTGAGACAGTTAAATCAGTTACCTGATGCCTCTAAGACAGTGTCTCCCAACCTCAGTAGTTGCAGAGTCTGAAAGACACTGCTCTAAGGAATGATATGGAAGCTTCTCTGGTATGCTCATCTCCCAAGAGTCTGTTTTGTTACGAGCTGGAATTACAAGGATTCATTTCAGCTCAAATTCAAATAAGAGGCAGGTTGATATACAATGGATCCTAAAGAGCACTTGAATGCAATTTCTAGGGTCCTGGATGCTCTGTAAGTTTGGTGGTTTTCTTGAAGACGTTTCATTACCCAACTAGGTAACATCATCAGGGCTAGGTGAGAGTGGGCTTACCACTGATCATGTTATCTAATTGGGTAATGAAACAAGCTCAGAGAAATCAAGGACCCCACAGTTCAACCCTAAGCTACAAATACTCTCTTCTACTGAGCATGGTCTCCTGTTTGAGCAGGGCGTTGGACTAGAAGATCTCCAAGTCCCAACACTGTTATTCTGAATGTTATTTACTATGGCAAGTTTTTTTTTTAAATTTTGTTGCTTTTCATACATTCAAGCCTTCCAGGCTTCACTGACAATTTCCCCTCTCTTTTCTCTTGCTCTCTCATTCTAGCATGAAGAGGCGTCCTAATTCTCTGAACATCCCCCTCACAGATGATATGGTACGTGGGCAGGTGGGGGCCAAGATTGCCCCCGCAGTGGACCACTGGCACCTGAGTGACCTCAGTCAGCTGCAGTCCAACTCCATCTACAAGGTTTTTTTTACAACTATCATGGAAATGAGAGCTTCCCGCCTACTTGTTGAATTGTGTTTTCCATCAGGGGAGAAGGACCCTTTGTGTCTGTAACCCTTTGCAGCCTAAACCATTCCCCCCCCCCTATCTTTTTCTACCTTTTGAGGAACAGGCAACGTACGGCCCTCCTAGAGGTGAAACTCGAAAAATTAGAATATCGTGCAAAAGTTCATTTATTTCAGTAAGGCAACTTAAAAGGCGAATCTAATATATGAGATAGACTCATTACATGCAAAGCAAGATAGTTCAAGCCGTGATTTGTCATAATTGTGATGATTATGGCTTACAGCTCATGAAAACCTCAAATCCACAATCTCAGAAAATTAGAATATTACATGCAATCAATAAAATAAGGATTGTACATAGAACAATATCGGACCTCTGAAAAGTATAAGCATGCTCAGTACTTGGTATGGGCCCCTTCTGCAGCAATTACTGCCTCAATGTGGCGTGGCATGGAAGCTATCAGCCTGTGGCACTGCTGAGGTGTTATGGAAGACCAGGATGCTTCAATAGCAGCCTTCAGCTCTTCTGCATTGTTCGGTCTCACGTCTCTCATCTTTCTCTTGGCAATGCCCCATAGATTCTCTATGGGGTTCAGGTCAGGCAAGTTTGCTGGCCAATCAAGCACAGGAACCCTTTGCAGGTGTTATGGCTTAATTAGCTGATTAGAGTGGGACACTTTGAGCCTAGAATATTGAACCTGTACACAATATTCTAATTTTCTGAGATTGTGGATTTGGGGCTCAGGAATTCTGGGAGTTGAAGTCCACAAGTCATAAAAGAGCCAAGGTTGCCTATCCCTGGCCTAGGCCTTGTATTTGTAAGATCACTTTAGACTAGTGGTCCCCTTGCCTTGGTGATATTGTTGGACTCAAAATTCATATCTGTCTCGGCTGCTAGAGTTGATTGCTATTAACGCTGTGCAGTTGAAAGATAAGCAACCTGCTGTCCCCCAAATGTTATGAACTTTTGATTTAATGCCAAGGGTTAGTGGGAATTGTTCAGAATAAGCAGAGGACAATGAGTTGCTCACCTCCGGTTTAATATATTGGAGGGTTTTTTGGAGATGATGAAAAGGAAGCAGTAATTAATTATGCGCCGTACCGTGAGTGGGATACGATACGGATTTTATAGCATATTTAGAGGCCTGCTTTAAGTCTCAGAAGAAGTTGTAAGGAGGTGCAGCCACTTCTAGGTACCGTGCGTGATCACTGACTTAATTTTGGAAACCCATCGCAAGCAAATAGAGTTGTAGCCAGAATAACCTGGCCCATTTCTAGCAGCCTGCTGGGCAGAAGGGAAGTTGCAGGGGAAAAAAATGTTTTGGGCACTTGCTCAGCTGGGCTTTGGCAATGCCAGCAGTCAGGCTCCAACAGATTCATTGCAAGATGTTACGGTCCTGACAACCAAAATGTTCCTCGACCATGAAACTTTGTGTCATATTGGCCCCCGTTGTTCATTTCATGGTTTCCATTACTGCTGCTTGGCGTCTTATGCTCGTACTTCTTAATGCTCCAAAGGCAGCAAAAGAGCCAGGAAAAAAATTGATTGGTGTGGCTATCTTGCCTTTTTTTTTCCCCCTTCTCCCCTCTCTGCAAACCACATTGCGCGCCAGTGCCCACCTGATGAAATGTCAGAATCTGGACAGTCCTCTGCAGCTGCCACGCCGAGCACCACGGGAACAAAATCGAATACCCCCACGTCATCGGTGCCCTCTGCTGCTGTGACGCCCCTGAACGAGAGCCTTCAGTCAATGAACGACTATGTCACTTCAAAAAATAACAAACGGTCACGGGAGAAACGGAACAGCCGAAATATGGAAGTGCAGGTGGTCCAGGAGACAAGGAACGTGAGCATAGGTAGAGTCGGTCTATCTGCTTAACTCCTTTACTGTGGGCACAACGGCACACCTCAGAAATGAAATTTAGTTGCCCGCTCTCAAAGTGAAACACATACATGATGCACACCTAAAACATACTATGTACAACAGAGGTATAGACCCACACCCCTACATATACATATACATAGCCAATAAATATTAAATACTGTCCATCTTGAATATATAATGAAAGGAGGAAGCTTGAGAGTGTCCAAATGTTAATCACGTGACTGTCGGGATGCTGTGAAGTATGAGGAGTGATTGTAATGTCACTTTCTTCAGTGCTGTTGTAACTTTGAATGGTCACTGAATGAGCGGTTGTAAGTCAAGGATTAACTTGTATGTATGTGAGAGAGACAAGATGACATGCCTTCTGGATTGAGGCCGGGTGATATTTCTGATGCCCTAAAACACAGATTGGGTTACTCGGTGTTTTTCAAGAGAAGGAGAAGAGCAATGACACGTGTTTAGTCCAAGTGCTTTGTGGGCTCCAGAGCATACATGGTTCCCCATGCCTTTGTTACAGGAATGGGAAGCAGTGACGAGGGATCGGACTTCCAAGATATTGACTCTACTCCAGAGTTGGACATGCAGGATCCTAGACTGGAGCGCACAGGGAACAGGTTGGAAAGCTTTGGGGGCAAACTTCATCATTTAAAGGGTTCAAATAGTGGGGAATCATTGAATCAGACACAGATAATTTACGAAGCTGGTCTGTTTCTACGCACTGTCATTTAAATCAACTACTTGTAGAGTAGCTGTCCTTCTTAAACAGTGTTTCTCAACCTTGGCAACTTTAAATGTGTGGAGGTCAAATCCCAGAATTTCCCAGGCCGGGGAATTTTTTTTTCCCCTCCATGGGATAAGGGTTAAAAAAAAAAATAATGGTATTTGGGGAGAAAAGCTGCCTTTTGTGATTAAGAGAGGAGAAAAATGACAATATTTCTTGCTGCGATGTATTTCTGACTTTTCTTCTTATGTAAATAGCCCAACACAAGGGATAGTGAATAAAGCCTTTGGCATCAATACTGATTCCTTGTATACCGAACTTACTGAAGTGGGCTCAGAGGCCATCGGAGACGTGGATGAAGGAGCAGATCTACTAGGTAAAGGTTATTTCAAAGGCATGGCTTTTAAAATCCTTGCCTTGATTATATCCTCACAACAATACTTTGAAATGGGTTTTTGACACAAATTTGTAAAATTTGTCGGTAGATATTTAACTGGATCATTTAAATATCTAGAGAAAGGGAAGAGGTGAAACCAATGAGTGATATTTGGATTCAAGTTTCAAGACGTATCTAATGTACGCCAGAGTGTGTAGGTATGAAAAAGGCAATTATTTACTCAGCAGGTTTATGCATTCTGCAGAATTCTGCAGTGGGAATAAATGCAGCCTCTTAAAACGTGCATGCATATTTTGTGTTCTGCATTTTCTAATTAATTTGCTTAATTTATTCCATTAGTTTCAAGATTGGGAAAGAGCTTTGTGGTATAATGATGCCTTGTTAACTCTTAGGCTACGAAGAATCTTGCCTATGCAATTCTCTTACATTTGAGGCAGTTATTCTTCCAAAGGATAGGACTTATATACCTTTAAAAGGTGTTGTTGTTTTCTTAAAAAAGCTGAATTTTCTGATCCGAATCATGTTCTTTTGTCACTTTTTCTCTATTTGCAAGGAATAGCAACCTATGTTAGAGGGTCAGATTTGTAGCAAAGATTTCAAAAAGCATTTAATAAAGTAAATAAACTATAGAGAGGATAGCTGATCAAGGAGTTTAAACAAGGCAAGTAGTTTTGTACAGTTGCAGTCACACCTAGCAACCACTTTATTTAACAATCAAGTTCCCGGTTCTAATTGTGGTCTCTAAATGAAGACGACCTTTATGTTGGGTGTACCCAGCCATTTTGATTTGTGAACAGTGTTTTATGAATTAATCTCAGCCAGTTAGGATTTATTTAAGAAACTACGATTAAACAAACCTTAGCTTACCAGTTGTTGCTTTTATATCTTTATTTGGCTTATAGGGCCGCCTATCTCCTATAATGATTCTAGGGCTGTTCACAAGCATCTATAAAACAAAGATTTATCAGACGAAACAGCCTCCCAGCTCAACCACCTCAACCTGGGGGAAGAACCAGGTTTTCACAGCACCTCACTCAGCTCATTTGTTCAATTCCTGGTCGGTTCCTTCCAGTCTTTTATTGTTGTGCTCATGTGGCATCTTATCGGATAGTTAGAAGGATGTTTGAGGCCCAAAGGAAACCCAAGAACAAACCAGAAAACTTAAAAACAGACCATACTCTCCATTTGCATGTCATGCTAAGCCACAGTTGCAATCAGTAAGCCCGTAGCAAGCCATGGTTACAGACTGCTTGCCCTCAAACAAACCATAACCTGCTCCATTCTCCTTCCCTCGTCCACACACCGTAGAAAGGTAGAAACGACAACAACAACAAAAAAAAACACATTAGACCATAATGTGATGCCTGAATCCAAACAATTCAAGAACACACATGAATATCCTATCGTGGGATGAGACAATGTCCTTTATAGACTTCTAAGGCGACATGCTTGAGGTTTTGGTGGAGCTGATGGGGACATTCCTAAGCATTTAGTGAGATTTCGGTTTCAAAAAATCATGTTTTTTTAACCTTTTGCTGTGCTGAAGCAGAACAATGCAAAGAAAGCAAGAGAAAATTCTTCCTGATTCTGGCTTAATGAAAACCAGATACTACGTGTGAGAAAACAAGGTTAAATGAGGGACCACATTTTCATCAAAAACATTAACCCTTCCCCTCTCACACCCCTCATGCTTTTTCCTCATGTAAATTCATGCTGTTTATGCTCACAGTGGACTTTGTCTTTATGATTTTACGCCTTTTGGTATGGAAATGGCAAAATCATTGTCTTGGGTTTGGGGGAGGGGGAGAGAGTTGTTTAAAAAAAATATATATCCAAGAATTATTTGTTGTTGTTGTTGGTTTTAGACATTGATTGACTTTTTTTCCCTCCCCCCCCCCCACTCCATTCCTTCCTCTCTCTGTGCTTCGTTGGACATGGCCCATAGGGGAATTTTCAGGTGTGTATTTCTCCTCTCCTTAGATTCCTGGTTTATTTTCTCTTTTTCCTTCCCCCCCCCCCCCTAGAATTTTAAATCACATGAAGAGGGTATTCATATGTAATATATCCTGTCACAGTTCATTTTGTTGACTTGGTTTCTACCTTTCCCTACTTTTATTAGCTTGGACAGTGGATGTTGGGAACCTGCCAGCTAGGCTGGAAGGAGGGGGTCAAGCAAGGACCTAGCTTGGAATCATTGTGCAGCCTACATGCAGCATAAGCTTGACCTCACCCAAGATCTATGAACCCTTATCTGGTCATTCCCAGGGAAAGGCAAGCAGTCTGGAGGATTCTTGTAACGTATGTGGCAAACAACAAAGTTACTGACTGGGTATTTTATGAAAGGCTATGGTTGCTTGCTCCTGACAGTTAGGTATCTGAGCAGAATTGATCACTTTCTGTTTTTTTGCTTACATTTCCTTTCTGCAATCTCCATCCACTCTGTCTACTTGAGTCCCATCTACTTTGGGATTTAAGATGGGAGGTGGAATATCCTGATAATATGGGATGAAGACTATACTTCCTTTGCTAATTGAGGCATGTCAGGACTCAAAGTCTGAAATTCAATATCCATCTCTTCTTAGGTGATTTTAAAAGAAACGTATTTGGGAGAATGGTGCTTAAGGCACCAGTTTCTAAAGTATAGCCCTGGGATGTAGTTGGGCTACAGGTTCCATCATCCCCAATCAGGTTAGTCTGCAGCCAAGGATAATGAGGATTATAGTCCTAGGGGTTGCCAGAATGAAATTACTGTCTTAATTAGTGCTAATTGGATGGGATCTGGCGCTACTTCTGATAAACTAACAATAAGGGGAAAAAAACTACTGGACAAGTGAGTTGGTTTGTGATGTTCTCCTTTTTTTCCAATTCTTAATAACAATCCTGGGACTTTTAGAGGAGAATACAAGAGATTGTTTTTCTTTGATCTCATATAATCAAAGACTAATTCACCTGAACAGTTGTAATGTCCCTTTCTTTTTGAAGGGGATATATATCTTTTCATTATATCTCTGAAATTGGAAGGTTGTTGGCAGGATAGGTAACCTGCAGCTCTTGAGTTATTTAGCCTCAGTCAAGACCCGGTTCTGTAGTTCTAATGGGCCAAACCTCATAAAGGGAAGAAGATAAGGAAATGGTACAAAAGAAAGTGAATTCCCAGGATGTGGCAGAGAGAGAGAAAGAAGCTGTGCTTTCACTTAGTGTTCTTCTAGCTCCTGGGAACATGGTCCCTGAGACATCATCCTCCCCCACCCTAAAAAAATTCAGCCTTCAATAGAGAAATCCCGGTTTGCTCTCTTTGTTTCTTCCAGTTTATATTCCTCTCCTTCTCCGAGGAAAGTAAAAATACTAGCATCTGCTCCTCCAAAGAGAGTGAAAATGCTAGGACTTTCCTCGTCCCATCCTCCTTCTCCTCCAGGAGAAGTTGAGATCTTCCTTAGTGTTTGGGTGTTTCTACTTTTTAATACTACAGAAGTGGGACTGCAACCTCAGGGTTGAATCCAAGCTATTTTATGATTTTGGTGGTTCCTCCACCACCGCTACCTCCCACTTTTTGTTTGTCACTTGGGCAGGCATAGAAATCTTGTTCAATAGGAGGAAAGATTCTGGCTGTTGTAACACACACAAAAAAAACAGGATCCTAGAGCAACAACATTCTTCATCTGCTATGCTCCAGTTCTCAGAGGTGGACCAAGGCTACACCGTGAGACGGATCCCCCAATTCTTTGTTCCTTGAACGCAAGGATCTGTTCCCAAAACCTCTCTTCCTCAAAAGGGAAGAACATTTGGGTCTAACCCACAAAAATTGGCGTATGATTTTGATTTGGGTTTCTTTAGAATTCGTTAGACAACACTTTAGAAGATAATATTGGTAGCTCAAGGTTGAACTATGGACTCCTTGGTGCTTTAGACCCAGAAGTTATAGTCTTCTGGAACTTCCCTGTGCTGAATTTTCTATTGCCATGTCCCTAATGAGCTGGAAACTGGTGGTTATTCAGCTGGAGAGAACAGTGATAGCCTCAGGAGTTGTCACTTGATTGGTTTCGCTCAAAAACCAGGTCCTTTCTACTGAGTTGGATCAGTCCGGTGAAGAATTGCCTTGCTGTCATGTAAATGATTTTTCCATACACATACGTGCTAAGACGGTGTCACCATTTGCTGAGTTGTATTTAATGGCTGCTTTTTCTCTCTCTCTCCCTGTCCTCCCCCTTTCCCCCTTTTTTTTCCTCTTCTGTATCTCTTCCCCTCTGGATCCTTCGCTCCTTCCCTTCCTCTTCTCTCATATGCAATGACTTTCATAGTACGGGATGATTTCTTTGGTAAGGCGAAAGCCAGTTTTAAAACATATGGGTGTTCCCCTTTCCTTTCACTTGGCATCTCTTCATTCTTTTTTTTTTTTGTCTTCTTTCTGGGATCCCTTGGGACTTGGTTTGTTTTTGTATTGATCCCCGTGATGGTAACGAAGGTGCTTTTTCGAGAAGCAGATCTTCTTCAGTTGCCATCGTCTAGGACAGTGTTTCTCAACCTTGACAATTTTAAGGCACGTGGACTTCAACTCCCAGAATTCCACAGCCAGCATTGCTGGCTGTGGAATTCTGGGAGTTGAAGTCCACATGCCTTAAAATTGTCAAGGTTGAGAAACACTGGACTCTAGGAGGTATTGTCCTCTGCCTCTTCTCTTGGGACTTTGGTGGTTATCCACTTTGATGTTTCAAGCAGCTTCCAAGAGGTGGCCATAAAATGTCTCCTTCCCTGTTGTTGTTGTTTTTTTTTTTGTTTTTGTTTTTGAAAATTGTGCCCCTGGGGCAACCTGATGGGAAGATTTGTCTAAGCAGCCCGCTTCCTTGTGATTCACTTAGCTTGACATACATGCTGATACTCTGGCCAGTTTTTCTTCACGCATGCTCTAAACTTTCCTTTTGAAAAACCACACCTTTCAGAAAATAAAGTGGGGAAAAAAAGGCTCTAGCTGGCTTTTTCTGAATTGCTAGCTTTTTTTTTTTTTTTTTGCAAGTAGAGATGTTCTATCATAGCTTCTTTCCACCTGAAGTTTGAAACAGCATCAGGTCATCTTCATCACAGATTTTTTAAAAAAAGAATATTAAAATATTGGCAATTAATTCTGAGGGATGTACTCAGAGATGACCCAATGATACTTGGCGCAGCAGCTGAGATTTCAGACTCCTATTTGTCTAGCAATACTGTTGATTAAAAATATCTTCCTATTCTAAATTGGGCTTCTAGAAGGACATATCTGAAGAAACTTGCATTCAGAGTCTTCATTAAATGTCAGGATTGGATGGCATGGACTAAGAGCCCCATTCTTGCCAGGGGCCCCATTGCTCACCTTTTCTCTCTGAGTCTTCAAAGTGAAGAGTAGACGTGTCATTCTTGGACTCTTCCACTATCCAGACTGGACTCGGAAGGAAAAGGCAAGACAAGGAACAGTTCCTTGTTAATGTCCTAAAAGATTTAGTTCTTGGTTGTGCTCTAAGAAACGGTGTGCAGATCAAATGCTGCCTGAAACATCAAAAGGGACTAATCTCCATGTCCCCTCAAAACAACTGCAGCTGCTTTTCCATTCTCCCTGGGAAGTGGACATTCCTCTGCCATCTCCAACTCATCTCCATCTGATTGTGGGAAGAAGGTCTGTGTACTGCCCTGGTGTGTTGTGATGTGTTCTCACTTCCTATGTATGCTGCCATGATTCTCTTGTTAGCTTTTCATTTGTCCTGAGTGTGCATTTGTCCCATGAAAGCAACCTAAACAGACCCCGCATTAAAAGAAAACCGAGTTTATTTTCCCTACACAGTGTGAAGTAGAAGAGAGTTTAGATGCTGGCAGAGGTTGGCTAGTCATTGATCCCATGCAGACCTCTTCTTTTAACATCTGGAAATGGGACAAAATTATTCAAAGTAGTGCCATTTTCATTTTGTGATTGAAGACATCTCTTTTTCTTCTCTGTTGAATTTTCAGTGCTATGAAGCAAAATCTGTCCCATAAAGAATGGACAATAGGACCATCCATAGGAACTTTTTCTTTCTATGAGCTATCTTAGATAAAGCTTAGGTGGTTCCAAGGTCACCAAATGGCTCTTCCATGGTTTGAGGTCCATCTAAATCAGATGTAGCATCTCAGTTTGTTCAGTCGCTGAGAGAGAAAGGTTGTTATTTGTGAAAAATGCTTAGAGATTCTCAAAAACCAAAGACTGCCATGTTTGGAATGCACCTATGGATATTCCTTCTCTCAGTACTGTATAGGCCTCTAGATTTCTAGAAAAGGAGATTCAGTACAGTGAGAATACAGACCTTTCAATGGCCTTGATAAATTCGGCAGTTGTCCTCTGGTTTAATGCATGTTTTATGTAAAGGAAGAATTAGGTTAAGAAAGAGCCAGGCGAAAGATGGTTTATAAGAACCAGAAAGCCTTGCAATGAGAGCATCAATTTAACAATTACAAGCCAAAGTAAGAAATGTGAAATCTCCTTCACGTTGAGCCTACGTTTGGTGGACTTCATGACCACCTTCATGTACATTTTTTGGGGGAAAGTAAGGACATAAGAAACGGTACTATTAGGATCTTTTCTTTCTTTCTCAATCTGGTCTATCTCCCAGAATTTCCTTCCATGTATTTCCCCATCTAAGAGCAAATCGGGACCAGTTCTATTTAGTACTTTTTTAATTCAGCCAAGGTTGGCAAGGTGTTGCTACCTGTGCAGAAGGCAAATTAAGGTTCCCTTGATGTAAACTCTTGATAAATTCAAAGACAAATTTGATACTCTTTCTTGCCAAGAGTATGAAGGTGATTTGCCACTGTCTTCTTCTGGCAAGTTTTTTTTGGACTTCCCACCATAGCTTAGTGGTTTTCTGTCCAAATAAGGACCAGGTCAAGGATGCTTGGCTTCCCAACCTTCCCATCAAAGGGGCTGCCATCCATAGTTAAGGTCCAAAGAAAATATTCATTATAATTATTCCCTGTTTGTATCAACTTTCCTTGAAGAGTAGCTTATATTATCGTTTTCTCCTTTTTTAAAAAAAAAAAATGCACCATTTCTTCTAGATGCTTAGACTGTGAATAGGTTCCTCACTTTGCTTCTGGGCTAAATGAGGAAATGAATCTAGGTTGCTGAATTCAGTGTATTGACCTCTGCCCCATTCTGCCTTCGCAGAACCATGATTATTTTAATCCAGAGTGAAAGCAAATCAGGGTAGTGTGAACTGGTCCTTGCCTAGACTTTTAAAAAGGACAGCCGTTTAGAGGATAGGCAGCAGATCTGTAGTCCAGCATTTCAAGCCCCCCCTCCCCCAAAATAATCTTCCACCTTAACTTCTGAAGGAAGTTTTGGGAGGAATGGGGTCCATCTTCTGATGCCATTCCTTCCATTCTTTGCAGCTAAGTAGAAGCTCTTGAACAAGAAAGTTATATCTCTTCAAAAAGGAAAGAGTTTTTTTTCCGCCAAAATGTGTGTGTCAAAATTTGTATGGCTCTCATTATTATTATTTATTTATTTATTTATTCCACCTCCCCCCCCCCAGGGATGGGCAAAGAAGTGGGGAATCTCTTGATGGAGAATACACAGCTGCTAGAGACCAAGTAAGCATTCTCCCTTTTTCTAAATAAAAGTTTTGTGCTTCCTTGTGAGTCTAGCATGAGTTTGTAGTTGATGAGATGCTGCATGTGGCTGTTTTGTTCAGTTTGTCTTGTCCTTGGATTTTTTTCATTCTGCTGAGATTGTTGCCCAGTGGGATTTTGCAGTTTTTTTGACCCAACCTACCCAACTAATTGTCAAAGGGAGAGGTGAAGAGCATTTTTAGCCCATACCACAGCCTTTCCTGTGACCCCAGGTATTGGTGGACTTCAACACCCAGACCGATAGCCATGCTGGGGAGGATTGTAGTTGACAATTTAGTGACCTGATTAGGAAAGACTGGAGTCTCTTTGTTTTTGTTGCATTGATAATTTGGCCCAAAGGTAATCCGAGTAATTAAAATGCAAGATCCAGTTTAAACGCCTGATGCTTTATCTGTGACTATCCATGATATTCTGTTGGTCCTTATGTTACCGATAAATATTTTTCCAAAAGCGTTCCCTATGATGTTAGCTGTATTTTGAGGCCAAGTATATTTCTGTTTCTGTTACTTGCCATGCTCCAGAAATGCTCTGAATATTGTGAAGGATGATTTAATTGCAAAAGTGGACCAGCTTACAGGAGAACAGGAGGTGTTAAAAGAAGAGCTGGAAGCAGCAAAGCAGGCAAAATCCAAAATGGAAGCACGTATCAAGGAACTTGAGGAAGAACTTAAAAAGTGAGTAGCCAGCTGCTTTTGGATTCATTTCTCCAGTGCTTTTTTTGTTAAAAAAACGGTGCCGTAACTCACATGTCATACAACCCGTCTTGCCTACCCTACAAGGTTCCATCCAAAAAAGGTGCCGGAACTCCATTCTGGGCGTTCTGTGAGAAAAAAAGCCCTGCATTTCTCAGGTGGGATTATTTATCTAGAGGTGAAACAGAGGCAGCGGAGATAGTAAGCACTCCTAAGTGTAACCCTATAAACCTACACATGAACACCAACATTTAAAACTGTCTAGGTAGAACCCCTTAAGTTGTGGAGGAAAAAGACTTTATGAGTTCCTTAGTCCATTTTAAAGTCCTTTTGAAAGATTCACAACATTTTACTGTACAGCTTTTATCTGTGTCCTATTTAATGTTCCAACTTTTCGTAGTTTTATTTACAATGTCGTAAGCTGCCCAGAGTCGATTGACAGTAAAATGGGCAGCATATAAATTTAATTTTTAATTTTATCTTCCAGATCTGATTCTCCCTCCATACTATTATTGTGAATGCAATTAAGAAATAAAACTCCACTGAATTGGGACTGATTGATCACATTCGGGGGGGGGAATGACTCTTAAAATTCTTGGTTACTCTTTTATATTTTTATTTATCTATTCTTTATGCCCCCCGAACTGGTTTACATCTTCAAGCTCCTCCGTTTTTCATAATAAAGAACATCATTTTATTTATTTATTAAGAAAACATATATGTCCCCCCCCCCACTCACAGTGACTCTGAGTAGCTTACAGAAATAAAACCCCAAAACCCAATAAACCCTCAATCTTTTGGTACCAACAATCAAATCAACCACTTGATGGCTCCATATCAACCTGGGGTCCCTAGCCCACTGGCAAAATCATGTCTTCAGGGCCTTTTGAAAGAATATCAAAATGGACCAATCTTATCTCAAGATGATGCAAAGATTTGGGGGGAAAGAGCCCCCCCCGCAACCTATCTGATCGTTGGAAATTCAAGTTTGTTTCAGTTCCGCCTCTATGTAACGTCTGAACTTGTTTCATAAATTTCATTCTTCTCCCCCCCTCCAGAGTGAAATCGGAGGTGATAGTTGCCCGCCGAGAGCCCAAAGAAGAGGTGGAGGATGTAAGCAGCTATCTCTGTACAGAATTGGTATATTACATTATTAAAATGCCTAGGGAAAGAGGGCTATGGGGAGGGAGGGTCTTTCTTTCCCATTTCCTTGGATAATGGCCCTGAATGAATGAATGAACGAACGAACACTGAGCATTTACATCAGAGCATTACCATGTCCACGGTCCCTGCGGTGGGGTGTATTCTCATGATCATGGGAATGGGTACCTTGTCATCCAGTCATTCCTGAGTGACATTCGCCTTATAGGTTGAGTGTATTGAAAACATCAGGAAGACTCATGTTAGAAAAACTGAATAGTAGTTACAGGAGGGCACTTTAAGAGTTCATCCCTCCTCCTCCTCCTCTTTCCTTTTTCTGATCTCATACTGTCTCATGCACAAGAGTCCGTGGCTTTAAAAAAACACACAACCACACTTAACTAATAGTCATTGACTACATGCTTCATCTTTTTGGGCCCTTTGAATTGCAAGGTAAAATAATGTAATCATCCAACTCACAAGCAACCAATGAATGTTCTCAGGAGAGCAGGCTGATTTTAATTTTGTGTACTAACTGCATGTTTCTTCAATCTTCTTTCTCATGTGGTTCCTTTTTGCACACCTGTATGCTGTTTTCTTTTTCTGATGCAAATCTCTCCCCAGTGATTCACGGTGTTATGGAATAGGCAGATATTATTATTACATTATTAAAATAATGTAAATAAAGAGGAGCTATGGGAAAGGAAGGTCATTTTCTTCAATAATGGCCCTGAAATTATGGCAAAACCATTGCATGTTTTATATTGGAGCATTGCTAAAATAGCAAGCCCTTATAAAACAGTCGTGCTACTCCCATCCCAATCCTGGAACTAAAATATCAGTGAAATTATTTCTGGAGAAATTAATAGTTGAATATAATGCATGGATAAGAATCATAAGTTACAGGAGGGAATAAAGTGGAATTTAGGCTCAGCTAAGCAATAATTGAATAGAAATTCAATCTACTGCTTTAAACAATTTTCCCTTCAGCAGTTCATCACATTTCCCCCAAAGCATCTCTCCTCCGTGTTAAAGCTGTTCAGTGGGTAGATTTAACTTAATTTAATTTCAACCTACTAACTCTTATTAACCTCTGAAGACAAAAAATCAAACCTGGGTGTTAATATTAGCTTGCAGAAAATCTGTAGGTTGGTGCAAAATGTTCCATTCCAGGGACTTCGAAAACATTCTGTTTCTTAAGATGTTTCTGAGCTGACCAGGAATTACGTTGAGAAAAATTGCTTCCAGGAAACTGCTGGACCACTTTGAGCAATCTGATTGGTGTGGTCTAGAGGAGGAAACAGAATCTGCCAAAGTCTCCTGAAACAATTTTACCTCCAAAATAAGATATTTCTGCCCATCCTTACAGTTAAGTTAACCTTTCGGTGCTTCCCCAGACAGAACGCTAGCCTTCGCTGAATGGGTTTGGAAGTAGGTTTTTCAGAAGCTCCAAATAAAAATCCATTGTTGGGAGTGGGTGGGATGAACAGAAGACCCAAAGGGAACTAATGTTTTTAACCTCCTCCTTTGGTGTTGTACTAATCTCCGTCCCCTTTCATTTCCCATGGGTTGAAGTCCTCCTCCTCCCCCCTGCAGGACAACATCCCTATTGCTCAGAGACGACGCTTCACCCGGGTGGAGATGGCTCGCGTCCTGATGGAGCGCAACCAGTACAAAGAAAGGTTGATGGAACTGCAGGAGGCTGTCAGGTGGACGGAGATGATCAGGTGAGGATGACCTCTCTGGTTTCAGCATTAGAGGTGGGGCTTCCCCCCCCCGTTACTGTTAATAACCTCATTACTATTGGTGGCTGCGCCAGACAGATTGCATTGACCTAAATCAGCCTAAATCAGTGATAGCGAACCTTTTAGAGACCGAGTGCCCCAAAACCGCCCCTGCTCCACCGCCCGACCCACTCCCGGCCACGCCACGCCCCTCAGGGCCACTTACCACCTCCATGGCCCGCTGCAGCAAATCACCCAGGCGGCCGAGCAGTGCCATGGTGGCCACGCCCTCCGGCTGCACCCCGCAGCATCGTGCGCAATGGGGCATGAGGGTGGAGTCTTGTCCCTGCTGCCCGGCTGCCATGTCCTTGGCTGCGCTGCTCCATGCGGGCATGACTCTCCTCCGGGGGGGCTGCTGGTGAGAAGGGGGCCGTGGGGGGAGGTGTGGCTGGGGCGACGGCACGTATGCCCACAGAGAGGGCTCTGAGTGCCGCTTCTGGCACCACTGGCCAAATTATAGGTAGTTCTTGACTTACAACCATATCTGGGTCCAGAGGTTCCATGGCAAGGCAAGGTGATTGTTAACCGAGTCACCTCTGATTTTTATGACTTCTTTTGCTATGGTTATTTGACAGCTGAAAATGCGAGGATTTATTTATTTATTTATGAGACTTATATACCGCTTTAAGTGCAGGCACTCTCTAAGCGATGTACACCAGTAAGCAATGTGTGTGTATATGTATATGTATATGTATATGTATATGTATATGTATGTATGTATGTATGTATGTATGTATGTATATATATATATATATATATATATATATATATATATATATATATATATATATATATATTATACATTGCCCCCAACAATCTGGGTCCTCATTTTACCTACCCCGGAAGGATGGAAGGCTGAGACAACCTTGAGCCGGTGAGATTTGAACCGCTGACCTGCTGAACACAGTCAGCTAAAGTGGCCTGCAGTACTGCACTCTAACTGCTGCGCCACAAGTGATTATGTCACTTTTTTTTACTGCCGTTGTTACTTTGAGCGGTCACCAAATGAATAGCTGTAAGTTGAGGACTACCTGTATTTCTCCCTTCCTCACCCATTTTTTATTATTATTATTTTCACGGTTCTTCCTCCCCCCCCCCACCCCAATCACCAAGTCTGTCAGGAATCTCTCCTTATTGCTGGAAGTCTCAACTGATTATGCACAGATGTATTTTGAATTTATGCTGAGGTTCAAAGGGGGTCCCCACCTTGGAGGTTAGCCATCTCTTTCAGCACCTTGGACAGAGCCCAGCAGAACTAAATGTCTAATAACTTCAGTGGCCATATTTAAAAAAAAAACAGTAAGAATTTAGATCTGGAGAGTTCAGGGTAATGTTTGCTAAAGAGGAAAAGTGAGCGAGTACTGAATGCTGCCCAATGACCCTAAAAATTGTTCACATTTTCACAAAATTAAGATGAACAGCTAAATTACTAGATGCCTCCAGGAATGTTGGACTTCTTTTGCTCCCTGGCTTTTTTTTAGTTCTGGCATTTGAAATAGACTATCAGTAGCTCCACACAACCATTAATAGCATTTATCAGGGGATATAGACTTCTTAGATCAGCAGTTCTCAACCTGTGGGTTGGGACCCCATTTGGGGTCGAATGACCATTTCACGGGGGTAGGCAAACAATGCAGTCCGCCATTTTTCCCCCCTTTTCCTTAGCTGTGCTACTCCCTTTTATTCTACTGGCTTTTGAAAGCCAGTAGAAGAGACTCTCTTGAATAGAGTCTAATTCTATTGGCTTTCAAAAGCCAATAGGAATTGTCCAGGCTGTCTCTGCCCTGCTGAGCCCGCCAAAAGTCCCATTCTGCAAACGGTGCTGCACCAGTTGAGTAGTCCTCGACTTACAACTGGTTGAGTAGTCCTTGACTTATGACTGGTTGGGGGTCGCGGCATTAAAAAGGTTGAGAACCACTGTCTTAGATGGTCAAGCTGTCCCAAGCTGGTGATTATGACCGGTGAGCTGGTAGCCATAGAAAAACTTTCATCAGTAATGTGAAACACAACATACAGATGATATAATTTAGCCCAAACTGGGCTCTTTCCCCAATTTTCTCCTTTTGATCCTCTACTTCAGTGTTTCTCAACCTTAACAATTTTGAGATGGGTGGCTTTCAACTCTCAGAATACCCCAGCCTGCAGTGCTCTACTTGGAGAGATGTTTTACATCTCCACATCTAGTGAGGCCACCTACTTCTTTCAGGCAAGGCATTTAAAGGAAGAAATAGCCGTGGCAAGGGTCATTGTGAACAGAAAATCAGCTGAATTTGTGACCCTATCCAGGGAGGGAGGGGTAGACAACTCGTGTTTTTGCCACACCCTGTTTCTGAATTTTCTGTTCTGTTTGTCTGCAGAGCCTCCCGGGAACATCCTTCCGTTCAAGAGAAGAAAAAATCCACCATTTGGCAGTTGTAAGTAGGGGAACTTACTTGTGAGATGTCAGCAAAGAGATTTGGGCAGATAGGATATTCTTGCAGTACAATATAGTATTGGAGGCATTTGGCATTTATGTCCTCTAAAGACAGCCTTTTTTTTTTTTGCAAATGGCACCCTGAATAGCACTGGGGAGAATCCTCCAGTTAAGGAGGATTCAAATAACTTTTATGTAGAAATATAATAAAGACTGATCAGAAACGATGTCAGACGCCAATCATCTTATCTTTTTGATAACATGGGTTAGGCTTTCTGCTTATTGTGAGAATACCCCATTAATCAACCAAAGGTCAGTACAGTTCTGTTTTTGTGGCTGGTTGCTTCTTAGTCTGCATTTAAAATACAAGTGCTAACTTAAGACAGTGTCTTCAAATGCCTAAGCAAGCAAGTAGGGAAGTCTATTTGAGGAGCCTCAGAAAAAACCCTACGCTGCCTCAGGTCTGTTTTGAGCAGGGAAAGTGTCAGATTTGGAATTCAAAACACCTTGCCTTCATCCCCTCTCCCTCCTCCCCAGCTTCAGCCGATTGTTCAGTTCCTCCTCCAGCCCTCCGCCAGCTAAAAGAAGCTACCCATCCGTGAATATTCACTATAAGTCTCCCACAGCAGCCGGGTTAAGCCAGCGCCGCAGCCACACCCTGTGTCAAATCTCTGCCGGGAACCGAACTCTTGAGTTTTTCCCAGATGAGTAAGTTTGGCTCTGATATTTTTACTGGAAACCAGAAGTACGTACATTTGTCGAACAGCTGAGTTAATCTATGGTAGCCAAAAAAATGGTTGAATGGTTGGAACGCTGGGCAGGAGGTTAGAAAGCCCGCATTTGAGACCTGAGCCCTAGGGCGGGATTGAGCTCTTGTCGTTCACTCCAGCCCCTGTTGGAGACATAACAGGAGCCCCCAACTGGGTACCCCTTCCTTGTCCTCTTGGTCTGTCCTTATCTTCCTCCCGATCCTTCTCTCCTCAGTGATTGCACATCTTCGGCACGTCGTGAGCAGAAGCGAGAGCAATACCGCCAGGTCCGTGAGCATGTCCGGAACGATGATGGCCGCTTACAGGCCTGTGGGTGGAGCCTGCCAGCCAAATACAAACAGGTAACATTTCTGTGCTGAGAAGGAGACAATTAGGGAGATACGTTAGGAAAGCAAGGAAGAGCGTTGTTCCCTTTCCACATTGATTCCTTCGTTGAGTTCCCAGTCCTTTATCATCAATACATTGCAAAGGATTGTAACGATTCTGCAATTAGCAGGCAGATTTATGTTTTAGGTTGCCATTTTAAGCACAAGCTAAGCATGGAAATTAAAAGATGCTTGCTCCTGGGGAGGAAAGCTATGGCAAATTTAGACAGCGTACTAAAAAGCAGAGACATCACCCTGCCAACAAAAGTGTGTATAGTCAAGGCCATGGTTTTCCCAGTTGCAATGTATGGCTGTGAAAGTTAGACTATAAGAAAGGCTGAGCGCCAAAGAATGGAGGCCGTTGAACTCTGGTGCTGGAGAAGACTCCTGCGAGTCCCCTGGACTGCAAGGCGATCAAACCGGTCAGTCCTAGAGGAGATCAACCCTGACTGCTCTTTAGAAAGCCAGATCCTGAAGTTGAAACTCAAGTACTTTGGCCACCTAGTGAGAAGGAAGGACTCACTGGAGAAGAGCCTGATGCTGGGAAAGATGGAGGGCAAGAGAAGAAGGGGACGACAGAGAATGAGGGGGCTGGATGAGTCCCTGAAGCAGGAGGCGTGAGCTTCAATGGACTCCAGAAGATGGTAGAGGACAGGAAGGCCTGGAGGAACGTTGTCCATGGGGTCGCGATAGGTCGGACACGACTTCGCAACTAACAACAACAAAGCATGGAAAATGTGGATATAATTGTTCTGATGGAAATTCCGGTTGGAATTTTGAGGAAAAAGGAAAGCTTGTGCTTTCCTTACTGATACCTTGAAGAAGAAAAAATTTTTCTTTCGCTGGGATAAACTGGAAGGAGTGATATTTACATATCAAGAACACGAAGATTTAGACTGAATTCTATAGAAAAAGCCAAGGACTTCCTGAGTAGAAAAATGGTCATCTTGAAATAGATTGATTCAGGTTGATCTTATAAGTGTGGGTGTTTGGGTGATTTTAGGCTCTAAAAGCCAAAAAATGGTGTTAAAAGACAGTAAAAGTGAAGAGCATGCTTTTCTGCCCCAAAACAGCAACACTTTGGACTTCGATAAAAATCTAACGTTTTGTTCCTTATTTCCTTATTTTAAGCAATATACAGTGCATATTTACCAATGGTTGCTCAGGACCCCCCTTCCTTCAGAGGAGCTAATAGAAAGCATATTTAAAATAGCAACTTCACTTCTTTGGTCAATGTTCTCCAATTTATCCCTCTATTAGTAAGGTGGGAGTACAATTCATATGGTTAAGCTTGTCACCTGAAGATGACAAGAATCAACATTTCCCAAAACCTCCCGCAACTTTCTTGCTGTAGAAACACACAGCTTTATGACATGAATGAACTGTGCTGTCTCTTCATCCTCAACAGTTGAGTCCCAACGGTGGCCAAGAAGATAATCGGATGAAAAATGTCCCTGTCCCTGTTTATTGTCGCCCCTTAGTGGAGAAGGACCCTACCATGAAGGTAATGTCAACCCTAAGCAAATTTTTCCCTTTCTTACATGGGAAGAGTTCCACCCTGCAGGTCAAGTGTGATTGCTGAATCACACTTATAGAAGACAGTTCACATCTCTTTAAGCGTTTCATTGTGACACTGTTCCTATCATTGTTGTGAACCACAACCTATGGGCAATGCAGAAATAAAGCCTGCATTTGATCTTCCATGTTTTCTCCTTTCCGTTTATAGTTATGGTGTGCAGCTGGTGTAAATTTGACAGGCTGGAAGCCCGGGTTGGAACCGGATGTTGCAAATGGTCAAAAGCCTGAACTGGGATGTGACCCACTGACATGTGATCGAGAGGTAGAAGGAGAGAATATGAAGAGTAATCACACTTCTCCAGAAAAGAAAAAGGTTGGGCATATAGTTGGCTCTGCTCATTATGTGTAGGCATTTTTTCGTTCAGGGCTGGATAATAATATAAAAAACCATTAAAATTTTTCTGGGCAGTATAATTAGCATAATAATCAGTATAATCAATAGAAGACAATGTCTTCCTTCTATTTGGAAACCGCTTCTGGACTTTGTGCTTGAGGTGGAAAAAAATGATGTCATGATTTTGGGTTTTACCGATTAGACCAGTGGTTCTCAACCTTTTTAATGCCGCGACCCCCAACCGGTCGTAAGTCGAGGACTACTCAACTGGTGCAGCACCGTTTGCAGAATGGGACTTTTGGCGGGCTCAGCAGGGCAGAGACAGCCTGGACAATTCCTATTGGCTTTTGAAAGCCAATAGAATTAGACTCTATTCAAGAGAGTCTATTCTATTGGCTTTCAAAAGCCAATAGAATAAAAGGGAGTAGCACAGCTAAAGAAAGGGGGGGGGGAAATGGCGGACAGCCTTGTTTGGTGACCCCCGTGAAATGGTCGTTCGACCCCAAATGGGGTCCCAACCCACAGGTTGAGAACCACTGGATTAGACTGATTTGCCGATGCAGAAATGGCTCAGGAATTATGGGAGTTGAAGTCCATGAGTCATCAAAGAGCCAAGGTTGCCTACCCCTGGGCTAGTGCATACTACTATAGAAATGTAAAAAGTTGAGATTTGATTTTAATGTCTGATTTTACTGCAACAGAGAGTCGGAAGTCAATGCCTTTTGTTTCTCCCCCCTCTTTCTTCACACCCTTTTTGTTTCCCTTTTTTCTACTGTTGTCCCCTACCTACTATTTGCTTTTGTATTTTCATATTTGATGTTATAAATGAATAAAACTTAATTAAAAAAAGACAGTATCTTCCTGAAAGATAAAGTCACACTGCACTTCAAGGCATAGCAGTGTTATTCACTTAATTTCTACACATAATGAATATTGAAGCTTCAGCATTCCTAAACATTTAGTTCAATAAAATTAGTGGCAGCTGAATTTCGTTGCTGAAACAATTACTCTTGTTCAGGATTTGAAGAATCTGACTGAAATTCCAAGCCTGCAGATTAGTGGGACAATCCACAGACGAGTGAGAAATACTGTACAGGGAGTAGACAGACCTCCCCAGATGTATTTATGATTTGGCTTGGCAACCAGCTTCATTTACAGCCATTTGCAACGTCTCACAGTCACGTGACTGTGTTGTATGATGTTTTTGCTGAAAACAATTGGTTTGCTTACCAGCATTTCCTTTGGGATTGCAGCGTTTGCTTAATGATTCCCGTAAAACAGGCCATAACGTCATAAAATTGGCCGGTGTGAATGACCCCGTTTTATGACCGTCATGACTTATGACCGGACAGACTCCATTACGGGTCGTAAGTTGAGAACTATCTGCACATTCTTGAACTGACATTCAATGGAATATCTTTTAGCAAGCTGATATTGCTTAGCTGTACTGCAGGAACTGTCCCACTCTAGATGGGTTCATTCATAAAGCAGAACCACAGTCAGCACAGGGAACATATCCAGTGATAACAAATGTGAGATGTTACTCTGGTAACATCCTGGAGCCAACTGAGAACTTAGGTTAACTGATACTGGGGTTCATTTCAGCAACATTTGGAGGCTCCCATGTCCCCTATTTCTAACTTATACGACAAAGTGCAGGAGCTGTAAGTTGGCCTTGGATGGAAGTCTGTCCAAAATCATGCCACAATATGATAGTCCAACGAGAGTTTCAGCCTGGAAGGTTGTTCTGATGCAACATGCAACTTCCCACTCTTTGCCCTCCCCCTGGCTATGTGCCTATTACCTTTTTGCTTTCTCACAGACCAAAGAATTGCACGAGATGGATGCCACCTCCAGTAGAGTATGGATCCTCACCAGCACCTTATCTACTAGCAAAGTGGTTATCATCGATGCCAACCAACCAGGAACGGTGGTGGATCATTTCACAGTTTGCAACGCCCACGTGCTTTGCATCTCCAGCATTCCAGGCAAGCGAAGACAGATCTTGGACTTTAAAAAAACAATTATTATTATTTACCACCTACCAGGCGACTCTGGGCAGCTTACAAAGGCTTGTCATTCCCTATCCTGGATAATGCTACGTTGGTCCATCAATGTTCAGTTGTTGCTTTCAAAGCTTGTAATTCATGAGGAATAGATTTAGAATAATATAGCAGTCTAGAATCAAAGATACTTTACAACATTCATAAAAAACAGTCGCCTTTTTCCATAAAACACAATACAGACCTTTATGGGCAAGCTTGAATGTTAATACGGAAGCTGGGACTTTATCTCCTGTATCTGTTAGTTTTTTGGGGGAGAAAAAAAGTCCTAGTCCTTATGATCTTCAGAAGCTTCCCAAGGGAAACTTGTTGTATTGTTAAGTCATATTTAAAGGGAAACTAGCTTTGGTAGCTAACATCCAAGCCTAAATTTGATTTGGTTAGACATAGTGGGATGGGATGATTTTTTAAACCCTGAATGTGAAGTAACTTTCATTCTCACTTGTTTCCAAATATAAATCCTAATCTTTTGGAAATTGAATGGATATTTTGCCTGGAAAAGTGGTGAATGGCAGGGTGAAGTTCACGGTATTTTCCAAACCTTAAAATACCATTGAGATTGCTTTACATGGATGTGACATGCTCACCTTGCCTGCAGGCTGGGGAATTCTGGGAGTTGAAATCCACTTATCTTCCAATGGCCAAAGTTACTTAAGATATCAATGAGGTTGCTTTAATACAGTGTAGCTTAAGATACCAATGATGCTGCTTTACGTAGATGTGGCCCGCTGATCTTGAAGCCTTCTGTTTCTCATCTTTGCAGCGGCCTGCGATTCCGACTATCCTCCTGGAGAAATCTTTCTGGAAAGGGACTTGAATCCTGAGGAATCTTCAGGAACGGATGGAGTCTTAGCAGGCATCACTTTAGTTGGCTGTGCAACTCGTTGCAATGTTCCTAGTAGCAATTGCTCCTCCCGTGGAGACACCCCCGTGTTGGATAAAGGACAAAGTATGTTTCCACTTGCTTTAAAGGACAGTTCCCCTCCCCCCAGCTTGCTTTTACTTAATTAAGCCTGTTTGCGGTTCGTTTACTAGATGAACAACCTTAAATTTAATTGTACAGGATTAAAATAGATTGACCAAATGGCTCAGTATATAATAAAATCTTGCTGTCCAGAACTAGCATATGATTATAATTATGAATGTGTCCTGCTTATCAAGAGGAAAAAGAAAACAGAAAACTACACACATTTAAGCTAATCACCACTGAATCTGGATCTGATCAGGATAATCTTAGTGAAGGAAAAAAGGCCATTGACGATACATTTTGGGTTGCAGTAGATTGTCCTTTTCAATGATCAGTATTCTGATAGAGATGATTTTTTTCTTTCTAATTAGCAAGTGCAATTCACTTATGACTCTACTTTTCTTTGTTGAAGCCCCCAATAAGTGACAATTAAAATTGTCTTCCATTTTCCTTCAAGTTACCAAATTATTTTAATAATAATGCAAAATCGCCACCTGTCAATTGCAAAAGCCATACTGTTTGGGTGCATTACATACTACACGGATACATTACAGCATCCTCTTGGGAAGAATTTGATGCGTATGAAGGCCAACACTAGCTAAAGAACTGGAAGCTGTCACTTCACAGTGTTGTGAACAGATAATAACATCTGTCTATCCAATTGGATAGTTGGATAAACATGCCAAACCCAGTCTAAACACCTGGATGACTATGTGACCAACCACATATTTTTAAATTTATATCCTGCCGGATTCCCAGCAGCTCTGGATGATTTTGTCTTTTAAAACTCATGATGTATTTTTGAGGGATGGGGCCTGTCTTCTCCGTTGGTAGCTGGACGGATATCTGTTAAAGGTAACCATTCTTTTTGTTCGTCTTTTTCTTCATCTTTAATGTCAGATTTTTATTTTTATTTTTTGCCTTTAGATGAAGTGGCTGCAACAAGCAATGCTAGGATTGATCAGTCCCAGTCCACTGAGGAGGCCACCGAAGCCACGGAGGTGCCAGAGAACGGCGGGAGTGAAACGGAGCTAGCCCAGGTCCGGACTGGCCCCCTTACAGAACATGTGTTTACCGATCCAGTTCCAGCTCAGGCACCTACAAGGCAGAACAGGTATAAAGGAGACGTTGCGTGTTCTTGTCCTGGAAAGTTCCAGCAACGAATTAGAATAAATGGAAAAGAGACAGTCAGTTACAGAATAGAGAACGCCATGTGAAAGAAGATCAAAGCTTGGCCAAATAAAAGTAGTTCCCAGCTTACATCCATTTGTTTACTGATTGTTCAAAGTTACAGTGGCATTGAACAAAATGATCTATGACCAACCCTCATACTTATAGTTGCAGCATCGCCAATTTTATGATTAAAATTCGGGCACTTGGTAACTAGCATGTATTTATGACAGCTGAAGCATCCCAGGGTCACTTGATCATCATTCGTGACTGTTGGCAGCCGGTTTCCTACAAGCAAAATCATTTGATTAAGCAAACTGCTTGATTCGCTTAAAAACTGCAATGATTCATTTAACAACCGTGGCGAAAAGGCCATAAAACCGGGCCTTGCTTAGCAACAGAAATTCTGGCCAAACTGTAGTCACAAGTCAAGGACTACCTGTATAAAGCCTTTTCTTTTCTGCACCAGCAGACACTTAAAAGGGGTATTTTTCTGCCCACAGTGAGAATGGACATCCAAAAATGGAGTCAAGCACAGTAGTGCAGGATCAAGAGGCAAATGGCAATACAGTGGGTGCTACCACCAGTGCTGCCCCCACCATGTGGCTTGGAGCACAGAATGGGTGGTAAGAATCTCAACCTTTGTTTGTGCAGCACACCTATTACTAACTCCGTCAGATCTCAGTTGGAGAACCAGTTTGGTCCAGTGCTTAAGGCACCAGGCTAGAAAGAAAGAGACCATGCGTTCAATGAAAGCCAGCTGGGTGACTCTGGGCCAATCACCGGGAGATGGGGAGTTCTAGTCCTGCCTTAGCCATGGAAGCTAACTGGGTGGGCCAATCACCAAGAGATGGTGAGTTCTAGTCCTGCCTTAGCCATGAAAGCCAGCTGGGTGATCTTAGGCCAGTCACTCTCTCTCAGCCCAACCCACCTCATGAGGTTATTGTTGTGGAGGAGGAAGGACTATTAGATATTTATTATTATTTATAAATAATAACAAAGACAGGATATAAATAGATAAGTCTCTCTCATAGGTGGTTCTGGTAGAACACTGTCACACAAATGATGTCACGAGGCTTGAGTGTCATAGGAAATGAGACTTTGGGTGGAGTGTTCTCTGTTACACTACATTTGAGGAAAGTCCTTCACAAACTGGACCTTCATCCAGAAAAGATCTATAGCGTTGTTTTTCAAACTCGGCAACTTTAAGATACATAGACTTCAATTCATACTGGATGGGGAATTCTGGGAGTTGAAATCCAGCCATCTTAAAGTTGCTGAATTTGAACAACATTGGTTATAATTAGGTAAAAATGTATTGTAAACTCTCCTTCAAATGGACTCAGTTTTTGACCATTTCACAAATGGTCAAAATTTTCTTGGCAACTTACCATTGGCTTATTTTAAGGGGTGTTTTTTTTTTCAGTGTCACATCTGGCTTATAGTAGAGAGTTTTGTTGATGATCTCCCATCCAAGTACCAACCAGAACTGGTTCTATTTAGCTTCTGAACCCAAAGAAGATTTACCAGATGCTTCTACTTGACTGCCAGCCTAAACCTATCCAATATTCCCTCTTGCCAGGTTGTATGTGCACTCAGCAGTGTCCAACTGGAAGAAGTGCCTACATTCTATCAAGTTGAAGGATTCAGTATTAAGTTTGGTGTAAGTAGACAAGATGAATTTGGGGGTCTTCTGGATAAATACGTATGGCATTACATATGACATTTCTTGTTAAAATAAAATGAAAAGAATCAGAACTTGAAAAGTCTATGACCGCCCATGACTTTGAAGAACTTGAGGTGGTAGAAGGTAGTGGACCAGATCAGACCTGATAGAAGAAATATAAAGAGGAAACCAGAATTCTGTACTATATTATAATATCTTTCACATCTCCAGTTAACAGGATAAAATAGCAGGATTAGAAAGTGACCATCAGTCAGAGCGGACAATGTTAGAATATATTTTGGCTAGATAATCTAAAATGATCTGGTAAAAGATAGCATCTTCAGAATGCAGGTCCATATTTGCATTAAAACTCTCTCTCTCCCTTTCCCTCTCTCCCTCTCTCATCTGTATCAAATTTATACACTGCCTAGCTCACCTGACTGATTCTGGGTGGTTTATTATATATATCACCTCCGGTCTCAAAAAAGCTAAATTAAATCCTACATTATTGATACTTGAAACTTTGCTGTTATTTTTCGCTAAATCCATAACTTGTTTCTATGATTGTCATAGAATTCTCAGATGCACATCATTCTGTTCTCTCTCAAAGATATCGCCTGGAACCTCCATGTAACCTCCCAATTTATGTTCCCCTTCCTATGTCCATTTAGGCATGTAAAAGGGCGTGTTCTTGTGGCTCTGGCAGACGGGACCCTTGCCATATTCCACCGGGGAGAAGGTAAGAGTCAGTTGCTATAAATGATACCCAGTTGCTGAAAATGACTGGAAACAGTAATTAATTAGGATTAATTACTTCTGGGGATATACTTGTAAAAATTACCTTGTCTCATGGCCACTTAACTCTGCAATTGTCAGAATCTGGCAGACAGGAAACATTGTGGTATGTTCCATAGAATTTTGGGATACGTATGCTCATATTTAGAGCTTCAGTTATTAACCTTGGCCTAGATTGGATTATGCTTCCAGAGTTCAGAGCGTGGAATAGTGGCCTTAAGTTACAAGAAAACAGATTCCAATTCAGTTGTATTAAAAAATGTCATACTATATGAGTGATTCGATTGTAGAACCAATTACTTCCTTTGCTGGACCAGGAGCTGGAGAAGCATGTGTTAGAGATGCTTTAATGAAGACTCCTAAAGCCAAGGTTGGATCCAGTCACCCGAATGGACCCTTTCGATTCAGTGGTTGTGTAATTCTTAACAAAGACGTGCTTGATTTCTCAAGAGGATGCCAGTATCAAAACAGCTCTTCCTCTTTTCTCCCCTTCCAACCTCTTTCCATTTTCCTCCAGATGGTCAATGGGATCTCAGCAACTACCATCTCATGGATCTAGGCCACACCCATCACTCCATTCGCTGCATGGCTGTGGTATACGACAGAGTGTGGTGTGGCTATAAGAACAAAATTCATGTCATCCAGCCAAAGACGATGCAGATTGAGGTACCAGGCGTATCTGATCAGGATTACTTTTAAGCAAGACAGCTGAGATGATTACTAGAAAAGCTATAATTTTAGAATATTGTTGCTGATACTTGAGGTTGTGATGTGCTGGTGGACATACAGGAAACCTAAGAAAGTTAGGTTTGTAACTCTCATGAAATCTTCCTTCCTTCATGGTTTTCCAGAAGTCCTTTGATGCACATCCTCGCCGGGAGAGCCAGATCCGGCAGCTGGCCTGGATTGGAGATGGGGTTTGGGTTTCCATCCGTCTGGACTCCACCCTACGGCTCTATCATGCCCACACTCATCAACATCTTCAGGATGTGGATATTGAGCCTTATGTCAGCAAAATGTTAGGTAAATTGAAATGGCATTGGAAACATCCATCCTTTGGAATCCTTTTAATTCTTTTTCCTTGCTGCTCCGTGTACTTAGCACTGCCTCCCACAACATTGTTCTTCTATGGTCCTTGAAGTCCCTGAGGAGCTTGGGTTAAACAGCTGTTAGGCCCAAGTAACCAGGAACAAGAGTTGAGTTCAAAGCAGTAAAAGTTTATTCCATGCTACTTATATGCAAGAATCTGACCCACTAATGGTCAAGGCAAATTGGCGATAAATCAAAGTCAATGGAATTCACATTGCAGGGCCTGGGTCTCTGGTGGCTATGTAAGGATTCCAAACTAATGATGTGTTTGACCCCGCCGTCCAGCTCCATCTGATGATTTCCTACAGGAGCTGGCTGATTTGCAACAGTTTGTTGGTAGATCTTTCTGGAACTTTGGGGGTTTGCTTGCACAATACCAACCAATGTTCATGTCGCTCTTCTGTTCAGGGACTGGAAAACTAGGTTTCTCCTTTGTGCGGATCACAGCTTTACTCATCGCTGGCAATCGCCTGTGGGTCGGCACGGGCAATGGAGTGGTCATTTCTATCCCTTTGACCGAGAGTAAGTGCCCGACGCTTTCATGATTTCACTTTTTTCCTCTGTTGTATAAAGAAACGCAGGATCTTCTCTAATGCATTTAATTCTCTCTCTGTGGGAAAAAAAAATAAATGACTTACCGTAAAATGATACGCGATTCTGCCAAGATTCCCTTTTAGCTGTTCTCCCAATAACCACTTTTTTCTTCTTTTCTGTTCTTTCTCTCTCTCCTCGCTTTCTCCTCTGCCTTAGCTGTAGTCCTTCACCGAGGTCAACTTCTTGGGCTCAGGGGTAAGTGCTAAACCAACAAGGGATTTCTAGGTTCAGATGTTAAAGCTTTCCATTCATTTTTCTATTGGTTGATTCGTCTGCTCGCGTGTCTTCTTTGGACCATTTATTCATCCCCCCCTTCTTTCACTCAAAAATTGCAGGGAAATGGAACAGCAGAAGTAGTGGGGTGAATCAGGTCAGTGGGTGACATGGATGGGAATGATTATAACCCACACTGCCTGAAAGTGTGAGATTAGGAGATTGTCCATAATATTTGGTAATTTCCCTTTCATTGTCTTTGAGCAATTGTTACAGGCAGTCCTCACTTAATGGCCTGTTGCCGGGTTGATAGGCTGCCCCCCAAAGGGACTTATGACCACCTGATTTCGAAGTGCAGATGGCTGCACGCACATATCCTCATGGTCGTTGAGCCAATCCAACTGTCCTTGTGGGAAACCAGGAAGGTCACAAATGGGGATCACATGACCCTGGAATGCTGCAAATGTTCTAAAAAAAAAAAAAAAGCCAGTTGCTAAACACCCAAATTTTGATCATGTGATTACGGGGATGCTGCGACAGTCCTAAGTGCAAAGACTGATCATAAGTCCCTTTTTTAAAATGCTGTTGTAATTTTGGTCACTAAATGAATGGTTGTATGTTGAGGACTGTCTGTATTGCTTGTCCTTGAGTCAGTTGGGTTTGCTCACAGAGCTCAACCTAGAAAAGAATGCCGTTGTCCTGAAGCATCCGCTTCTAAATAAGCCACATCTCTTTGAGGGTTAATGCCAGCCTTTCTCCTGGCATTAAACCAGGAGTGTCCAGCTTTGGAAACTTTAGAGCTTGTGGATGTCAAGTCCCAGAACTCCCCAGCCAGCCATGCTGGAATACTGGGAGCTGAAGTCCACAAATCTTAAAAGTTGCCAAAATTAGACCCCTCTCCATTAACCTCTTTGGAGCTTCCTAGAAAGAGACAATGGGCAAAACTACATTTCCCAGATGCCCCGTGAAATGAAGCTATGAATCAATCAGTTTTACGCCTGCAATGGGGAGATAACCATCCATCTTCTTCCATCTCATTTGTTGACTTCTGTTTCTCTTCCTTTGGTCTCAGCTAACAAGACCTCGCCAACATCTGGAGAAGGGAACCGCCCTGGAGGTGTCATCCATGTCTACGGCGGAGATGACAGCAATGACAAGTCCACCAGTAGCTTCATCCCCTATTGTTCTATGGCACAAGCCCAGCTCTGTTTCCATGGACACCGTGATGCAGTCAAGTTCTTTGTCTCTGTACCTGGTCAGTAGAATAGCTCTCGGTCTTTATATGGACAACTGCAACACCAACTTTCCCCAAGCAATTTGTGTTCCATGTATGCAGGTCCCAAAATAAGAGTAGCTTTCTGGAAAGACCTTACTGTATGCACAGTCTGAAAGATTTTTACACTGATACATAGAACCCTGGTAATCTGTGAACTGGATATATTTTTAAGTGTCCTGCAAAAAAGGGAACAGGTACTACATTTGACCTTAGCCAAAACACTGAAAAACAAATAGTTTTTATTTATATTTTATACTTATTAATGTTTTAGATGTATCATCTGGGTAACAACTGAGTATTGACATAGTAACAGAGAAGGGAATGTTATAATGTGTGATTTATCTTGCTAGCTATTAGTATATTATGTTTATTCGCCCGCCCTCTTTTTGTTTGTTTTGGCCTTCTAAATTTTTCTGACCATTGACTGAATAAATATTGATGGATTGATTGCAAAAAAAAAGGAACAAAACAAGTGATAATGCTGTATTTACTTCTACTATATGTTTGAATCACTGCATCTGTGACCCTGTGGTCTTTTTAATCAGAGTCATAATGTTCATATTATGGTGTTAGTCTTGCAGTTGCACGTCAGAGAACAGCGGGGAAGAGACAGGCTTGTGATTAGACGGCAAGATAGGGATCTCCACAAAACTGCTACACTGTGTAGAAGCATTTCAGATGAATAAGGAAGAACTGGCAGGGAAGAACAAATAATTATTTGCACAGTTGCATTTTCAAATCTTCACGGGCTGCCACATAGCTACTCAATTGCCCCGTGGTTTAGAAAAATAAATAATAATAATAATAATAATGAGGAGGAGGAGGAGGAGGTGGTGGTGGTGGTGGTTGGAAGGGACCATGGAGGTCATCTAGTCCAAACCCTATATCATTTCGGACAAATGGCCGTCCAGTCTCTTCTTAAAAATTTCCAATGTTGGAGCATTCACCGCTTCTGGAGACAGGCTATTCCACTGGTTAATTGTTCTCTCAGGAAGTTTCTCCTTAGTTCTAGGTTGCTTCTCTCCTTGGTTAGTTTCCGTCCGTTGCTTCTTGTCCTGCCTTCAGGCGCTTTGGAGAATAGCTTGACTCCCTCTTCTTTGGGGCAGCCCCTGAGATATTGGAAGACTGCTATCCTATCCCCCCTCGTCCTTCTCTTCATTAAATTAGACATCCCCAATTCCAGCAACTGTTCCTTATATGTTTTAGCCTCCAGTCCCCTAATCATTTTTGTTGCTCTTCTCTGCACTCTTTCTAGAGTCTCAACATCTTTTTTACATCGTGTTGACCAAAACTGGATGCAGGGTTCCAAGTGCGGCCTTACCAAGGCCTTGTAAAGTGGTATTAACCCTTCACGTGATCTTGATTCTCTCCCTCTGTTAGTATTTCCATGTCAATCCTGTTTCGCTTTGCTTCGAGCTGCTCTTCCAAAAAGCCTTATCCTCTTCTCAAAAGGTTGGGGTGGAGCTGCTACTAACCAGCTACTACGTCCTTGTAGGAAATGTCCTTGCCACTTTGAATGGGAGTGTCCTGGATAGTCCTTCAGAGAACCCCAGCACAGATGCCGTGGAGGAGGAAGAACAGAAGCTGAAAAATGTCCTGGTGTTAAGCGGTGGTGAAGGATACATTGACTTCCGGATTGGTGAGTTTCACGGGGCACTTTTGCCGCTGCGGTGGATAATGACCCGACGCTTATGGGATGGGGAAAGAAGAAACCACACAGAGGATTTGCTGATAAGGGCAGAACTGAGCTTCCCGTCTTTTCTTTCTTTGTGGCGGCCCTTCTTACACGCTCACTGTTTCTTCAGAGGTCTCAAATACTCGTTTGTCCACAATACTATCGCTGCTGTACAGGTAGTTCTCGACTTACGACCACAATTGAGCCCAAAATCTCTGTTGTTAAGTGAAATGTTTGTTCAGTGAGTTTTGCCCCAGTGTATGACTGCTCTTGCCACAGTTGTCAAGTGGATCGCTGAAGTTGTTAGGCATGCTAAGTTAAGTGACTCCGGCTTTCCCGTGGACTTTGCTTGTCAGAAGATGGCGTGACCTCGGGACTCTGCAACCGTCATAAGTACATGCCAGTTGCCAAGCATCCGAATTTTGATCACGTGACCCTGGGAATGCTGCAACGGTCGTAAGTGTGAAAAACTGTCCTAAGTCCCTTTTTCTCAATCCCCTTGTAACTTTGAACAGTCACTAAGTGAACTAGTATAAGTTGAGGACTACCTGTACCGCGCGAAACATAAATTCCTTGATAGTGAAAAGCTCTCTTGCAAATGCAAGGTCTCCACAGGGTTGCATTTGATCATCTGCTCGGTGGGATTTTGCTGCGAACGGAACTCCTCCATGCTCTGTTCTTTGGTTCCTCTCCCCTTTACAGGAGACGGAGAAGACGACGAGAGCGAAGACAACACGGGCGATGCTGTCCAGGTGAAGCCTATTCTCTCCAAGGCCGAACGAAGCCACATCATTGTCTGGCAGGTGTCCTACATCCCGGAATGAGCCTCTCTTCCGCCTCCAGCCAGTATAATGTTCCTCCCTTCTACCGACACCCGCTCCCTGAATGCCAAGATGTACATACAGAACTTTTGCATAATTCCTACCGCTGGCCAGTCCGACCCCGGATAACTACAACTCTTCCTGTGCCATAAAGTGGCTCCCTCCCTTTCCAGGTTTACAGTGATTGTCTTGAGCTGATGGACTTTCTAGACTGGCTGGGTTACCGTTGGTTTTCCGGCAGGAGGGAATCTTTGGATGAAGGCTGTTGCCATCAGAAGTCAAGACACAAAGGAAGACCACCCTTGGCTCAGAAGGACTGGACAACTTTTCCAAGGCAGCCCCCTCCTTCTCTTTTCCTTCCTTCCTTCCTTCCTTCCTTCCTTCCTTCCTTCCTTCCTTCCTTCCTTCCTTCCTACCTACCTACCTACCTACCTACCTACCTACCTGCATGGGGAAAAGTACCTGTGAACTGCTTAACTGGCTTATTCCCTTTGCCACCATGGAAACTGGGTTGACAGTTGGGGTTGGTCTCCAAGCCAGTACGAGTGAGATGTTTCTGAGAGCAAGCAACATCCCTTGTCCTTTCTCCTTCACTATTATTCTGTGAGGTCCAGACACGAGAAAAGCATTTGGGAGCAAGCTTGGCTAAAGTATCTTAAAATCTGTACCAGGAAGGTTTTGCAGGTATGTTTGGGGATTATAGCCACAGGTCAGCAGTTGGCATTGTATCTAGAATAGGGGCTCTGGGCACAGGATGAGTTCCCGTCACTAAGTTTATTTTAATTGGGCACTGGTGGGTTGGTTCACTGCGGTCTAGGCACCAGTCTGGAAGCTCTTGGGAGGAGCAGAAGGATACAGATGCAGGAAAGACAATAAAGCTTTACCAGGCAATCAAGGAAGCAATCTGAAAGAGGAATTGTCTTCTTGCGATTCTATACCTGCCTTATAGCAAATGACATTCTGAAGGATGGGAAGGCAAATGTACATGCTTAGCATCCTGCCTTCAGCAAACCAGAAAAATCTGAACTTCTTCACCCTTGAAATATTGTAGTATTCCAGAGCTGTGTTGGATGGATATTTTGGAGGCTGAAACGACCGTCGATGTATCTGGGGGTGCTCTGCTGGGAGCTGCTGGGATATAAGTCACAAAATGCGTCTTTCAGGCTATCTATCTCAGAAAAGAGAAAAATCAGGTTATAAGCCAGGAGAAATCAAGCAAACGTGGAGGACAAATGGATCAGAGAAGGTAGGAATGGAATCTGCAGAGAGATAGGCAATTGTCCGGGAGAAGGAAGTAGGGAAGAGGAGAAGTGAAAGACAGTTGGAGGTTGAGAAAGCCTTCCTTCTCAGACCACGACTGGTAGAAGTAGCAAGAGGAATCTGAGGCAGATGACGAGAGTGTTGTTTGAGTATAGTGATGTCCAAAAAAGCTGATCAGGAGATGAACTTTATCTTCCATACAGTGTTTGGAGGTGGCTCAAAGGATGATGAACTTGATCAGATTCCCATCTTGACAGCAGGGCCACCTCAGATGTGAAGAATGTCCTCTTCTAGCCTTTCCCAACTGGGTGCCTTCCAGCTGGGTCTACAAAAGCAATTACTCATTGAATTAAGGTCAGCTTCTAGGGTCTTCATCAACATGTCCGCGTGGCCGCCTTCTTCCCCTTCTTTCAACTGCCCAGTCTAGCCTACAACCCTGGGGTTTGTTGGTGGTCTCCCATCCCAGTCTGACCTGCTTGGCTTTTGGAGATCAGCCATGCTTCGCCAGGTGCTACCACCTATCTAGACATATCAGGACTACCTTTCCCCAAAGCTCTAAATCCACCTGGCCAAAAGGGAATTCAGAAAGTTGTACTTCCAACAGGAAGGGCAGCCAATTGAGGAAGGCTGATAGAGCACGACAACCCATCAAGCCAACAAAAAACGGCTCCACGGTTTAAGAACGAAAGGTTGATTGGAGCCATAGTGCTATTCATGTCTCATAGTTTGATGGGACGTGTTTTTGGATAAAGCTACAGAGCACTGCTTTTTCCCAAGGGAGGATGAACAAATGAACAAGCAAGCCTATATAAAGAGAGACAGAGTGCGCATGGGATGGGTACCCAGTGTTTCTGGACTACTTTAAGAAATTTGGACTTCCAGTGAGGGAGAATTCTGGGAGTTGAGGCCGACACTTCTTAAAGCGGCCGAGGTTAAGAAACTCTGCAAAGAAAAAAAAAACTAAGCAAAAATAAAACTTAGCAAAGGCACGAGAGCATATCCCGTTCTTACATGCATTTGAAACCACATTTGTTTCTGTCTTTGTTTTTAAAGTTTGACGAAGCCTCCAGCCTCTCTCATTTTTCTGGCACTTAATTAATTCTAACCTTGCTTGTCTGCTGCATCTGCTCCCAAGCCTTTTGCAGTTGGAAAGAAGCACACGTGTGACGGCATGGAGAGGAGGAGACGGTGAAGGAAACAGCACCCAAAGAACGGGCTCCTTTTTAGGGGTGATCAGCCAGCTTGGCGAAAGGCTGACTTGGTGGGCCTCACAGACGGACTTTTCCTGCTGCAATTCCACTGTGATGTATGTAAAGTTAACTTGTACGTTATAAAAGGATTTTTTAAAAAATGTGTCTTGAGGCTGTAAACTCTCTGCTGTTTGAAGATGTAAAGAGACGGCTGTATGGAAACACACCTCTCCCATGCTTTCGCCCTGATGTGCTACCAAACAAAGTGAAAATCATATCTGTTCTGTATGTAATAAAAATGTATTATCGTCACGGGTCTGAGAGCATTGCTGAGCCCCTGAGAAAGATGGAAGCATCCCACTTGCAAACCGCCGAGGCCTCGGCTTCTTATTGGAATACCCACCAGTGAAAAAAATGACATTGTCAAGCGTGTGTTCAGAGTTCTGATTGACTGGGGCATATTGTGCAGGCCACGGTGCTCTGAGCTGGCTTGTTTTCTTGCAGACATTTCGTGACCCAACTAGGTAACATCATCAGTGCTAGAAGGGAGTGGGGTTTGTGAAGAGAAGGGGAGGGGGAGGAGGAGGAAGGTGACTGTGGGCTCCTTGGTGCTCTCTGAGCTGGCTTGTTTTCTTGCAGACATTTCGTGACCCAACTAGGTAACATCATCAGTGCTCGAAGGGAGTGGGGTTTGTGAAGAGAAGGGGAGGGGGAGGAGGAGGAAGGTGACTGTGGGCTCCTTGGTGCTCTCTGAGCTGGCTTGTTTTCTTGCAGACATTTCGTGACCCAACTAGGTAACATCATCAGTGCTAGAAGGGAGTGGGGTTTGCTCTCTTTTTAATGTACTGGACTAGTGGCTTGCTTTGTCAGCATTCATAGGAGTGTTGTTCTTTCCTTGGTAGCTCCTTGGTTAGGCTGTTGTTTACTGTTTGTCTGAATTGGTAGCTTCTTCACTGTGGTATTATTGTTTGCTGCTTGATTTTTGGTGTGGTATTAATCCTTGTGTTAATTTCGGTTTATCTGGGTGTGGATTGCTGGCAAGGAAGTGTTTTGGTGAAGTAGATAAGCTAATCAAAGTAAACAGCCTAATCAAGGGGCTCCCAAGGAGAAAACAACACACTCACTGACAGGCTATATAAACGGAAAGCAAAGCCCTTCTAGCAGTGATGATGTGACCTAGCAGGGTAATGAAATGTCTGCAAGTCAACAATTGAGCTCAGAGAACATCATAGTTCAATGCTGAGCTACAAATATTCTCTTCTATTGGCTACTGGATTTATGAAAATCCAGCTGTGCAATTGCCATGATATTTGCTTGCTGAGTCCTCATTTTGCAATCCCTCAAGGGGGCAATCCTATTGTTGCCTTGCCTTCTCCAGACTCAACAATCCACAATCTCTAATTATACAACCTCTCTGAAAACAGAAGGAATGAAAACGGCAATCTTTCCCACATTTATTTTACAAAACAAAAGGCACTGTCGAAAAGCAATAGGCTTGTACAGCTAAACAAATATCCTTGGAAAGTATTTGCAAATAGAGCATTGTGTCTTGTTCCAGCATTTCAGTTGGTAATTTACTAGCATAGAAACCTAATAGATCTTGCAGGCCGCTCTCTTAATCAGGCATTAATTTGTTCCCTGTTCTATACATTTTTTTTTTTTTGCAATCCCAGCGGCTGAGCATAGCAGTAGAAATGAATTAAAGCACTTGTCCATCTTGAAGTATTAAAAACTCACTTTAGATAGGTGGAAAAATCAAACGGGGGGGAGGGGGGCAGAAATCCTGCCTTTTCAGCCATCATTATTTCCTGCCCCTTAAACTGAATATTTGCTTTAGCATTTAAACTGGAAAATAAATACCCCCCCCCCCCAAACAAAATCATACGGCTTTATTCCCTCTGCATCCTGCTAATTGGGAACAAGTTATTTTTCACTGCTTGGCAATCAAACTGCTCTGCTTTCTTTTATCCTGACGTTAATTAAATGAAAACTTAAAGGAATATTCCCCATCTTTGACCAGACAGCTCAAGCAACGAAACAACCAAATAAGAGATTGGAGTGAAGAACTTCATGGAGCCCTGTAAGAGGGACATTTGAAGAATAATATCTGATTGGAAGACTTCTGCGTATTTGTGCTTTTGTAGCTCACAGATATTATTCTAATGTTAGACTCCACAAATTTTCTCAACCAGGGCTCTATTCGACAGGAGTCAGTGTGCAATACATTCAGAAGATTCCGAGCAAACCCTGAGATTTTTTTTTTTGTGATGGTTATTCATAAATCCAGTGCTCTCTGCTATCTTTCCAACACACCAGCTCCTCAGAACGAAACCAGAGTGCAATTTCTCGCTGAGCGCTCTCTATCGAATCGCTGCCGTGAACGACGTTCCTGCAGAGAAGGAAACAGCAGTGTGTAAGGAGAAGTTGAATCCATTTGGAGAAAAACATATTACATAAAAGACGAGGCTCACCTCGCTCTATGTTACCCAGAAAAGTTCCTTATAATTCTACCTCCCATCATTTACAAGAGACGGAGACAAGGAGAAAGAAAAAAGCTACTTGATAACCACCCGTGCCTGGCTGAGGAATTCTGGGAGTTGAAGTCCACAAGTCATAAAAGGGCCAAGTTTGAAGACCCCTGTTGTAGAGACGATTCAAAAGGCACCAGGAGAGCTTTGCTTACACACAGGTTTTACAGTTGTAGCTATTTTTACGTCTCTGAATGACATTCTCAAGCTAAACTTGATAAACTTATGCAGGCTCTGTCTGGTGATGATAGTTGGGGTGTTCAAACAACTAATAACGTAGGGTTTGTTAATAAAGATGAAGCCAAGGGTACAGCTAGAGTGCTTTTAAAAAAGAGCAGTTTTTATCCCTTTAAATAGCTTACTTGCTAGGGACCGGAAGAGAGCCTGTGAACAGAAAGAAACTACAGGTAGTCTTTGACTTATAACAGTTCATTTAGTGACCGTTCGAAGTTACAACGGCACTGGAAAAAAGCGACGTATGACTTTTTCAGGCTTACGGCCAATCACATCCCCATGGTCACGTGACCAAAGCTCAGCCACTCATCAACTGACTCATATTTATCACTTAACAATTGCAATGATTCACTTCACTGTGGCAAGCAAGGTCATAAAATGGGGCAAAACTCACGCGACAAATGTCTCCCTTAGCAACAGAAATTTTGGGCTCAACTATGGTCGTCAGTCAAGGCCTCTACCTGCCATGACTTCGACTCACTTGTCCACTTCAATGCAGAAATCTCCTCGGATGGTTCCCGGTTTGGAATCGGCCGGGTTGGTTTCTCCAATCATCATCCGTGCAGTTTTCACTACCTCTTGCCCTTGCCAGACCTACAGAAAGCCAAGAAAGAACGGTGAAAAGCAACGATTTGGATACCTCTCTTTCAGCTACCTAAAACCTCTTGCAGGAATAATGTAACTTTGGTAAACTTTGGTCCTGTTTTTTTTTTTTGAATATTCTATTTTAAATATTTTATAAGGATGGGGAAGGGGTAGGATCGGTAAGGGTGTTGGATGGGGCTGGGGAGTGAGGTTGGGATAAGGGTAGGGAAAGATACCATAGTGGGTTTACCTTCCCCCCCCACACACAGTAATTCATCGCTTTAGCAAGGAGACTGTCATCTGGGTACAAATGTTAAATAACAGTAACGAAAATAATACTAAAAAAATTTATAATCACAAAAAATAATCGTAATCATAAAAAATAAAAGTTAGTTAATAAGTATCGTTTACCTACTAAATAAATAGTTAATGTAATACTGAGTAATTATAATCACTAATAATAAGTCATAAAAAACAGCTTAGTCAATAAATGTCATTTATCTTGTTAGCTTTAAATTAAATAACCTTAGTTAATATAATACTAAACAATTATAGTCGCCAAGAATGACAATGATCATAAGAAAAAAAAAAGAAAAGTTAATCAGTATCATTCATCTTAAATAGCAATAATTAACATCATACTAAATAATCATAATCGCTAATAACAATAATCATGAAAGTAAAGGCTAGTCAATAAATATCCTTCATCCTATTAGGTTTCACAATCCATTCCTGGTTTTTTTTTTGTTTTTTTTTTTAAATATAACTCTCCTGATGAAATAGAGAAGGCACACAGGTTAGTCCTGCCTCAATTGGCGGGTACGACTATGGCATCTCGTGAAAAGCAGTTAAGGCCAAGAAAAAGCCAGTGCCCAATAAAGACACAACAAAGCCTCAACCAAGTGCGCACCAAGTATTTTAAGTCACGAAAAATGCCAATATTGTTTTCAATTCAAGCTGTGTTGAAGCTGCCCTAGAAACTTCAGACGACGGATCAAAATATTCCAGGAGAGAACATTTGGGGCGTCTATAAATAGAGGAGGAAAAATTCTTGCAACTCAAAAGTCGCACTTGGCCAAGGTTGCTTGCCTTAACAAACGTCTCGGGCTGGGTCTGGAAAACTAGCTGAGCCCTTGGACTTCTGTTGTTTCTCAGTGAGGAGCATCTGACCGCAGGAAACTTAATGATTTGATATTTAGCATCTCATATCACTGTTCCTCACCATGGCCACAATGGGTCCCGAACTCATGAATTTCACCAAGCGGCTGAAGAAAGGACGCCCACGGAGAGAGATGTAATGTTCCTTCAGCAATTCTTCTGAAGCCTGAGCAAAAGATACATCAGATGCGATCAACGTGTTACAGACTTTCGTAAAAACACTGGATACTAAGCTCCCACCTGCAGATTGGGAAGGAATTAAGAATGCTGAGTGGGTTCCTCATCAAACTCAGCTTCAACACGTACTTGAAAGTTCAAAAGAGACTTTTTTTAAAAAAAAAATAAGGTCAACTGTTCTACAGAATGCATAAGGAACTATAATACGATGATACAAGATAAGGGATAAAAAGATCTCAGCCAGATTAGATCTCTATGTTTGTTACCTATCTGGCATTTTGCCTGAATCCGGTAGGAATGAAATGTTTTGAATTAGCAGATATAGAATGATAAAATGTTATTTGCCCCAAGTATCACCAAAGCGCCATAGAATTGAGGCCTTTGAACTCTGGTGCTGGAGAAGACTCCTGCGAGTCCCCTGGACTGCAAGGCATTCAAACCGGTCAGTCCTGGAGGAGATCAACCCCGACTGCTCCTTAGAAGGCCAGATCCTGAAGTTGAAACTCAAGTATTTTGGCCACCTAATGAGAAGGAAGGACTCACTGGAGAAGGGCCTGATGCTGGGAAAGATGGAGGGCAAGAGAAGAATGGGATGACAGAGAATGAGGTGGCTGGATGGAGTCACTGAAGCAGTAGGCGTGAGCTTCAATGGACTCCAGAAGATGGTAGAGGACAGGAAGGCCTGGAGGAACGTTGTCCATGGGGTTGCGATGGGTTGGACACGACTTCGCAATTAACAACAACAATCACCAAACCAGAGGAAGACTAATAATTATAATTAGTTTTGGTTTGATCAGCTTTCTCAACCTCAGCAACTTTAAGAGGGGTAATCTTCAACTCCAGAATTCACCCAGCCAGCATGACAATTGGGGGAATTCTGGGAATTCAAATTCACTCATCTTAAAAGGTGCTGAGATTGAGAAGCACTGGGTTAAATGGACAGAATCCATGATCTGCAAAATGGTATGAAAAAAGGATAATTAAACAGAACTTGGACTGGACATACCATGCCACTCAAGGCTGCTGTTGGCTCTGATTTTGCTGGCTTTCCAGAAAGTCCTTAAGATTGGCTATTTTCCCAGGCACGGAAGCCAGGAAAATAGTTGAGGTCATATTCACTGGCTTCACAGTTTCCTTGATGGCCATCTTGGGTTTTTGATCTCATTTATTGTTTTGCCTCCATCTTTGCAGGATCGATTCTGGGTCAGTCACCTGGACCAAAGGTTTAGTCTTCTGAGCTTTTGGACCTGTGCTGGAGTCCATCCTTGCAGAACCTCTCTCTGCAAGAGTGTGCTAGAGAGAAGTGAACTGACTAATTGGATCCTGCAACATTATCCTGGGACATATGTTCCCCTTCATTTGTCTTAATTTCTGTTAACCCGCCAGAGTTGCATTTAAAGAGATGGGTATTATTGAGATCTGTGAACTTCAATAAATAATAAAAGCTTCGTTGACAGTTGGACACCTCTAATTTAAAACAGATCAGGTCGCTCACAACGGGAAAGATCTCAGCTGCAGTCCTTGAGCGCCAAAGAAGCTATTTGGGGAGGTTTGCTGGCTGTTCTCACCTGCATGAGCTTCATCGCCACCAGCTTGAAGCCTTTCTTCTCAAAACGCCGGATGATCTCGCCGACCAGATGCCTCTGTACGCCATCTGGCTTGATGGCAAGGAAAGTGCGTTCGTTCACACCCGTAAAAGCTGGAAACAAGAACCAGGCGTTACGCATGAGCAAGGCCTGAAGACTCCAAGAATGGAGAGCCATCTAAGGCCCACCCTTGGTCTGGTAATCACGGATACCAAGTCACTCTCATTGCAGGTGGTCCTCAACAAACAGAAGCAGAACTTCCACTGCTAAGCAAGCCGCTTGTTAGGTTGTTGCCACGGTTACTGCGAACCACTGCAGTGGTTAAGTGAATCTTGTCGTCGTTAAGTGAACCCAGCTTCCCCCATTGACTTGGTTCGTCAACTGGAAAGGTAGCAAATGTCAAATCGACGTGACCCCAGGATGCTGGAACTGCTGTAAATACGTGCCAGTTGCCAAGCAGCTGAATCATGTGACTGGGGATGTAGTGATGGTTGTGAGTGTGAGGATTAGTCGCACATCACCTTTTTTTTTCTGTGATGTTTTTTTCAAGGCCATTTATGATCTTCCCAGCTGGCTTCTGACAAGCAAAGCCCATGGGCAGGGGTAGGCAACCTTGGCTCTTTTATGACTTGTGGACTTCAACTCCCAGAATTCCTGAGCCAGCATGGCTAAGCATGGAAACCTCTCCCTTTCCCCTCAGTGTGGCTGGCTCAGGAATTCTGGGAGTTGAAGTCCAGGAGTCATAAAAGAGCCAATGTTGCCTATCCCTGCCCTTGGGGTAGCCGGCAGGAGGTAGCAAGTTGCAGTCATATGTTGCACTTAACAACAAACAGTCCAGTCTCTTTTGTGATTGTAAACCGAGGACTGCTTGTAATAGCTTGTCTGTTGACAGCATCTTCAAGCCACGATAGCTCTGGGGGAAAAGGGTGGAGAGCTGCTTTTTCACAGCAAGGATATAAAGATGTTTTTTTTTTTTTTAAGAATTACTGAAGGCCAGCATCCCAAGGGCCTCGTCACCTTCCACACTCCTTCCTGCCCAGCCCAATCAGGCTAGCAACGGAGAAAAGGCGAATCCCTCCCGTCTGAAAGGGATCTGACCCCCTCGCCCTTTTAACGCCAGATTAACCTGCAGAGGCATCAGCCACGTTTGCAAAGGGGAGGCTTCCATTCCCCTTCGTTTTTTCTGGACTGAGGGTTGGGGTCGTTTGCACGTGGGGAGAGGAATACACACACACACACACACACACACACACACACACACACACACACCATCCGAATCTAGAAAGGACTAAGGGGTGTCAGGAAGACGCGACACGCAGCTTTGGGAGATCCAAGGGCAAGCAGCAGCAGAACAAATCACGATTAGTAGTTACTGAGACATCGACCTGGCGCCTTCCACTCCCTGCTCACCTGTTTGGAAGATGCTGGCGAAAAAGGCCAGCAAGAAAATCATGATGGGACCAGCGGCAACTAGCAGCGGCGGCGCCGGCGGCGGCAGCAGCAGCGGGGACGCGCAGGAACCCGGAAGGGAAGAGCAGGCCGGCCGGCCGGCCGGCGTCTGGATCTCTGCGAGTGCGCGTGCACGCGCCTTCGGCAGGGGCGGAGCTCTGCCCAGGACTTGGCTTTGGCGCGCGCGGCTGCCGCAATTCAAAACCGCAGATCTGCACCCTCGGAATGGGACTCTCTAAAGCCGGGGTGGCCTTAAGACCTTCAATTCCCAGATCCCACAGATCCTAAAGTGGCCAAGTTGGATATCCCTGCTTTAAACGGGGATATCCTTCCTTCCTTCCTTCCTTCCTTCCTTCCTTCCTTCCTTCCTTCCTTCCTTCCTTCCTTCCTTCCTTCCTTCCTTCCTTCCTTCCTTCCTTCCTCTCTTCTCCTTTCTCCTTTTCTCCCTTCCTAAAAAAATGGCAACATTGGATCCTGGATGCGGGGTGGGGGGTGGGGGGACTCCTGGCCATCCAAACCACCCCTTCCCTTCTGCTGTCTTAATCGTGGTGCAGGTCTTGACCATCCCTTCTGGCTTCTTGTGTTGTATACTTTTTAAAACTCTATTCCGATGCTCTATACTTATAAAGCCCTCTAGAACGGAGTTTCTCAACCTTAGCTACCTGAAGAAGTCTGGCTGGAGAATTTGGGGAGTTGAAGTCCAGACTTCTGAAAATGATTAAGAAACGCTGCAGAATATAATTGGCGTCCGGAGAGGCTAGACTAGATCAAACAATTGCAATAAAGCCTGAAACGATCAACTCGCTGACCGCTAGATGGCAGCGGAGTTTTCTGTATCTCTAATTGACGAGAGCAGCTCCGGCCGTTCCTCCTTTCGCAAGAGCCCTGCCCTCCCCCGCCGCATCCACAGAGGAGCTTCCGGCCTGAAAGGAGCGTCACCTTCCCACCACAGGAAGTTTCCGTTCGTGCGTCGCTCTACCTTGCGAGCGCGGGGGGTCCTCCCGGCGCATGCGCAGAGGGGGTGCTGGTGACAGCTGCCGGCCATGGCGGCCGGGCCGCCTCTGGAACACGAAACGCAGATTTTCTTGGATCTTTTCCACCAGGACGGGCTGGTCATCTGCGCCCGCGGGCTGGGCGTCGACCGCCTGCTTCTGCGCTTCCTTCGCCTCTACTGCGAGCCCACCCGGCTGGTGCTGGTGCTGAACACCAGCCCTGCGGAGGAGGTAGGCGCGACCCTCGCCCTCACCCGGGCCGAGTTCCCACGAGACGCTCAACCCGGGTTAACGCCGCGCCCTAGAGGAAGCCGCCGGCCCTGAGCGCCTGTAGAGGCCTAGAGGGCTTCTGTTCTGGGTTGGCCCAATTTAGGTGGGAAGGCCAGGCCGGTCATTGAGGGAGGAGGGAGGGCAGAGGCCTGTCCTGCCTTTATTTTGGTACAGGTCCAATGCTCCCGCTCTTATTTTCCCCACAAGAACAACAACCCTGTGAGGTAGGCTGGGCTGAGAGCGAGGGGCTGGCCCAAAGTCACCCAGCTGGCTTCCATGCCTAAGGCGGGACTAGAACTCACGGTCTCCTGGTGATTGGTCCAAAGTCACCCAGCTGGCTTTCATACCTAAGGCGGGACTAGAACTCACAGTCTCCTGGTGATTGGCCCAAAGTCACCCAGCTGGCTTTCATACCTAAGGCGGGACTAGAACTCACGGTCTCCTGGTGATTGGTCCAAAGTCACCCAGCTGGCTTTCATACCTAAGGTGGGACTAGAACTCACCGTCTCCTGGTGATTGGCCCAAAGTCACACAGTTGGCTTCCATGCCTAAGGCGGGACTAGAACTCCTACTCTCCAGTCTTTATTATTTGTATCAATAACTTGAGGTGGCAGACATATCTAAGACTGCTTCCTCCTGTTATTTTCCCCACAACAACAACCTTGTGAGGTGGGTTGGGCTAGCCTGTTGCTTTAACTTCTGCCCCAGCTTACTGTCCATCCATCCATCCATCGTGGCAGTTTTCTTAGCAAGATTTTCCGACGTGGTGGGCCTGTGTGCCTCAGGCCCACCTTCAGTTTCTAGCCTGGTGCCTTAACCACCAGCTCCTGAGGAGGGGCTGACATGAAAGGGGTTGAACCTGAGGTGGGCCTGGCCTTGTCCTGCCTCCTGGGTCCTTCCGAGAGTAGTTTGCACCAGTTATCTGTCTGAAGCTTAGTTCCCTTTCCATTTGAGCTGGTCTTTCTTGCAAGGAGCTCAGAACAAGTGAATTATTCCCGTTATTATTATTTTTATTAGAAACAACCATACAGTTTAAACTCAGAGGCAATTAAAGGAAGAAATAAATGTGTAATCAAATGTTAAAAATGTGCCAAATCTTAAGGCATCATCGAGGTTGTGAAATATTTAGTAACGTATAACATTTTATGTCTCCTAATGTCAACTAATGATATTCAAATGCCTACAAGCCTATGCATATCGACTCAAGAATAATTCCTCTGTTTAATTCAGTGGGCTCCATTACTTGACAAATATTGTGTAGCATTTTAACCTAAGGATGCCATAGAGAAAATTCAGATTTATAACATGATCTATGAATGCTTGCTTAGAAGTAAAGTGCACTTTTTCAATGGGGTTGCTTTTCCTATATGTGCCTAGAATTATGTCCAAATATAGATGAATAGATAGATAGATAGATAGATAGATAGATAGATAGATAGATAGATAGACAGACAGACAGACAGACAGACAGACAGATAGATAGATAGATAGATTCCTTAACTTCTGGATAATCAACTATATATATTAATAGCAAACATATTTGCTGAAAACCAATTCTGATATAGCCAAAATCCTCCACTTATGCTTAATAGTTGACCCTGAGTTTGGGGAGTCTAAGGTTTGTAGAAATAAAAAAAGAAATTTTTAAATAATTGCTCTAATAAGGAATTAGCCTAAGGAATACAAATCCTCAAAGTGGAGGTTGGGAAATATTCTGGAAAAGGCCAATGGGTGACCCAAGCTAGCCATCCTCGATAAGATCAGCCCACGATTCTACTGTAATGTTATTGGCATGTTACTGGACAATGCATTCAAAAAGCATCCTTTTTTTGTCTACCTGGCTTTCTCTGACTCATTTTTCCTTTTATCAGGTACATTTTAGTGACCAGTTAAAGACTGATAATGTTGCTTATCTTCCTCTTCACTCTGAATCATTTGTCGTTTGCCAGGAATATTTTATTGACCAGTTAAAGACTGATAATGTTGCTTATCTTCCTCTTCACTCTGAATCATTTGTCCTTTGCCAGGAATATTTTATTGACCAGTTAAAGACTGATAATGTTGCTTATCTTCCTCGCCGAGTTACAAATGAAATTGCCAGCAACAGCCGCTATGAAGTTTACACCCAAGGAGGAATTATTTTTGCCACTAGCCGAATCCTGGTGGTGGATTTTCTGACCGACAGGATTCCTACAGATCTTATCACGGGTAAGGAGTTTACAGCTGGGTGTCATTCCGGCCTCACGGCATGCCTTGCATAGTTTTGAGTCTAGACTGAAAAAAAATGTAGGTCTATTGTTCCTCTGGGTTCACATGAAGGCAAATTTCAAATAACGTTCTTTGTTTTATAGGGTTCGTTCCCACTAGAGGTCAGCATGAGAGAAGGTCTATTAAAAATGCAGCGTAAGCTAATAGCTTAGTCATGGGGACATGCCCAGGACATTCTTTCCTGCATTAAAAACCTGTGCCGCTTAGTTAGAGATAATGGCTGGAATTAGGTCATGAAGTTTGCAGGATCATCCTGAACTAGTCACTTTCTGTCTTTCTAAGCCAGGGTTTCACAATTTCTGCGACTTGAAGAAGTGTGGATTGCAACTCCCAGAATTTCCCAGCCAGCATGTGTAACATTTACCGCGCTGGCTGGGGAATTCTGGAAGTTGAAGCCCACCTATCTTCAAAGTTGGAAAAGACTGCTCTAAAGCCAACCGCTAAAACTGGAAATGGAGACTGCTGACCAGTTTTGAGGAAAGGTGGGAATAAAAATATCACATAATTTTTGGTCTGTGACTGTAGAATAAAAATTATTATTATTATATCACATAATACCGTAATCACAGCATTTTTGTGGCTGATCTGTAGCGTTAGGACAAAAATAGCTGGGTTCAGTCTTGGAAATCTTTATGATCCATCGATTGAAGATCTTTTTATTGAGAGAGATGCCCAACTGTTTAAAGGCGCATTCTGAAAAGGAAATGCTTTTCTGTGTGGCTTGTGGCTTTTCCTAGAGATTCTAGTTCAGGGGTCTTCAAACTTGGTAACTTTAAGACTTGTGGACTTCGACACCCAGAATTCCTCAGCCAGCCCTGGCTGGCTGAGGAATTCTGGGAGTCGAAGTCCACAAGTCTTAAAGTTGCCAGGTTTGAAGACCCCTGTTCTAGCTGATCATAGTGGTTGCTTCTTAATCCTATGAGCTTTTATCTGAGAGTAAATCCTGTTGTATTCCATGGGTCATATTTCTGAGTAGAGGCATCCCATAAAGCTTTGGTACTTCATTTGAATAAAACTTCTAAGACCAGGGAATACTTCTGCTTCTTGTTTGAATTTCATGAGCTGATCCTGTCCATCGCTGTCCTGAAGAAGGAATGAAAAGCGTCCCTTCTTGTCTCCCTGGAGGAGGTGCCAAAGGATAGTTAGAAAAAACATCTTACGCTGTTTCGTCGGCAAAGCCTTTAAAACTTCTTGACCTGTCTTGAAAAAACATTATGTCCTCTCCGTCTGTTTTGTTCTGGATTCCCCACCACCATCACCCCTGCTTCCAATTTATTCTTGTTATCCCGCCAGGAATTCTGGTGTACAAAGCCCACAGGATCATTGAGTCTTGCCAAGAAGCTTTCATCTTGCGGCTTTATCGGCAGAAGAACAAGCAAGGTTTCGTCAAAGCCTTCAGCGATAACCCGGTGGCTTTTAACACCGGCTTTTGTCACGTGGAAAGAGTCATGCGAAACCTCTTCGTGAGGAAGCTGTATCTCTGGCCAAGGTAAGGTGGCTTAAGGATGGAAAGGCTCCATGGAGATCCTCAATCATCCAGCTCACGGTTTCCCCAAAGGTGCTTTTTCCAAAAGGCAACTGGAATTCCTTGGGTTTTGTTTTTTTTTC